TTGCTCTTTCACCTTATTCCTTAAGGCAGGATCTCTCAATCAAACCCAGAGCTCACTGATCGGGCTACTTCCATGAGCCAACTTGCTCTGGAGATTCCCCATGTCCCGGTGTGTACCTTCCAAGCCTGGAATTACAAGTAGGCCACCATGCCCACCTAGCATTTATGGGGGTTCTGTGGATCCAAACTCCCGTTCTAGTGCTTGCATAGCAAGGATTTTAAACACTGAATCACCTTCCCAGGCCAGAACTGACCTTAATAGAAGCCTCAGACCACTCATCATAACGTATAAATTCTTCCAAAATTCTCATACTCATGGATGGGCTGTCCAAGACTTAGGCCAGTTTGCTTATATAAAATTCAACTTCTTAGTACTTAGTGTAACAAAAATACCTCAAATACCTTCCATACAGGACGTTTCAAGCTTATATTAGAATGGGGGGAGCATTGTTCTTTTTAAAATAATATTTTTATTCTTTGAGAATTTCATACAGTATATTTTGATCATATTCACATTCCTCTCCCAATTCCTCCCATATCCACCCCCTACACCCTCCCCTCCCCATCCACCCAACTTGGAGTTTTCTTTCTTTTCCTTCCCAATCCGGTCCAGTTCATGTTGCCCAACTCCTCTTGGGAGTGGGACCTGCCCTAGAGCATGGTCGATCTATCAGGGTTCACACCCTTAAAGGAAACTGACGTTCCCTCTCCCCAGCTATCAAAGGCCAATAGCTCCTCAGCGGGCATTGGGATTTTATGTCCGCCTCCCCTTCTCCCTGCTGGGATTCTGTGTGGCATGAGGTGGTACAGTTCTTATGCATGCTGTAACAATCACTGTGGGTTCCTGAGTGTGACTGCCAGGTTGTGTCTGGAAAACAGTTTCCTTGAAGTTACCATTGCCTCTGGCTCTTACAATTTTTCAGCTCTGCCCCACTTCATCAAAGATACCCGAGCTTTGATGGGAGGGATGTGATGAATACGTGCCCTTTAAGGCTGACCACTCCACAGGCTCTTGTTCTCTGCTCATGGACCATCATGAGGTTCTCTGTGTCCATTGTTGTGTACTACAAAGAAAAGCTTCTTGAATGAGGGCTGTACTCATCTCCCATTGTTCTTAATCAAAACATAGAAACGGCTGTTTTCATTTACTTTTAAGCTTTCTTTGGATGCTCTTACCTAGTGTGTGTGTGTGTGTGTGTGTGTGTGTGTGTGTGTGTGTGTGTGTACATGTGTATGTGAGTGTGCATGCATATACACGTACATGTGGAAGTCAGAAGACAGCCTCTGTTGTTATTCCTTTAGTCTGCCAAACTTTGGGTCTTACTGAGGCAAGACCCAGAACTTTCTGACTGGTCTAGGCAGGCCAGCTAACAAGCCCCAGAGATCAGCCTGTCTTTACCTTCCCAGTGCTGGGATTACAAGCCCACATTACCACACCTGACTGTTTTTTGTTTGTTTTCTTAATTAAAAAAAGTAGGTTCTGGGGATTAAAGTCGGGCCTTCGTGCCTTTAGGGCAAGCACATCACCAGCTGAGCTGTCCCCCACCTTCCCTGTTATCTATGGTTTGCACGGACTCACTGAGATCTCTCTCACCGTCCTGTTTGGGAAACAGAAGTGCTGAGCACTGAAAAGGTACAGAAGGCAGAATCTGCATCCCAGGCCTGGCTGATGGGATGCCCTAACTCCCCTTTTCTAGTGGGAGGATGTAAGCAAATCTAGCTTTTCTCCCACCTTATTTTGCCTGTGTCACCTCCAAGATCAACGGCCCTAGAAAGTAAAAGCACCATACTTAGCGCTTGAGAATGTAGAGTAGGAAACACATGGAAGAAATGTCGTGTGTTTTCCCCTAGTATCCCGTGGGCAGGAAGTGGAGTGAACGGTCGATGCCGGCAGGTCTCTGATGCCCACGGACCATCACAGCACACAGATAAGTGGGGGATCTGACCTGACAGATGCCACCCAAGCCAGAGTGCTCTGTTGTCCTGCAGGGTAAAGGTAAGAGAAAAGAGACAGAGGGTCAGGGCAACCCCTGAAGTGGTTTAGTTCCCTAGAAAGTCTGAGTCAGAGGAGGGAGAGGGAATGTGCTTGGGGACATGTTGGAAGGCGAGTCTGACATGGTGTGAAAGCCAAGAATAGGATGCTGAAGACAACAGCAAGTGCCCTCCCAACTAGGACTGCAGAGGGACACGGACATGTCACCAAGCATGGACATGGATGGATGAGCATGTCTGAAGACCATACATGACTAAACGTGTGTCACATGGATGGCAATGTGAACAGAAGCCAAGATCCAGGGCCACAGCCTGCCCAGTGCTTCCTGACACTTGAAAGGAGGGAAGAGGTAATCTTGTACTCACCAGGGCTGTGCTTGGCAAGGAGGTGCTTTCTCAGTCAGGTTGTTGTGTGATTCTGTAGACTGCCTCTAGCATGAGACAGGCTGACCTAGGAAAAGCCCAGAGATGCCTGTGAAATGTCTTAACCACAGTTATATCTGACTAAACGCCCCTCCCCACTTCATACCTTTCCCTATTTGATGGCATTTAATAGCATCGAGAACTATGAGAAAAATCTCAAAATCTCTAAGCAGGATTTCTATTGCTAAGTAGTGCTGGAAGAAGTGATTCATGTGTTATCTCCGCACTCAGGAGTCAGAGGCAGGAGGACTGCCACGATTTTGAGGCCAGCCTGTGTTACAGAGTAACAACTTACCTCACAAACAATTCAAGGAGAGAGACAGTGGATGGCTTGTTTGCATTGTGTGCGTGTGCTCATCTTTTATATACCTTGTTTTGTCCTCTGAGCAGAGACTGGGAGCCACTGTTTCAGATGAGGAAACCAAGGCTCTGGGAATCTAAGCTGATTTGGACCAAATCACAGTGTCAGGCACAAGACTGAAGGCTTTTTGAAAAGCATTTATCTATTTTTACAGTGCTGGGGATAGAACCCAGGGCTTCCTGCACGCTAGGCAAGTACTCTGCTACTGAGCTAAATCCTAAGCCCTGAGACCCAACCCTTAAAATCCAAGTCCCAGACTCTCTCCTTCTTGCACATGGTCCTATTTTGACCATCCTAACCAGGTGTGGAGTTGGCCATTTTTTAGCAGAGCATGCACAGTGGAGGTTCAGAAGCTATTTTTTTCTTCCATTTTTCTTTATTAAGAAATTTTCTACTCGCTCCACATACTACCCACAGATCCCCTCCTCTCGATCCTCCCACCCCCAGCCTTCTTTCCCAAGCCACCCCGCATCCCCACATTCCTCAAATTGAGGTCTCCCATGGGGAGTCAGCAGAGCCCAGCACACTGAGCCTGGGCAGGTTCAAGCCCCTTCCCACTGCATGAAGGCTGTGCAAGGTGTCACACCCCAGGCACCGGGTTCCAGAACCCTGCCCATAGACCAGGGACAGATCCCGATCCCCCTGCCCGGGTGCCCCACAAACAGTTCGAGCCAAACAACCGTCTTCTGTATCCAGAGGGCCTAGTCCAGTCCCATGGGAGTTCCACAGCCACCAGTCCACAGTTCATGGGCCTCCACTAGTGTGGCCGGTCATCTCTGCACATCCTCCCATCATGATCTCGACATCCCTCACCTGCATTATCTCTCCTCTCTCTCATCAGTTGGATTGCCGGAGCTCAGCCTGGTGCCTGGCCGTGGATCTCAGAAGCTATTTTAACTGGACATGGTGACTGATACATTTGAGTCACCCAACTGGTAGGGCAGCCTTAAAAGGAGTTTTCAGACTGGGGAAAGGGTTTCTTGGTATCCCTTTTCTTTTCATGATGCACGACCCAAGTCCACAGAACAATCTAGACCTTTACCTCTGTTTCATATGCAGGGATGTAAGTTAGACAGGATTTAGAGGGTGCAATGTGAATCAGAATACTTGGGGCAGAGGATTCGGGTTACTATTCAGGTAGAGAGAAATTACCTATGAAGGAAGCAGTAATTGAAATCCAATAGATATTTATGGCATTGTGTTATGCATGCCATAAACAAGACTACAAAAATCTGGAGAAAATCCCTGCCTTGAAACAGCTTCTAGGCCTATGCTGATTGGTTTTTATCAACTTGACACAAGCTACAATCATCTGGAAAGAATGATCCTTAACTGAAAAAAAAAAAAATGTATCCATCAGATGGCCCTGTAGGCCAACCTGTGGGACATTTTCTTGATTAATGATTCATGTGGGAGGGCCCAGCTCACTCTGGGTGGTGCTACCCCTGAGCAGGTGGTCCTGAGTTCTGGAAGAAAGCAAAGCCAGTATTTTGTTATGGCCTGTGCTTCAGGTCCTGCCTCCAAGTTCCTGCCCTGCTTGAGTTCCTGCCATGACTTCCCCCAATGATAGACTATAAGCTGTAAGATGAAATAAACTCTATCTACCCCTAGTTGCTTTGGGTCATGGTGCTTATCACAGTAATAGAAAGCAAACTAGAACAGGCCAGTGGAGGAATTCAGACTGGAGTGCAAGCAATCATAACCAAGGCAGAATGTATTGAGTGTTGTTAAATGCACACACTTAATGAGTGCTATGGGAATCAGAAGATGGAGTAAGTGTAGGTAGTTGAAGACTAATGGGGAAGTTCAAGAACAGGAGAGAGGTAGGATGTGGGCACTGAGTGACAAATAGGATCCTAGAGGCCTCTTACATTGGGAACAGCCATATGCTACAGGAAATGATACCCTAGGGAGGCTCTAGACTCCTCCTAGCTTCTCTTCCCCGAGGGCCTAGAGGCTTCTGTCTGCCAGGCCAGGTGCCAGCCCACTGTTTAGCACTGACTTCCAGCTGCTCTAAGGGAATGTACCTAAGAGGTCAAATCACTCTTGCTCCTCAGAGCAAACATTCAAGACGCCAAAGCAAATGTGTTGCTGTGCCCTGCTCTGGATGCCTGCCAATTAAGCTGGAGAAGAGCATCAAGTTGCCAGGCCACTCCCACCAGGGAGCCTGGAGAGAATATAAGGCTGGAACTTGAGGCTAGCCAGTAGCTGGAAGCCCTCCCAACATGGGCCGCCACGCCCGCCTACTTTGGCTGCTGTTCTTCCACGGTGTGATTCTACCTGAAGCAGGTACCCAGCCAGTGCCCCAGGGCTCTTTACACAGCTAATGCCTTGTGACAAACTGGAAAGAGAAAGTGTGGTTCTATCTGTCCCCTGTCCTCTGATGTACCAGCTTAAAAGTAAGCAAGGGAGTGGTTGCTCTGTTTAACATAATCCGACCACTGGTGAGACGCCGTTGCGGTGATGAGCTGCACACCACCTTGATCCGTTTTATGGAAGTTGAGTCAAATATTTCGTGGAAGATTTGTTTTCTGTGAACAAAGCATCAGTCAGTTTATTGCTTTCATAGACTGTGGCTCTGTTTGTAGGATTCTGGAAAGAAACAGAGAAGAAGGGCTATTGGCCAAGATGAGCCGGTGAGGGACTTTGAAGTGTTCTTTGGTTCATGTGCTCATATCTTGGTGTTTAGTGCTCACTAAGAATATTGAATTATAGTTGGCATTTCTTTTCTAGTGTTGGATGGATCTGGAAAATGTCCATAAAGTTTCCTGGCTTGAAATATTGGATATGACATAAAATTATCAGAACTTGACTTATAAAGATTTCTTTTCTGAAAAATCTGTACTTTATGAAAACCAGGTTGATCCCTTTGATATTCTTGGTTTTTTAATGTGTATTCTCTACTAGTTTGCTTAAGAAACTTTTAATTTAATTTGAGACTAAACTAACTTGAAACATTTACATAATCTTGATTATTTTTATCATCATTCAGTGGCTTTGGGGGAAAATATTAAAGTCTTTTATTGTTTAGTTTTCTCACTTGAGTATAAATGAGAAAGTAAACAAATGAATATTTGGAAATATTCCTAGAAACAAATAACTTGATTATTGATAATTATATGCATATGTTCATGAAATATTCCCACTATTGAAAAACAGATCAGTTGTTCTAGGGCATAAGGAAGAATTTAATGATTTCTTGGGTGCTTTGTGCTTTCTTTTTAGTCTACATGTCCTATAAAGCCTGGAAAGGCAGATTAGAGACACAAAGATCTAGAGCAGCAGTTCTCAACCTGGGGGTTGAAGGACCCTTTCACAGAGGTCGCCTAAGGCCGTCAGAAAACACAGATATTTACATTATGATTCATAACATTAGCAAAATTATGGTTATGAAAATAATTTTATGGTTGGAGTCAGCACCATGCGAGAAACTGTATTAAAGTGTCACAGCATTAGGAAGGCTGAGAACCATTGTTGTAGAACATTCAAGCTCTAATGAGCACTTTCTAGCCCTAGGAACTTGGAGCAAGTTTTGAAGCCCCATGCTCCTGTGCCCTCTCCTACAAAAGGATATGATGCATGAAGCATTCAGGTAGATTTAATAAAATGATGTTAATCAAAGTTTTGGAAGGGTCCCTCAGACACAGAAAGTGCTCAATCAATCTAATTGCTGTTATAGATGCTGTGTGTTACAAATTGTACATCTCAAATGAAGAAATAAAATTGTTGAAGCTCAGATGCAGAATGTGACACTTAGCCATAACAACACCATTCTCCAAGTTCCCCCAAGCAATCAGGATAGTCTCCCCTTTCAATATTTGAGTGGCTCTTTTCTTTCTTTCTTCTCTGTTAGTTGTGTGTATTTGTCTGTGTAGGCATGTGCACACATGTGTACAGTGCCCACAGAAGCTAGACAAGAGGTGAGATCCTCTGGAGCTGGAGGTGCAGGCAGTTGTGAGCAGCTCAGTGCATGTGCTGGGAACTGAACTCAGGACTTTGGCAAGAGTAGTATATGCTCTTGACTTCTGAGTCACCTCCCCAGCTCCTCAGTAGTGATTTTCAAGTAGTAGATTTAACTTTCAAGATATAGCAGAAAAGGAACTTTTCCTTTTTTTCTCCATGAATAACAAGCTGTGTTGTTCATGGTAAACACTGAGGATCTGTGAACTATGCCATTGGTATGTGGGAACTGATGGGGTCTCCTGGTACATAAGAATTTTGGAATGTGCTGGGAGAATTCAGAGTTCTGTTTAATCATTTTAGCTCCACTGTGGCAAAGACGATGCTGAGGTTGAGTGTATTCAAAGAGATAGTGTTGGCGCTGGGGATGCCAACCTAAGCATGAGTGAAAGTGACTCCTGACCCAATTCAGAAGGTGCCCAGTGAGATCTGCCCCTAGCCACAGTGGGGTCTACTTTTGGGAAGTGCTCCTGGGGTATGACCAGGTCCTGGTCCTAACCTTCCCTGAGTCCCACCTTCCATCACACTGAAACTCAAGTCTTGGTGAGAAAAGTCTGTGCCAGTGATGGTTGTGATTCCGCAATGGTGGAAGCTGGCCACAGCCTTCAGCTCTCTTCTCTGCCTTGCTTCCGTCCTCTTTGAAGTTTGCTGACGTCCCACTAAGTGCTAGAGCTGTCTGCCATGTTCAGCAAACACACTGCTCTGTGGCATCATGCTGCAGCACAGAGCGCCCACTTAAAGATGCTGAGGAAATGAATGGAAAAGCAAGAACATTGTACCCTGAGCCCCCTCTGCCCACGAGCTTCTCTCAAAACAAAATTAAGAGGATTACGTGTGTTTTGTTTTGTTTTTCACCCGTGTTCTGCAAATCTAAGCCTATTTAAGCAGCTCAGCAGACCTGGTAACACTACTTGCAGGTCCCAGTTACCAGCGGGGCTGGTTTTACCTCTAGCCCCTGGTACCCTCTTTATCTCTGCACCCTTTGCAACCCTTCTGTCCCTGCCTGTTCCCTTGCTGCATCTCTCCACTGACGTGTGTAAGTCATTTACAGCTTTCAGGCGGGGGTGCTCTTGAGCTTCCAGGAACCAAGGATTAGTCACATGATATGGCGCAATAGGCTTTGCCAGGCTCCTAATGATTGCACCAGAGTCTAATAGACAATGGGGCCAGTGTGACCTTCCAAGAACAGCCATCCAGGGACACAGTCCAGCTCCCCGAAGGTCGTGTACCGATAGAAGAGATTTGTGGAGCTTGCAGATCCCTGGAGCCTTGGGTGTTACTGGGGCAATTCACATGAAAAGCACAAAGGACAACTTGGTGGCCACCTAAGAAGGCTGTGGCTGGAGATGTAGTGTGGGCCAGTTCTAACACAGTGGGTAAATCCCCGCTTTGGGACTCAGGTGCTGTCTGATGACATTCCTAGCCTTTGAGTTGGTGGAAGCTAGTGGTCTGCGAAGAATATATTCCAGGGGTTATCTGATACTCAAAAAGTATGCTGGGTCCAATGCAGAAGGTGAGTGATAAATGGCTGTAAGGGGATTGCAAATAGCTCAGAATGGTTTTGATTCTTGATCTGCAACCTTCCGACTGTTCACAGTCATGAAGTTCTAGCCAGCCTTGTGGTCTCTTCAATACAAGTGTTCTTATTTTTCTGGAAGCTTCAGCTCACAACACTCTCCAGCTTAAACAGGAAAACAGTCTCCACAAAGCCACCGTGGTCAACTGACTCTCCTTCCAGCTAGGCTGCTGAAGGGTGCCCAGCCGCTGTCCCATGCAGCTCTGGTCAAATGCTAAGCAAATGTCACCTACCCTGCTGAACGCAATGAGGACCTGGGACATAAATACTCACCCTTACCAAACACTCACACATACATTCACACATACTGTCTTAGTTAGGGTTCTACTGCTGTGATGAACACCATGAACAAAAGCAGCTTGGGGAGGAAAGGGTTTCTTTCATTTAGAGTTCCAAATCACAGTTCATCATTGAAGGAAGTCAGGGCAAGAACTCAAACAGGGCAGGAACCTGGAGGTAGGAATGGATGCAGAGGCCATGGAGGAGTGCTGCTTACTAGCTTGTTTCAGCCTGCTTTCTTATAGAACCCAAGACTACCAGCCCAGGGATGGCCTCACCCACAATGGACTGGGCCCTCCTGCATCAATCACTAATAAAGAAAATGCCCTGCAAGTCTGCATACAGCCCAGTCTTATAGATGTAAGTTCTCAGTTGAGGCTCCCTTCTCTCAGATGATTCTAGCTTGTGTCAACTTGACACACACACACACACACACTCACATCCTCACTTTCTTTCACACATACTCGCACATAATCATTCATTCACATCCACACACTCACACATACACTTTCATCATACACATTCATTCACACACAACACCACAATTGACCAACTTGCTTCAAACACTTTCCTCCACGTCCTCCTCCTAAAGGAACCTTGCTCCTATCCACTGTTCTCAATCTTATCCTCCTTCTTGGGGTATCTGTTATCTCCTTGCCCAGTCCTCCTTAAATCTTCCCGAATTCCTGCCTCCTTAACTCATGTTTCCAACTAATACTTCCCAAACACAGCAAATCAAACAGGCCAGACACCATTTGTCCCCAGTGATGGCTGCCCTGGAGTTCTGTAGAAGAGGCGTGAGGACAGCTTTGGGCTGGGATGCAGAGTTGCAGTGTGTCTTACCCGAGACTGGGAGATTGTCAGTGTTCCATATGAAAGATCAAGAGCTGGTGTAGCTCAGTGGTAGAGTACAGGCTTGGCCTGTGTGTGACCCCAGGTTCGGACCCCAGCAATAGAGTCCCTCTCCCATACAGAGACCTGTTATAGCATCCAGGAGGTTGAGGCGGGACTGTAAATCCAAGGTCAATCTGGGCTGCTTAGTGAGACAATGACTCAAGGGAGAAGCAAACAGAAGGTAGTCAGTTTAATCCTTTCTGCTGTGGAACCCCTGGAGGTCACTCTTCCCCACAGCCAGATTCTGGCCACGTGGTCATAATTCCTTGCTCCCCTCACTTCCTAACCCTTTACCCAACTCCTTCCTGGCATTAATCTTTTTAGGGGAAGGTGATTGCTAGCCTTTCTTCACAGAGCTTATGGAATCTGTTGGTTAGCATCTGTGAGCTCAGGTACTTCTGCTTCCTTGACCCTGTAGCCTGCCTCACCTCACACTGGCCCGTCTGATCACTTTCCCCCAGTGGTTCAATCTGCTTCCTGACCTTTGCCAATCATCTCTAATCATAATACCTGTCCCAGCCTCCAGCTTTCTGGTGTACTCTACCCGGTACTAGCCCTACACCCCAAGCACAGAACTCAGCCCTGTGGCTGCACTCTTAATCTGTCTTCTCCCTGCCCTCAGTTAGTCAGTCCCCTCCCTGCCACCTGGGGCAGCTCTTTCCCACTCTTCCTTCCATTCTCCTGCTGCCACCACTGGCTAAGAAATTTGTTCCCTCCTTCCCACCTTTATCCTCTCCCACCTCCACTTACCTTTCAGCGCTACTCAATATTCCACTCATCACACTTCAGATTCACAGCACAGCAGACTTCACAGCCTGGGGGAATGTATTTGAAGAATATGACTGACTATTACTAGGGACAAAGTGGTCTTCCTGCCCATTCTCACTCATACAAACAACCTGTCTGGGATCCCAGGTTTGGCAATGAGCAAAGGGAAAATAAGGCCCATTTTATAGGCATGAAAAGCTGCATTTGAAACTGCCTTGTTTGGGGAGTCAACTCTTTGAAAGCTTGCCGGGTGTCTCCTCCATGTCCCCTGGGCCACTGGTTCACTGATTATCTCAGGGAACAGACAATGTCTGTGTGGCTGGCATCCCAGGGACCTTGGTGCTTGGCTTTCTTCTTTGCAGCATGTGTAGCCAAGAGCACCTTTGAGTTAATTTGTGTTATCTCAATCAGTTTGCCCCCTGGAATCTACAGTCACAGCCAACAGCTGAGAGTCGGTCGGCTCTGAATGGCCGGGAAGCTGTGTTCGTATGTGGGAATTTTATAGTTCAAGAGAAGAGCTAGAGGAAGACTGGATGAGCTTTCTTTTTTGGAAAGAACAACCTACCAATAAGACGGGGGCTGGGAAGGAAGCCGTGGTCTAATTATAGAGGGTTTCTAAGCCCAGGCTAAGAACTTCGATCTTTATCGAGTAGATAATTAGGACCTAGTACTGTCATCAAAATGATGCTAATGTGCCTTTTTTATGAGTAGGCAGGTGACATGGACTAGGAGAAATTAAATTAGGGAAAGTGATTGAAAGAATGGCAGTTCACACAGACAGATAGACACACAGACAGACAGACAGAAACACATACACACACACACACACACACACACACACACACACACACACACACACACCCCTCCTTACTCTGATGGCCATGTGTTCATACAACAGCAGTAGAGATCCTTCCCTTCCTTCCTTCTTTCCTTCCTTCCTTCCCTCCTCCCTCCCTCCCTCCCTCTCTCCCTCCTTCCTCTTTCCCTCCCTCCATGCCTCCCTCTTATCTCTCTTCCTTTCTTCATTCTTTTGTTCCTTCCTTCCTACTTTCCTGCCTTCTTCCCAGTCTTCATCCCTCTGTCCTTCCTTCCCTCTCTCCATATCTCTCTTCCTCCCTCCTTCCCTACCTACTTATCTATCTCCCTTTCTACCTCCCTCATTTCTCTTTTCCTCCCTTCCTCTTTTCCTTCCTTCCTTCCCTCCCCCCCCCGCTGTCTCTCTCTCTCTCTCTCTCTCTCTCTCTCTCTCTCTCTCTCTCTCTCTCTCTCTCTCTCTCTCTCCAACCCTCCCTTCCTTTCTTCTTTCCCATGACCACCTACAATCCAGGTCACTTTGCTGGGCTTAACTAGCACACATTAGACGGTTTCTAATGAGATGATGAATACGTAATACTTTCAAAATGTTGAATCTAGGTTTGGTGGCACACTCTTTTAATTCCAGCAGCTAGGAGGCAAAGGAAGGCAGATCCTTATGAGTTTGAGGCCTGTCTTGTCTACCTAGAGTGTTCCAGGTCAACCATGGCTCCACAGTGAGATCTTGTTTCAAAAGAGAGTAAAGGCCTAAAATATACACCAAGATTTAATATTATTAATGACAAGTAATTGGTGCCAGGCATGGTACCAATCTCAGCACTTAAGAGGCTGAGGCAGGAGGATGGAGAGTTGGAGGCTCTTCCAGACTGTCTCAAGGGGGTGAGGAAGAATGGGTAAATGGGAAGTGGAAGACCTGACCTGATGTAGTGGCTTGTGAGGTCTGGGAGGAGGAGAGTCAGAGCCAAAGCCAAGCCATAGAGTGTGGATAAGAGGAAGAGGATTCTGGGGAGGCCAGACACTTCAGAGGCTGAATGTCCTCCAGAACCAACCGTGGGCACACCCTGCACACACTTCTCTGTGTCCTTACTTTCTCATCTGTTACACAGGAGTGCAAATGATGGCAGAGTCTCCCCACGTCAGCTCAGAACAGGGAATGGGCAGTGCTTAGACACAAAGGGGCCACCATGAACACTGAAGAAAGGCCAGCAGTACCTTAGAGAGCTCTGTAGTCTCTGGCAGCCTAACTCCTACCTCGGCTCAGTGGGGCTGTGTACTGCCTCACGTGGTTGTCCATCTGTGACGAGGACAGAGGACTGGGTCACCTTGGATCTGTGCCAGGCCATGATCCAATGCCAAAGCACAGTGGGCTCGCTCAGCGAACACCTGGCCATTGATTAGCAATTGTAAAATTACCCTGACCCAACAGTACCGTAGGCCTGGATTCTTTGTGGTCTACTGAGCAGGGAGCCACCTCCTCCCAATGGCTAAAGCAGAGGTCTGGGCTGAATGACAGGTAGACTCACCAGGGGGACTGCTGTGGGGGCAGTCCTGCCTTGTAATTAATGATGTTAGAGAAAAGCTATTGCTCCTGTTGCTCCTGGACAGGAAGAGTCAGGAATCAGTTTAAAACAACAACAACAACAACAACAACAACAACAACAACCCTGCTATATTTATTCTGAGTAGAAACCAAATATCTTGTTATTAGCCAAGTCTACCTTTAAAAGACAAAAAGCAGGGCCACGCCTTTAAGCCCAGTGCTTGGGAGGCAGAGGCGGGCAGATTTTGTGAATTCAAGGTCAGTCTGGTCTGCATAAGGCCAACCATGGCTACACAGAGTGACATCATCCTAGAGAGAGAGAGAGAGAGAGACAGAGAGACAGAGAGAGAGACAGAGAGACAGAGAGAGACAGAGAGACAGAGAGAAATTAAAAAACAATGTAAAATTATGAAGAAAATAAGAACAGAAAATTTTTTAAAAGGAAAAATTGTAAAAAGCCAGTCCAAGAAGTTAGAAACAGCAAATTAACTAAGAGCATAGTAGAATTTATATGTAAACTGTCACTTCCTTAACAAAATCCGACATTAACTACAGACGGCTGGAGAAGTATAATGAAGTCTGCTGACTGTCAGCCGGCCAGCTGAAATTGATGCAGGACTGACAGAAGAGGGGACTTTTAAGACAACTATACCGTAAGGAAATGGATTCCAGAGCACCTGGTCCTTTCCTGGTGGCACCTGCTCTGGGTGGCTGCAAATTCAGATTCCCAGGATCTGCTGTGCCTGGGGAGTGGTGGGTTTGGAGCAAGACCCAGGAGGTCTCCACAGGGCCTGGGCTGGCTGTGTTCAGGGTCCCTCTAGGGCTCTAACATGGCGGCTACATCTCAGCTTGCTACAGGAGGGACATCAGAGGATCTGGAGCAAAGTTGGGGAAGGAAAGGCCTAAGAGAACCATTCAAGACATGTCTGTGGAAGAGCAAGAAGGTGAGTCCTAGCCAGACAATGCCTGTGGCCTGCAGAAGGAGGGCCAAGGCAGTAAGGGTACCTTGAGGTGGAAGGACACCAAAGTCCCTGGGGATGGACAGTCCACACTCAGTGGGATGAGTCACTCATCCTCAGACATAAACATACCCTGGTGTTTTTTTGTGCCTAACACAACAGAGATTACCAGAACCTTCTCTGCCTTCATGGTTCTTACACATTAGTGACGAAGAGTGTTCTTAAATGTTGGAGTACATGGGAATCACTCAAGAACTTGCTAGGAACTTGTTGAACATGCAAAGTCTTGGGCCTTCCCCTCAGACAGGGTGTACCCCAGAACCTTCGTATCTAACAAGCTTTCTCAGAGATGGGAACAGGGCCTGTCTGAGGGCCACACTTTAAAGTCCTGCTCTGTGGGAAGAGAAGAGAGAGCAATAGAGCATTCTGCCCCTCCCCTGTCACAGCTCTTCATCAGCAGTTTTGGGAATGCAGAACAGTCCTCATATATCTAATTATTGGTTCATAAAATGGAGATAACAAAAATGACTCCTAAGTACTCCCTCTGTGCCAGGCACCACGCCTGTATTTGCCTCAGGACTGCCCTTTAAGGCACCGTTTTCTTTTGCAGACGAGGTGGATGAGAATCTAGGTGGCCCCCATAGACGGATTGCACAGTTAGTGATCGACCAAGTCAAGCCCTGCCTTTGGGGGTTTCCTAGCCACCGTCTTAGCAAAGCTTGCTGCCCCTGAGAACTTGGGACAGCCAGTAGGCTTGCTGCCCAGCAAAGTGCTGGCAGGTCAAAATGTGAGTGCCAAGTGGCAGTGGAGGGTAGCCCTGCCCTGTCTCTGCGCAGCAGAATGCACTCTTCAAGCATTTGCCTTTGCCCAATACCTCTGACCCAACACTGCAGGGCACAGTGGAGATGACCCAAGAATCCAGATTCTTAGACTGAAATACCAAGTGGCCAGAGTTGGACAGTTTCTATCTTCTTAGATGAAGACTTTCTTGTTGGAGTAGGTGGTGGCTGGGGCACAGAATGAAAAAGGGACCAACAAGAACAAAGCAAAGTCTTGTGGCTTCCCATCACAACAGGACCCAAACTTCATGAGGATCTAAGGAGATCTAGGGAGTCTCATTTTGGTCCCCATTAGTTAATGCTCTGCCCCCAGGAGGCTGCCGCTCCTGTGGTCTTTTCCTCCCTGGTACAATGGGTGCAATGGTATCTGGGAACCTTACAAAGATGTCCGTGTGAAGGGTTTAACCATGTGCTGGGAACAAAGGTGGTACTCCCAGGAAGTGGGAGGGGGAGTCCACTCTACTCGCCAACACTCAGGTGGGGGTGGGGACTACCTTTCTCCCAAAGACTGGCTTCCTGTGCAGCTCGTGGAAGGTTCTAACAGGTGTTCTGGCCGAGTGGAGGTGTATTTTGAAGGCGTGTGGGGCACAGTGTGCGACGATCTGTGGGACGAGAAGGAAGCGCAGGTCGTGTGCCAGCAGCTGGGCTGTGGGGATGCCGTGTCCACCCTGGGAGAGGCCTACTTTGGCCAGGGCTCCGGCCCCATTCTTCTGGATGATGTGCAGTGTTCTGGGACCGAGGTCTCCCTGGGGCAGTGCTCGCACGCTGGCTGGTTCATCCACAACTGTGGGCACGAGGAAGACATTGGTGTCGTCTGCTCCGGTAAATCACTTCCCATCTTTCCCAAGAGTTGATTTTCCGCTTTATCCAATCATTCTCCTTTCTCCCCGACCCAAAGGAAACTTTGTATCATATTGTCTTGTGCTCAAAAGCCTTGTCTGCTCACGGTCCCAGGCACCTTCTAGAATGTCGGAGCCTCTCCTTCATGGGGTTTAGGGGGCAGCTGAATGTGGACCTCGTATTCTACCCCAGTCCTCTTGCATCTACTTAGGTGGCCAACATCAACACTAGAGTGACAGACTGGAAATGAAAACACTCAGGCCAGCTGCAAGGTTATGTGATTTGTGGGTCCTCGTGTGAGAGCTATGAGAAATTTCTAGACAGAGACAGCAGAGCTCCAAAGGGTGGGCCCCTTCTAATTGTGGGCCCTGCAGGACTGCAGGGAGGCACCCCTGGGTAACCCTCTGCTGGTTCTCTCCCCACATTCATCTCTCTATGCTTGGCGTGGCATTGCATATCTTTTAGCTTTTTATCTAATTAAATGGAAGCAATCATTGTGACGGTAATCATTGTGACCCAGTACCTATATCTTGAGAGCCGGGCTTCCAATGACATGGTCTCTAAAATTCTGCTTTTGGGGGAATCAAGCTCCCAGAGACAGAGTAGTTCTGGCCTTGGGGAACCAGCTGTGGATGACAGAGGAAGGTGTAGAGTTGGGTGGGAGAGAGAAGAAAGCCCCCTCCTCGTTCACCAGCTGCTAATTGGTGAACCAGAAACTCCTTTCTGAGTCTCCTCTGCTCATATGTCAAGGTTCAGCCTTCTAGAAAGCAGGAACTAAGGCTTCATTCACTGGCCAAGAGATGAGCCCTCAGCCTGTTGGAGGAAGTTCCTCTGATTATCCTTACCCTGAGACCTGCTTTAAGGTTAGCATGGACCACCCGCTTCTGAAAGCATTTCCCTGAGCCCTCAGCCCTCCCACCGAGGGGCAGAACTCACACTGGCCTCATGTGGGTCCTCTGAGCAGCCCTGGTGGGCAGAAGGCAGACTTTGCTGCTCTCTGAGGCTGCACATTCTTGGAGCAGGTACCCTGAGAGGGAGGGCCTGAGAGCAGTCTAGTTAGCAAGTTAGCATAAGTATAGACCTTGCTTTGGGGGATTTAAAAGCCCTTCCCAAGTACATCTTTCTGTGGTTGTTCTCAGCTGGAGTTGATTTTGTGCCCTAGGAGGCATTTGGACATTTTGATTGCCCCGCTTGGGGATGCCCCTGGTGTCTGTGGTAACATCCAGGGATACTGTGAAACTTCATACAACGCACAGGATGGCTCTCTATTGTAAAACCTGTTCCAGAATCAGATGACAGTAGTGCAGGATGTAGCTTTAGAATCAAGCATGTGCAGGTGGAGATATTGACATCAGTGGCTAATTATAAATTAATAGTGCATTGATAATTGATTAATAGTTACTTTCATAGTGACAGGAAATTGTCTACAACTCCTTATCCAAGTGTCAGACTGGGCCCAGCACTTTCTAATAATTTCATCTGATTTTCTTTTCTTTTTTTTTCTTTCTTTCCTTCCTTCCTTCCTTCCTTCCTTCCTTCTTTCTTTGTCCTTTTTAAAAAAGATTTATTTATTATGTATACAGTATATTGCCTGCATGTATGGCTGCTTGCCAGAAGAGGGCACCAGATCTCATTATAGATGGCTGTGAGCCACTATCTGGTTGTTAGAAACTGAACTCGGGTCCTCTGGAAGAGCAGCCAGTGCTCTTAACCTCTGAGGCATCTCTCCAGCCCCATTTGCTTTTCTTTTCTATCAATTGAAGTTGATTAAATTTGTCCTGTGATTTTTTTGTAAATTTGCTATTTTGGTGGATATGTTGAATTAGAATTTGAATCACAGCATGCCTAGTATCCTAGAAACAAATCTCTGACTGGTTTTGCCTAAGAGACTGCCTCAAAGCATAAATCCCGTCTGCTCATGTGGCACTTGGCCATTCTGTAAGTACTTTTCATCCGTCTCCCACCTCATCCTTATCACTCAGGTGGGGTTGTTTTATTGTTCTTGTTTTGAAAATAAAGAAACCCAAATTAAAGGGCAAAATTAAGTCAAGGTTAAGAAGAATGCCTTCTTGACCAAGGTCACCCAGCACACATTTGGGCCTGAGGCACCCAAACCCAATGCCCCATTTCTCCACCAAATATGCCTACACTTTGGAAAAGATGTCCTGAACCTTAGCAAAGTGTGTGAGCATCCACAGTTGTCTGTGTTACTCTGCTAATAATCTCATCCATAACATCTGCTTAGGATGAGGACCTAGGAATATACACACACTATTAACAAGATCCTCAGGTACAGGGAGACACCCTGCTCACCACCCCCCACCCCCGCCCCTTCCCCTGCCCCTGCCAGCTAACCTGTCCTGGTTTATTTAAAGCAAAGCCTTCATCCTCAGATTCCCTATTCCAACTCCTTAAGTGCCTACCTTTCCTGATACAGGCAGAAAGACAAAGGATGCTGACTGGGAAAATGAGTAGTTGACTTGTCAGTGAGAGAACAAACGCCCATGAGAGAATCAGTTGCCTTCTTAAACAGCACAACCCCGGGGTTGCCTGCCCTCCGCAGAGACTCTGGAATCCCATTCACTTTCAAAGTATAAATAATACCAAAGTTGCATTTATTTTAATATGAAACAGCATTTGAAATACTCAGTACCTGGTAGCATAAATCCTTTAAGAAAACGTGCTTATTTAGCCTGGAGTCATGCAGCTCTAATCCCAAGGCAAAACCAACCCTCACTGAAAGACCTGGGCAAACCCTGCTGCAAACAGTTCCCCCTGACATCCCCACAAACACCCATCAAAGGCAAATGAACCCTCCTTCTTGGATAGCATTGCCCTTTCTGAACTAGCCCCATGTGACCAATTCTAGGCAGAGCTTTCTACTGGGGACAGGGTACCAGGGCAGCAGCAAGCCACTCAGTGAGGCAGGACATTGCAGATTTTGTCCTCTCCCACAGACTCACCTTGTGTTCTACCTTCTTTTTTTCCTCATAGAATCTGAAAACATTCCCACAGAAAATGAAACTTCAAGAGATATTGGTAAGAGCCAAGACCTTAGCACGTCTTTAGTAGAGTGCCCACCAGCTCCCCTAGTCATCTGATCTCATTTGCTACTGTAACCCAGGTGGGAGGCGGCGGTGGTGGGGGGTGGCAGGGTCAGATGACAAACACAGGCTTAATCATAAGGACCCAACAAAAGAAAGGAAAATGAAAAGGTCAGTTCCTTGGCTTCAACCACATGGGTAGTATTTCATCCCCAAACTGCTTTGTTTCTGTTGCCCAAATGTATTTCAGAGATTTCTAGAGGAGACAAGGATCTGGGTTGGCAAATTATAATTCAAAGGTGCAACTGAACTCAGATCGAGTAAGGAGAATCCTAACTTCAGACATATGAAAACAGAGAGTAGAGTCCCAGGACAACGTGTGCCCTCAGTTCCTCCATTACATGTTAACGGAGGAAAGGGGAAGCCTTGGCTTACCTAACAACCAAATCTCTTGATGTCCTCCTTTGGGATTACCACAGCAGCGCTCTTTAGTAAGCCTTGAACTCTGCTGCTCTCTGGAAGTCGATGTATTTGTGCACATAATCCAATTTGTGAATGACTCTGAGCTGCCTGAACTCGTCATCAGTTTTCACTGACCAGTCCTACTGAACACCACCCCTGCTTCCCACATGTAGTCGTGGTGCCAGCTAGTGTCTACTCTGTGAGCTGCCACACATGCAGTGCACTTGGGTGGGCTCTTTTTCATGGTAATGACTCCTGTTTATTTATCTTTGCTCTTAGATGCTGAAATTTTAACACCGTTTCCTGGTGGTGAGTCAAGATTTCCTAGCCCCTAGTGTGATGTGATTTGGCAGGTATTTCTAACCAGTCGGTAGATCCTTTAGTCATACAAATCTTACTGAATAGAATGATGTCACCAGAGAAACCCTGTGCATTCACCCCATTCATAACACTGTCTGGACTTGGTTTAGATTTTTTTTTTTCTTACTGTGTGGAGGAAAGCTCTATCCTCTTCCTAGGTGTTCTTGGTCCAAGTAACTCCTTCCTATGCCTCTCCAATCCTTGGGTCCATTGTCACTTTGAAAAGACACCCCTACCCTACATCCATTACCCACTCTCAAACCATTATGAACACCACCATCACCACCTTTGCGTGCTTACAGATCTCTGTTTAATTCTCTATTAAAACAATTCACTTTAGAAAAGTGGTAGGTATCGCCACCAGGACCTACCTGAAGGATTAAATGTGCCAGATACTACTTCTCACAGCTCTTCCTGTGAATCTCAACTCAGCTGGGAGGGGGCAGAATTCACCTTTGCTGCTAGATTCTGACCTTGGTGACAAGAAGGCTCAGGCCCATCCTGCTAATGATAGGATCCCCTGTGCTGTCTGCTCCGATGTGTTGTTGGATGCGTGTTTGGTGTGTAGTTAGGCAAGTCCATCCAAGTGGAGTAGCTTGCTTCCAGCCATCCTTTTGTACCTTCAAGACTGGCCACAGTTGCAGCTCACGAATGGGTCAGGAAGATGCTCCGGGCGAATAGAAGTTTTCTACCATGGCCATTGGGGCAGGGTTTGCGATGACCAATGGGACCTGCATGAAGCCGACGTGGTGTGCCGACAGCTGAACTGTGGGCGTGCCCTTGAAGCCCCAGTCCAGGCACAGTTTGGTGAGGGCCCAGGCGAGTTTCTGCTGGATGAGATGGGCTGTACTGGGACAGAGAGTTTTTTGGGACAGTGTCCTCATGCTGGCTGGCACTTACATAACTGTGGTCCTGGAGAAGATGCCAGTGTCATCTGTGAAGGTAAGAGTCACCTCTCCCTCTGACAGTGCCCATCTTCTGATCAAGATTTCACCTACACCAATCCCTTTGGGACCTTTGTATCACAAATAGACCCTGCTGCTAGGGTAGACCAGACTTAAAGAGATGTGGATAATTTAAGTGCTCAGCACTTAAGGTCAGGTATTTTAGACACTAGATGTTGAAATGAATTTTACACAGAAATTTACATGGTGGCAGACACGAACAGTTCCATTGTAAGGATTCCAAGACATCTCATAAGAAGGCAACCGGACCCATTAGTGAGGGGACTCATTCAGGGGCATTGTGATGAATGAAGATAAAATTTTCCCATTAACACTCACAGTGCAAATACTCACCACGCCTAGTGGTAGTGCATAGCACTGTGGCAGCTGAGGGAGGGGGAAAGATGAAAGTTCAGGGTTCAAGGTCAGCCACATTACATACTATGTTTCCAGCTAGCTTGATTCACACAGGGGAGATCTAAAAAAAAAAAAAAATAGAGCTGGTGAGATAGCTCAAGTGGTAAAGAGATTGCCATGTAGGCATGTGGGCCTGAGCTTGATCCCAAGATCCCACATAAAGAATCAGGAGCAGTGGCATGTGCTCACTGACCAGACCCTGGCCTAGAAAACAAGGTAGATAGAGGCTGACCTCTGCCCCAACACATGTTCACCTGTACACACACATACACAAAGAGAATTGTGACCTAGAATAGCTTTAGTTTGTCCTGCTAATTTTGAGTTCATGGCAAGTATTGGTGGTAATCACAAGTCTTTGAAGAAGTGGAGAGTATTGAGATCAGTGTGGCGCTGGGCTTCTTCTCCTAGTATTGTGGACGTTTGGGGTCAGCCTTGGTGGTGGGCACAGGGCTGCCCTGTGATTTGGGGCTATTTTACAGTGTACCTGGTCTCTACTCACAAACAACTGTAGTACCCTCAATGCCTCTGTAACAGCAAAAATGTCTTCTAATATGTCCCTTTGTAAAGCAAATTGCCCCTAACTTAGAAGCACTGGTCTAGGGATACAAACATAACTCTAGATTTCCACCAATCACAGGGCTAATTTTCAGCACATTATCAATGCCAAGTTACATTTGTACACCAAATGGGAGGGAACGCTGGTTTAATGTTAAAGGATTAAGTGGAAGTGGCTATCTGTTGGTCTATTCCAGTGGTCACAATGTCTGCATTCCTGAGCTATTGAGGTATTACCCAGGGTTGGAAAGGTGGCTCAGCAGTTAAGAACATGTACTGCTCTTACAGAGATCCAAGTTCAGCTCCCAGAACCCATGTTGGGAGGCTCACCAAGTCCAGATCCAGGAAATCTAATGCCCTCTTCTGGCCTCCATGGGCACTGCACTCACATGCATATACTAACACACACCCACACACCCACACACACACACACACACACACACACACACACACACACACACATACATAGACAGATAGATAAATAAATAAAAAGAACTGGAAATATAGCTTGGTTGTTGAGAGCGCTTGCTGCCTTTGCAGAGGACTTGGCTTCTGTTCCCAGCACTCACATGACAGCTTACAACCATCTAATTCCAGAGGATCCTGCACCCTCTTCTGACCTCTTGTGGGTACCAGACATTCATACAGTACACAGACATACAGGCAGGCAAATCACTCATACACATACAATAAAAACAAACAAATATTTTTAAAATAAACAAAATTTAAAAATAAACATTAAGATATCCCAGATGTTGAGTAGAAAATGCATTTGGCTCACTTTAATCCTTCTAAATAGTTAGCTTCATTTTTGTTTCAAGTTTGAGTTATTCTGCAATATTACCATTTTCATTTTCCCTAAGGGAATTGCTGTCAAAGCAGAAGTCATTCCCCCCTCTCATTAAGAAGGAGAGGGAGATCCTTTGACTTGTCCAGAGTACTGTCTAGTGAATGTTCTTCTGAACTATGTGAAGCAAATAGCTGGACACAGAATCTGACCTAACTACCATTAGCTCTTTTTTGCTCCAACAGCCCCTTAATTCTCATCCCCTCTCCCTACAGGGAATGGCCAGGAGCCAGTGGCGAGGCCCCAAGGTAGGAGTCGTTTTCATGCTGAAGCTCTTCTCGTCATGCTCATTTGATGCTGACATCCTAACACTTACTGAGACAAATTTGGAGAGAATGTGTTGTATGTTCCGTTCTTACTCACCCCTCTCTCAGGAGTTTGGCAGCAGAAGGGCTAGGTTCCATTTCTGCCACTTCATTAGTGTCAATGATCATAACAGGCCACTTACGTCCTTCTGGAAAAGGAGACAAAACACTTACCTCACAGCACGACATCTCAGTTAGAGGTCACAGACATGGAATGGTGACAAGTTCCAACACCACTCTGAAGTGTGTGACAATTCTGAGTGGAAGCTTCACCAACAGAGTCACTACTTGAATCTTTAGTTCAGAGCACAGAACCCTTTTGGCACATTTAAGTGTCACAGGCCAATGGTGTCATAGTATTGACTAATCAGCTGGAGACAACATGAAACTGGCCACAGGCAGTCATGAACTCATGGGTCCGTCTGTTTCCACATAAAATTTCTCTTGCAAAATCAGGTTCTGGAGCTGGGTGACAGTTCAGTTGGCAAAAACTTCTCCTGCACAAGCATGAAGACCTAGTGCCCACATAAAAGCTGGGCTTGGTGGTGTGTACCTGGAACTCCAGTGCCGAGGGGACAGAGGTAGGCAGATCTCTGGAGCTCATTGTCCAGAGTCAGCCTAGCCGAATTGATGAGCTCCAGGTTCAGTGAAAGACTCTGTCTCAAAAAAAAAAAATGGTGGATGATGAATGAAGACTCTGACATCAATACTAACCTCTGACACACATACACACACACACACACACACACACACACACACACACACACAGAAAGAGAGAGAGAGAGAGAGAGAGAGAGAGAGAGAGAGAGAGAGAGAGAGAGCAAGGGTGGGGGTGGGTGGCTGCTAGCTATGAGGTAGGATGGAGCGATAGGTTCCTGACTTCAGTATTAAATGATTTAATTCTAAACACTTTCTATACATGACTTATTTAATATTCTTAAGAAACCTATGAGTTAGGTCCTTTTTACATTTCCATTTTATGGATGATAAAACAGAATTAGAAAATTAATCAAACTGCCCTGATCCCTGTCACCAGCCATCCAGGGGAATTGTGCTAACCGGTTGGATGGTATCATGCCTAGTTTAGCTTGGGTGGACAGCTGATGCTACAGGTAGCCTCTTTCTTCCTGCTCCATGAGTGTATCTAAGCAGGAGAGAGTGGAGACACTCCTTGTTTCTCCTTCTTCACTCTACGTAACCATAACACCAGAAAATTATGTCTCTACTTTCAAAATATATGCTAAACTCTTTAGTATCCCCCAGCCCCAAGAACACCACCTTCCAGAGTCTTGTCATCTTTCTTCCGGTGATGACAACAGTGTTGTCAACAGTCACCTACCTCTGCTGCGTTCCCACCATAATTGTGAACTGGATCATGCCTCTGTGCTCAAAACCTCCCAAAGGGTGCTTCATTGGTGTCTGTCCCCCACAGTGCATCTAACTTTGTAAACTATGTATACAGTCAGGCTGGCCTGTAACTCAGAGCCAAAGCTGAGCTCACCATCCTCCAGGTGCGGGGATTAGATTAAGGCATGTACCACTCAAAGGCTCCCCTGTCTCTGACCACTGAGGAAAACACCTCATCTTGCATCAGATCCACCTCTGACTCTTTGTCCAACCCTTGAAATAGACAAAGTCATCCCTAGCTAGGACCTATCCCAGCTCTTCCTTCAGTTCCAAACTCTCCTTATCATGGGTCTCAGACAAAATAACCCTCCCACAGAGAGAATTCCTTGGAATACACAATGAAAATGGGCTCCCTCTCAGTCACATTCTATGTGATCCACTGTTTTGTCCCATCTGAGACTTTGTATACAGTTTTGCTTTACTCCTTTGCTTCTGTCCCCTTCCCTCCCTCCCCAGGGTAGGGAGTTAGTGAGAGAGGGCTGCCTTATCTTTATCTAAGAGCCAAGTCAGTCACAGCTTCTAAATATGCTTGTAGGATGAAAGATTGGCGCATGCATAGCATCCTAATGAAGTCATTGATCAATGAACAAAGACAGCGACTTCCTCTCAGCAAACACCACTTACCAAGCACAGAGTGGTCCATTATGCAGGGTTTCCATCACCTTTCCAATCCCAGGAAGCTCAGGGTTTAAAATTAACCAATTCCTAGTAATTAGTAATTAGCTAAGGGTCAGTTGGTTGTTTTGTAGTTTTTCCATTTATTTCCCTACTACCCATGTGGTCATTACCCTTATCTTTCTAATTTTCTGATCTCACATGTGTCTATCACATATATGTGCTTTACTATCAGCCATTTGAATCTGTAGCACTGTGTGTGTGTGTGTGTGTGTGTGTGTACTTATTTTGCCTTGACATGACTTCTTGACTTCATGACTGTAAGAAAGCAATATGCATTAAACAGAAACCATACTTTGGTGCTTCGTATTTTAAATTCATCTTTTCTCACGTCAGTAACATGCAAGAAAATCATTTTTTCCTTATACGGGGATCCAGAGTGAATCACAGCAACAAGTCGGCATAGGAAACAACCAGTATCTACAGGGTGCTGTGCTGCTAAAGTTGGATGTTTGGTAGATTAGTTGTATGAAATTTGTTTGCCGTATTTTGTGGAGATATGTGCATGTTCTCATGTGTGGTACACACACATATGTGTGTGTGGACATGTGTGTTTGGGTCCATATGCACATGCGTGTAGAGGTCAACCCTAGGTGTCCTTCATCAGTATCTCTTATTGGTTTGGAGTTCCCTTAGTAGGCTAGGCTAGCTGGCCAGCAAACCTCAGAGGACTACTTATCTCTGCTTCCCCAGAGCTGGATGACAAGCACACACCACCACACAAGGCTTTTCATTTAGGATATTTTAACTCAAGCTCTTTTGACTTATGGTCTTTTTCAGGATGTAACCACGTCGTAAGTCAACATTAGTATATAATAATCGGACATATACAATAACTATGATGCATGATATATCATCTTCTACACTTAAATTATCATGATACATTATAATATGTGATATAATTTAATGACGTTCTATGGAATGATTAATCATGTATAGAAGAGATTAGTGGAGTTGTCTACTACAGGTCCACTCAGCTCTGAGGAAAGCATGAGCTGAGAATATATCTCAGTTTTGAACATGCCACCACCCTCTTGCTTTGTGCCTAGCTGTGAACAACTGCTCAGGACAGACAAATGGCCCTGAATTCCTGTGGTGACTGACTTACTCTCAGTTTTCCCAAAGAGCCACGTTTAAAGGCTTTACCCTAGAAAATCTTCAAAGCAATCAACTCAGCAAATATTTCTTGGACCCTGTTAATCCCAAGAGCCTGTATTTTACTAGGAATTGATTTCCTATTTTGTATTTCAAACCTATCACATTAGACTAATAAATATACCAAGTAAAAGTCACTCAATTGAATTGCATAAGAAATATCTTGATTTATTTGTATCACTAGGTGATGGAAATTCAGCAACCATATTATCAGGTAAGTGATTTATTGTTATTATCATTGTTATTGATGTTTCTCCTGGGCATGTATGTTTACCCACCTAAATCCAGGAGAGAAGGTGAACAGGTGGGTTTTTAGTTGTGCCCCTGAGAGGAGAGCTTTGTCTTAACCTTCCCTGGATGTTGAATTTTTGTGGGAATGACCTCCAGCACATCACCACAATAGACTCACTAACTGCCTAAAAAAGGGGCTTGTAGTACTTTAAATTTTAGAAAATACTAGAAAATGTTTTGATTATGTAGATTTCATAATTAGTTGGTCGGCTCAGTTTGACCTGCTCCTCTGGGAGTTCACACTCCCTCAATTTTGATAAACGACACGTTTTAAATTTTCTTTGGAGGAAGACTCATTTGCTCACATATGATACTAGCCTATTGTATGAGTTTGCTATGGCATCTATAACAAACTGTCATAATCTGATGACTTAATGTAGACTTTTTTTTTTTTGCCTTGTAATTCTAGAATTCCTAAATCTCAAATGGGTTTCACTTAGCTAAAGGCAAGGTGTCATCCAGGCTATGCTTATTCTGGAAAGTCTTGAAAAGGAAGATCCATTTCTGGATCGGTGTTACTATCACTGTGACAGAAGCAACTTAAAGGAGGAAGGGTTTCTTTTGGGTCACAGTTTAGAGGTACAGTTCATCATGGCAGAAAAGAGTCTTAGTTTCTTTTCTGTTGCTGTGATAAAACACTCCGACAAAGGCAATGTAAGGGAGAAAGTTTATTTAGCTCACAGTTCACAGTGTGGTTCATCCTGGTGTGGAAATCAATGCAGCGGGAGCTTGAAGCAGCTTGTTATATCACATCAATAATCAGGAAGCAGAGAGTGATGAATGCATGCTGCTGCTCAGCCCTCTTTCTTCACTTACAGAGTTCAGAATCCCAACCTAGGGAATGCTGCCACCCAGAGTGGGCAGGCCTTCCCATCTCAATTAATGCGATTGTGATAACATCTTGCAGGCATTCTCATAGATCCATCTTTCAGGTGATTCTAGATTCTGTTAAGTTGACAATCAACAGTGACAGCAACACATAGTTTGATGTCCTCTACACTGCTGTACCTACACACTAGCACAAACCTAGAGACAACATGACACCTACAGCTAGAGTGACCACTATAGACACTGGTACAGCACCTACAGGCCGTGTGACACCTACAGATAGTGTAATACAAAAACTACTAACAAAAACCTCCAGTCATGAAACACTGAGTAAAACAAGCATAAAAAGCAAATAAGAGATCTTGAAGGTCTGCACGTACCAATTCTTAGAATATAATTATCATTGAAGAGCATCTAATACCTGCATTTGGACTTAAAGTCTGACAGAGACAGGTTAGGGAACACTGATTCAGTCTAGGGCTTGGAAGATCAGTGGCCAAGAGGTAGGTTAGCATTCCTATCACTTATGCGGTGGGCCCTTCAGAGCTGAGGAAAAACTATACATGTGAAGTCGCAGGGGGCCCTGGACACCATACTGTCCTTGGATCACCATGAACAATTACTGTTAAGTTTTTTTTTTTTTTTTTTACTCCAGTTCTGCCTGCTGCTGTCTCAACTCAGCCATCTTCTAAACTTGCTTCGAGTTCCTCTGCATCAGGTAGGACCCCATCACCACCATCACTGAACTGACTGCAGTTTTTTAAGTTGTCTACAAGATCATGTGAGAGTTACCCAGAATGCTTTACCTGAGATCATGTGAGAGTGTTACCCAGAATGCTTTACCTGAGATCATGTGATCTGAGGAAAAGGGACTCAATCCTGCCAGCTTCACTTTGTATCTGACTGTCATTAGTTTTACTGTTCCAAGAACACTGGAACTCAAAGCTTCACATTTCACAAATGAAAACTATAACGTGAAAGGATATGCTTGTGCTAGAGAAAGAGAAATTACCAAAAGGTCACTTCACATTCTTTGAACACTAAAAAAAAGTTAAAAAAAAGCTGGCTAATGTCAAGGAGGAATCTGAAATAGGAGAAATTAATTTCGCCTAAGCTGGTAAGTCACAGGCTCACATCTTTCTGGATGTAGTGAGCAGGAGTCACCATTACAGTCCAACTTCATTAGTCATTGTGACAGCTGATGCTGTCTCACTATCTGTGACCACTGTCATTTCAATAATTCAAATATGAGCTATGTAATTCAGAGTGTGACAGGGCTGGTGGAAAGCAGGCCCTTCCTTCTGCAGGGTTCGTGTGGCCACCGAGTACTTGAAAACAACACAGCCGTAGGACTGAGATGTGCTGTGTACATTAAGTACACGCTGGGTCTTTTGAAGACTTAGGGCCGTGGACACTGTTGTTCAGCAGGCATGAAGCTTCTGTAGCAACATGAGCGAGTTCCAGAGAGCTACGGGATGCTAACACAGTATTGTTCACTTGAACTTTTGTGAAGGGGGCGGCTCTTGGTAAGCATCCTTGCTGCACACATACACAGAACACAGGGAAACTTGGAGGTAGGAGATAGATTCATTCCCTTACTTATGGTGATGCTTCCACAGATATATTCTGGCTCTGAATTCATTAATTTGTATACATTGAAAACATAGTACACTAATTATACTTCAATGAAGCTGTTTTCTGAAAAATTACTTAGGGTCGGGATGGAGTGGATCAGTGGGTAGGGGCACTTTCTATGTAAGCATCAGGACCTGAATTCAGATCCCCAGCACCCACATAAATAGCCAGGCATAGTCACACATGCCTATATGGCTCCAGAGCTGTGGGCTGGAGGAAGGGGTAGAGACAGGAGGATCACTGGGACTTGCTGGTGGATATTCTTGCTCCAAGTTCAGTGGGAGATCTGGTCTAAAGGAATGCAGCAGAGAGTGATATAGAAGGACACAAGATGTCCTCCACTGCCTCAGAAGTGGCAGTGCTTGATGTGCCTCACAGCCGCAAGAGTGAGGGCACTTCCTTCCTAAGGATGCAGAGCCCCAGGTCCTTGTCAGCTCCCAAAGGCCCCAACTGACCCCATCTGTGTGGAGACCAAGGTCTCTCCAAGCTCTTCCCCACAGAACCCTCTCCCAGTATCTTTCTTTCTGTTTGTGTTTGGATGTGCTCAGGCTAGGCAGGTCCCTAATCTCTGAGCAGCAGGAACCCAGCCTTGTCCTGCTCTTGAGAGGAGGAAGGGATCAAAGTTCTTGGACCTAGTAAGCCTGAGCTCTTCATAAGGAATCCAGGAGGAGACGTGAATCTGGGCAAAGATGGTATCCCAAAGGAGAAAAGCATGCATGAGAGACTTGTCAGCACATACTGGACCGAAGTCTCAAAGATTCCTGAGCAAGGCAAGAAACTCAGGTCTGAGCCCTGTGTCAATCATCTTTACAGGACATTAGCAAACTATAACCCATCGCCTGCTTGTTATGAATAAAGTTTTATTGGAACAGCAAGTTATGTACGGATTATTATGGCAGCTTTTGCACAGTAAGAGCAGAGCTGTTTACCATCTAACCCTTTATAATTTTCTAACCCTGTGATTTAACCATTCAGAGGATTCAGTTTCCTTATCTATAAAATTTGCCTTCAAGGTTAACAAATATAGTATTTATATAATAAACAAACAAAATAGCCCTGTAGAGACTGGTGATATAGCTCAGTTGGGGCAGTGCTTGACATGCATGCATGACAACCATATACCAGCACTCCACAGCAGAAGTATCCACACCATAAGAGCACTTGTTCAGCTATGTTCATATCAGCATTGTTTGTAATAGCCAGAACATGGAAACAACCCAGATGCCCTTCAACTGAAGAATGGATAAACAAAATGTGGTACATATACACAATGGAATACTACTCAGCAGAAAAAAACAATGGCATCATGAGGTTTGCAGACAAATGGATGGATCTAGAAAAAATCATCCTGAGTGAGGTAACCCAGACTCAGAAAGACAAACATGGTATGTACTCACTCATAGCAGGATACTAGACATGAAACAAGGATGAATTGTCTGCTACTCAAATACATAAATAAGCAAATTCTATAATGGATGCAGACCCTTTGGCTGTTCACAGTTTACATTTCTATGTCCACTTCCAAACAAAAAAGAGAAGCCATGTTAAAATTCTTTTTTAAAAATAACATAACAAAATAAAACATAATAAGATAAAACAAAAACTGTCACATAGGAGTTGGACAAGACAAAGAGGAGGAAAAGAGCCCAAAAGAAGGCACAAGAATCAGAGACCCACTCTTTCACGCATGCAGGAATTCCATAAAAATACTAACCTGGAAGCCATATTATATACACAGAGGACCTGGTGTAGACCTGTGCAGGTCCTGTGCACACTGCTTCAGTCTCTGTGAGTTCATATGAACTTTGATCATGTTGATTTAGAGGGCCTTGTTTTCTGGTGTCCTCCATCCCTTCTGGCTCTTACACTCTTTCCACCCACTCTTCTGGAGTTCCCTGAGCCCTGAGGAGAGGGATTTGGTGGAGACATCCCATTTAGGGCTGAGTGTTCTAAGGTCTTTCACTCCCTGCGTAACATCTGGCTGTGAGTCTCTGTATTTGTTCCCATCTGCTGCAGGAGGAAGCTTCTCTGATGATGCTAAGCAAGGCGCTGGTCACATTTGCCTTTCTGGGCAAAAGTATCAGATGTACAAATAAGTAAATTCTGTAATGAATTCAGAACCCTGTTCACAGTTTACATTCACTTCTAAATGTGTGTGTGTGTGTGTGTGAGAGAGAGAGAGAGAGAGAGAGAGAGAGAGAGAGAGAGAGAGAGAGAGAGAAGGAGAGAGAGAGAGAGAGAGAGAGAGAGAGAGAGAGAGAGAGAGAGAGAGAGAGAAGCTGCATTAAAATTCTTGAGTCATCTGAGTGACTGCCTAGGAGCTGATCAGAAAGGGAAGAGCTGTGCCTCCTCAGCCAACACCACTCTGCTCAGAGCTGACGCCTGGACGCTGGATTTGGACCTAACTCTCTGCTGCCTCCGACCCCTGTGGGCCTCACCATGGCTTGTCACCTCCTTGTACTTGACTTATCTCTTCTGAAAAGTGGGACGACCACTTCTTTCAAAGAGCTGCTAGAAGGACTAAGTGGGGGAACCTGCAGAGCATTTAGCAGAGAGCCTGGTGCGGGGCTGGTGCCCTACGGTGTGACCAGGTTTAATGGCAGTGTGCCACCGCTCTGAGGGAGATAAGCAGTTGAAGTACCATTCCCTGAGACTAGCCACAGCCACCTGTCCCTTCTCCCTAAACCACTGCCAGTCACCAGCTTGCTTTCTTCCTCTATGTGTTTATTTACCTATTCTTGATATTTCATGTAAATTAAACCGCAGAAAATCCAGTGTGTTCACGCCCAGCAAAATATCAATCAAGGCTGTGCGGTTCCTTTCAAAAATTTTGAATGGAAAGGTAATATATTATTTTTCAGCAAACTTGAAGCATCAAAGAAGTCCCCCTCCTTCTATTCAATATTAACCATCCCAAGTCAGTTTCCTTGTACTGTTTCTCCAATAGCTCTCCCAGCTTCCCACACTCCAGAAGACTTGACCCGTCCACCTGCACCATCCGGTAGGTCAATGGGCCATGAATTGAAACAACAAAACTTGGGTGTAGTACACAGCATGGGCCATGCCCAGCATTCTAGGCCTGTGGAACGGATGGGCTGATGTTCAGGGCTGGGGCAGACATACTGCTCAGGGATACGCGGAGGATGTGATGCTCAGTATCATTTGCAGTGCCACACTTTAACCCACCACGAGGGTCTTCATCTGTTCTGCTCCTTACCTTTCTGTCCCTACACAGTGCTTGCCACACGCTAGACACCAAAGCAGTGTTTACTGAACAAATAAAATGTCCAAGGAGCAGACAGGCTTTTGATCTCCCTTGACGCACCCTGGATTTTTGGCCCCAAATCCTGCTAGACAGTGGGACACAGAAGCACTCTCTGTAAAGTGTTAGTAACTTTATCTGTACAATTCCTTCTTTAGAGAGTGCTGCTAATGTTTCACAAGTGAGAAAATGAGAAAAGAAAGTGCTTCTGACAAACGTTTTGTGTGTGTTTTAGGATCGTTGGATGGTGAGAAGTTACCAAGTGTCCTGTCAGGTAAAAGCAATGCCTCCATCGTCAGTCCTGCCGTGTGCAGCCTCACTATCTAGATGGATTGTGGGGCAGACAAGTCACCAGATTATATAATGTCCTCTGGGGTCAGTGAAGACAACCAGTGTCCTCAAGAACACCTTGACTTTTATAACACGGGTCCAGTTTTTCAATGACTGCCTTATTAACACCAAGGATCCTCATGGAGAACTCAGAGTCTCTGCAGGGTGAAGAGGAGGGAAGTGTTTAGAACTGCAGGATCTTGCTGGGTAGCTGTCAGCCTTCTGAACTTGGTTCAGGTTTCCCTGAAAATCAAGCAGTTTGTGAGTCCAGGATGTGGGTGAAGTGAGACCAACCTCTGACTCCTGTGCCAGATGCTAGCTCAGCTCTTTGATGATGTGTTCTGTGTTTGTCTCAGGAGAAGACCTTCAATTCTCACCCCCATTTCCATATCATTCCAGTTCTTCCTGTGGTTGACGCAGCACCTGCTAGTCGAAGAGCGCCTGTGCCCAGGCTCGGCCTCCAAGGTAAGAGAGCTTCCTGTGATCCACCGCTGGGGATCATCAGAAGGAGCTAGAGCAGCTGCAAGTTGCTGAAGTACTTGAGAAAGCACCACAGTGAGAGAGGACTCACCATCCTCCAGACCTGGCTGATTAGTTGATCCCCTCCCCCACAGGACATTGACACCTGTAATCTTTTTATTCTTGCTCTTCTAGGGGAAATGTTGTAAAGTTCAGAACACACACACACACACACACACACACACACACACACACACACACACACCCCAAACAGATCCCCATGTCATTACTTATTATTTATTACCTGTGTTTTATCTTACTGGTTTCCATTCTTACCAAGAAATGAGTCAGTTAAAGGCGAGGCTTCCATCCCTGTTGGCTAGCTTTCACAGTTCTGAAAGGTGCTCTGCATGCTAATGGGAGAGAGCAGCAATCAAAAGCCGTACATAGCTGTGACTTCCGTGACCGACAGTAACAACTGGCGTGGCAAGATGTGCCCCAGTGGTGCAATAGTGTTACCAAGGTTATGGGACTAACCAACCACTTTCTGATTAGACTTAGCCCGCCCCGCAAGATAGAACCCATGCCTAGTATCATTAATACACAAAAAATAAATAAAATAAAAACAAAAAATACGTGACTGTCTAGGTCATAGGCTTTAGGGAGAAAACTACTATTACTACTGTAGTATTAATATTATTATTATTACATAGTAATAAACTGTGCCCTAAGTTCTTATCTTTATACCTATATGTTAGTAGATCTTTCAATCCTCACCAAAGAAGCTTCCTTTTATAGTAGGTGACAATACAGAGACCCACAGCTAGTCGATGTGCATAGAATCAGAGACTGTGGAGTAGCCAGCTCCAAATAGAACGGCTGTCTCACACCTCCTCACCACAAGGTTCACTTGTCCTCATAGAAGAGGGGATAGAAAGAGTGTAAGAGCTGGAGGTAGTAGATAACAGCACAATAGTATGTGTTTGACATGGCTGTGCTATTATTACATACATGGGTTCAGTGGCTTTGAATGCTTACACAAGACCTGGGTCACATCAAGCCAGATACGATCCCAGTGTGGATGTGGGAGGGGCTTGTGAAGTCCCACCCCTGTACGAGTAGCTGCTGGTATCTGATGGCTGTTGGGGGTGAGGGGGGCAGAGTCAGTTTTCCTCACCAGTGTGGTAACTGTGAAGCTACCCACACTCCAGTGGATGACCTACAGCCGTACACACAGACAGCACTAAGTGGACTCAGTGAGCTAAAAATAGAAATAAGTTAATAAATAAAGAGAGCATGGGAAGTTGAGAGGGAGAAGTGGTGGGGATATATGGAAAGAATTGGAGGGGAGAGTGATTTGACCGAAACACATCATATGCATGTATGAACTTTTCAGACAAACCAAGATGAAGCCTCCAGGGTTAGCACTGTAGCTCAATGGTAGCTACCAAGTATCCCTCTGGATTCTGTCCCTAGCACACCACAAAAGTAACAGTGTTTTAAAGCAAAAATAAATTACTATGAAGCTCCTACTACCCACCCCAGTCTCCCCTTCGCCTTCTTCAGAGACAAGCACTCTTCTGAATGTTACAAGTTTCCTCTTTTCATTTTTTAATACATATGAATTATATGATTTCTGTCCATGTTATTTTGTGGTCTAGCACAAATTACATTAGTCCCTATATATCATGCCATACTGTTTTTTAAAAGCCAGTTGCTCTTTTAGACAAATTGATGAGCGGGAGAGGGAGAAAGATAACTGTTACTATCAACTGTTAATTTGGTGAATGTTACACACAGTGAAATCAATTTCCCCAAATTTTCATGTCTCCCTTGCTGACATCAGTGTGAAGTACCATTGTGTTAGAAACATATGCTCCATCGCCTAACTGATTAGCTCAGTGGTTAACAAAGAATACATCACGTGATATTATTATTATATACTTTTTGCCCACATGCTCTTATACACCTGAAGGACTGACTCTGAATAGTAAGTCAGGCAACTAGGCAGGTTCAACGGAAAAGCTCCCACTTTATTTTCTCTCTACAGAAGATTGTTCTGGGCTGAGGCTGGTATGTGGCTCTGAAGGATGATCTGGGTGGGTGAGGTTTCCCACTAAGGCACATGTGTGACAGTAGCTGGGACTTGGCAGAGGCACAGGGCATGTATAGGCAACTCATGTGTGGTCGAACAATATCTGCTCCCCTCAGCTCCTGCTTCAGTCAGGGATTTGGAAAGTCCCATGTGCCCACAACAACTGACTCCCACACTGGTGGATGAGGAGGGCTCCAGAGCCATCTGCTCTGCTAAGGGGGTCTTTTGCATTCCAAGAGTTCTGTAGATTGAATGGGTCATTGACTCACTTCTGGGAGAGATGATACCTTCTCTCAGTACTCTAACAGGCCCTCTAACAGCAGCAACACACATGTGCAGGCACACACACACACACACACACACACACACACACACACTCCCTGCCCTCAGGTAACACTGGTTTCTGAATCCCTTCTACATTGACTTCTGCCTCTGGTTTATTCTGTGTAATGGGTGTGGTATGAAAATGAACTGTTGTACCAGGCTTCAAACAGTCTAAAGAGGCTGGTTTTGAATGATCTACCATCACCTTCAAGCCTAGAGAGGTGTTGCTTAAATCTCGGCACTCCATAACTGATGGGTGAAGGGCACAGCACTCAGCGCTGAGTGCAGACCCAGTCCTGGTGGCTCTTGTTTCTGTTCCTACTGCAGAGTCTGGGGTTGCAGCATCCTCACACACACACACACACATTGTGAGGCTTGATCCAGTTCTTCCCCTAATTGCGTTAGGTAAACTTCCCCTTCTAAAATTCGTTTTGTGGGATTACAGTAGAGCTCCCTGGGCTAGGAGAGTAAAGTACATGCTAATTACAGTCAAAGAGATGTATCCATGGCAGGACTGGAGATTATTTTAGCAGAGAATGGGATATTCAGGCAATGGGATGTCAAATGTGTCAAATGAGTTCTATCAAGAGCTCTCTATTGTTCTGTTCTGTAAGAGCTGTTTAGGAAATATCAATTGTCTCCAAGTAGTTGATGAGCTCTAATCTAGTCATGGAAGTCAGGCATTGTCTGCAGCAGTGTGAGGCTGTAATTTCCCCAGACGTCAATGCTGTTTCATCTTTTCAGAAATATAAGTTATTATAACCACAGTGTAAACACTGCTCTGGACCTTAATGCTGATTTCCTTTCCTCAGAAGGTGCTGACGGCTCACCAGACCACACTCCAGCAGCAGATCCCGAGTCATCCAAACCATCAGGTTGGTTGCCTTGCTTTTCCTCCTGAGAATGTCTCTTGCACAAGTGAGAGGAGAAAAGCCTTCGTGCTGCATTGTGTTCTACTTCCTTTTCTGTTGCTGTGATAAAACATTCTGACCAAAAGCAGCTTAGGGGAAAGGGGGATGATTTCAATTTACAGGTTATGGTCTATCACTGAGGAAAGTCAGGGCAGGATGTCAAGATGGATCCTGATGCAGAAATCAAGGCTGCTTGCTGCCTTGATCAGGTTCATACCTAGGTCGCTTTCTTATACAGCCCAAGGCCACCTGCTCAGGGAATGGTTCCTCCTCCTTTATGCCTTCAGCATTCTCTCTCTCCTTTCATTTCATCTATAATTAATTTTCTCCTCCCTAAATGCATCAATCCACCCACCGGCCTCCTAACTTCCCGAGTTTCATGTGAATTCCAGGGTACACTCATAAAACACATGATTTGAAGCTAGCACTTGCCTGTGAGTGATAACATGCAACAATTGTCTTTTGGGGGCCTGGGTGACCTCAATAAGTGTAATTTTCCCCATTCCATGTGTTTAGTTGCAATTTTCATGATTTCCTTATAGCAGAGTCATATCCAATTATGTAAATGTAGCACATATTCATTATGTATCCATCAACCAATGCATATCTAGGTTGATTCCATTTCCTATCTATTGTCAATAAAGAGGCAATGAATGTGGATGTGCAAGTGTCTCTGTAGCAAGATCTATAAAGGTCTCCAAAGAAGGAATACATGTGGCCAGTAAGTACTTCAAAGAGTGTGCAACATCCTTAGCTACCAGGGAAATGCCAATTAATACTACTTCAAGATTCCACCTCACCCCAGTCAGAATGACCATCATCAGGGACACAGATGACAACAAATGCTGGCATGGCTGTGGCAAAAGGGGAACGCTTATATACTCTTGGTGGGAGTGTAAACTAGTACAGATACTTTGGAAATCAGTTTGGAAATTTCAAAGAGAAAGAAAGGAAGGAAGGAAGGAAGGAAGGAAAGAAGGAAGGAAGGAAGAAAGGAAGGAAGGAAGGAAGAAAGGAAGAAAGAAAGAAAGAAAGAAAGAAAGAAAGAAAGAAAGAAAGAAAGAAAGGAAGAAAGAAAGAAAGGAAGGAAGGAAGGAAGGAAGGAAGAAAGAAAGAAATAAAGAAAGAATTATCACATGACCCAGCTATACCACTTCTATTTTTACTTTTTTTCCTTTTTTTTCAAAGACAAGGTCTGACTCTATAGCCCAGACTGGTCTGAAACTCATGGTAAGACCCCACCTGCCTAAGCTTCCCAAGCATTGAGATTAAAGGTGTGCCCACTCATGCTAGGCTACCAGCCACTACCCTAGAAACTTCTCTTTTCACTTACCTTTCTGTATGACTTATAGCTGCCCACAGGGGAAGTTTCTGCCCCTATATCTTACAGCTCTCCTTTGGACTCCAGATACCCAGAAGGAACCTGGCACAGTGCAGCTGTGCACTGGTTCTTCTGGAGTCAATGGGAACTCCTCTTGACACCCTAACCAGGCAGGCTCCATTCCAGGATATGTGACCCTGGTCCAGGTCTTCCTTTGGCTATGAGTAGAGCAGGTTATCTAAAGGGAATATGAATAAAGAAATGTTTAAATTATCTTTTGCCATGTAAAACCAGTCCCAAAATACAAAGGTATGAAATACTCTCCCCCTTTTAAATTATTGCTTATGAGTTTACAAGTTAGCTGGGCAGTTCTGCTGCTCTAGGTCAGGCTTGCTGACTGTGGCTTTGGTTTTCTCATGAGTGTGAGTCACTGGAAAGTCAACTGAAGATGCCTATCCTAGAATCGGCTCCCTTACATGTCTGCAAGCAATATAGCTGCCACCTGAAGTGAGTGAAATGACCAGCTACATTGTGTCCTTCATCATCCAGCATGCTCGCCTATGCTTATTCACATGATGCTCTAGGGTGCCCAGGGAGTAAGTTACATCTGCATGCTCTCAAAGTCAAGATGCACGAAAGGCCCTGAGCACAATGCCAATAGAGGAGGAAAGAAGCCTGGCGTCTCACTGGGAGCATCTCAGGGTCGTATTGCAAAGAGGATAAGGAAAGCGAATAATAGCTATTTCCGCAAATGATTCATCACTGTGAAGCTGTCTTGAAACAGGATGCAGATAAGGAAAGTACCATAGGTTCTATGGAGCAGACACAGTGGGGTAATTGCATAGGTTGCCTTGGGTAGTCAAGGAAGATAATACCAGACTGGATTGTAGACAATAGCCATCAGCGGACTGAGAAGACCACTAACTATCACCTCCCTGCCCCTTTTTTCTTCCCCAGGAGGCTGGGTCCCTGTGCGGCTGGCAGGCAACCATGGGAGATGTGCGGGCCGTGTAGAACTCTTCTACCAGGGAGTCTGGGGAACTGTGTGTGATGACCTCTGGGACCTCCCAGAAGCAAACATCATCTGTAGGCAACTGGGGTGTGGCTGGGCTGTTTCAGCCCTGAGTGAAGCTTACTTTGGGGAAGGTTCTGGGAAGATTCTCCTTGACAACGTGCGTTGCAAGGGACATGAAGAGCACCTGGAGGAATGCTCCCACATTGGCTGGTTCTCCCACAACTGTGATCACAGTGAAGACGCCAGTGTCATCTGTTCAGGTAAAGCCCATGTCCTTTAGAGCCAAGCCTCGGCCCCTCCAAGAGAACACCCTTCATGCCTATCTTAGTTACTGTTCTCTCTGCTGTAGCAAAATACTAACAAAAGTGAAAGGAAGAAAGGGTGTGTTTTGGCTCACAATTTGAGGATAATGTCTGTCATTGTGATGGAAGTGTGAATGCGCTTGTCCCATTGCACCTGCTGTCACACATCAGACCGGGGGATGCTTTATACTTTTATCCCTTTTATGCAGCCTGGGACCCCTCATCCATCAGATTATAGTCTTCCCTCCTCAGCTATACCTTTCTGGAAACACCCTTGTAGACTTGTCCAGAGGTGTCTCCAAGGTGGTTCCAAATCTAGTTAAGTTGACAATGAAGAGAGGCTAATTATCACATTGTGTGTAAAAATAACCACTGAACACATGCCAGTATGCCACTCACTCACTCACAGCAGATGTTTTCATGTCTCACTTTTGTAGACACTGAATATGTAACAAGGTCTCTACCAGGTAGGGAAGATGATGTTTATGTATGTGGTTCACTGGAGGCTTGGGAAGAGGTTCTGTTGGAAACTGGGTTTGTTTTATTCTCCAAGACAGTGGAGTGGCAGATAAACAAGACATGTAATCACCTGATTGTCCAAGAGGAAAGTATAAAGTGCCTTCAAGGTCATCTGACTCAGCCTCATTACCCTTCACATCCTCTACTGTGCATCCTACACACAGGATAATTGACTTCTCAGACTTCTGTGAATACTTTGTTCAGTCAGTTTTGAGGTGTGCATAGAGACAGAGGCCGATGCATGGTTGAAATGTGAGATATGGCCAAGACATTTCCTTCCAAGTGGGAAATGGCTAGAGAAAATTACTATCCCAGTGAGGCAATTCCCATTTCCATTCCATAATGAGAGAGAAAGGTCTGATCCATGTCTGTCTTCCCAGCAGGGAAAGGGAAGTCTCTATAGAGATGAGAAAAGTTTCGAACTTCAGGCACATGTTTGCCAATAGCTTAAAGTTTATAACTTTAATAATCCTAAGGCACACCCACAAAGTGCTGAGCAGTAAAACCTCTTTTTTGGAAAAGTGAAAAGGAAAAAAGTGTGAATTATAAATTTAGTAAACTGAACAATGAATGCTAAAGGTTCAAAGCACCCTTTTCTTAGAATTTTATACAATGAGTATAGTTGCATCATATCCATCCCACCTCACCCTTCTAACTTCTCCCTTGATCACCAAAACTCCTCTCAAATTTATGTCATGTCTCTATCTATCTATCTATCTATCTATCTATCTATCTATCTATCTATCTATCTATCTATCTATCTATCTATAAATCTACCTGTCTGTCTGTCCGTCTGTCCATCCATCCCTCCCTCCCTCCATCCATCTACCTATCATCAAACTATCATCTCTCTCTCTCTCTCTCTCTCTCTCTCTCTCTCTCTCTCTCTCTCTCTGTCTATCTATCTATCTATCTAACCATCCATCGAGCTATATATCTACATATCTGAGTCCAATTGGTGTTGCTCATATGTAAACGATGAACTAATTATCACATTATGTGTAAAAATAACCACTGAACATATGCCAGTATGCCACTCAGCAGATGTTTTCATATCTCACTTTTGTAGATGCTGAATATGTAACGGCACTATCAGGTAGGGAAGATAATGTTTATGTATGTGGTTCACTGGAGGCTTGGGGAAGAGGTTCTGTTGGAAACTGCGTTTGTCTTATTCTCCAAGGCAGTGGAGTAGCAGATAGACAAGACATGTAATCACCTGATTGTCCAAGAGGAGAGTAGAAAGTACCTTCAAGGTCATCTGGCCCAGCCCCACCACCCTTCACCTCCTCTGCTGTGTATCCTACACACAGGATAATTGACTTCTAAGACTTCTGTAGAATATTTTGTCCAGTCAGTTTTGAGGTGTGCATAGAGACAGGTTCAGGCCCGGTTCCACAAAGTATCCATCGCTATTGGCATTCCTTCATCCTCCCTGGAGTGTCTCATGCCCAGTCTCCCCCTTTCTCAGACCTTGAGGTCTCTTGATGTCATACTCTTAGATGACTCTCAGTCAGAGAGTGAGTTAGGAATAAAGCTGGGTGTCCCAAGGTCTAGAAAAGTTTCATTACACTAGTGGTCACCCCTGCTGGTGGGAACAAATTGATCCAGAAGGATGATCTGCAATGGATGATACTGAGCTTAGAGTTGCTAGAGGGGAGATGTTGGGAGCCTGGAAGAGGCCCTGCATCTTTAAGCCCTGACTCAGTATCTCTTAGCAACACCGAGTCCAAGGAAAGCTGAGTGTGTGTGTGTGTGTGTGTGTGTGTGTGTGTGTGTGTGTTTCTGTTCTTGTGAATGTGGGTACACATGCACATACATGTTTGTGTGTGTGAGTGTGTGTCAGAGGACAACCTCAAGGCATTGCCCATCTTAATTTTTTTGGACAAGGACTCTCATTGGCCAAGGGCTCACTGGTTAGGCTAGGCTGGCTGGCCAGTGAGCCCCAGGGACCCACCTGAGTTTGCTTCCTTGGCACTAGGATTGCAAGTGTGTATCACTAAGCCCAGCTTGTTTGTACACGGGCTCTAGAGATCGAACTGTGCTTGCAAGGCAAGCGCTTTACCGTTTGAGCCGTCACTCTGGCCCCTGAAGTGGTGTGTCTTCTTATTTCTACTTCCTAAGCTTACAATCCCCAGCCCCATGGGTTACTGAGGCTTTAGGAGCTAGAGCTCTTTGGTTTTTATTTTAAACCCTTGATTTTAAAATTATCCTGTTTTTATGTGTGACAAGGGAGTAATACATCGAAGTCTAGGAGGGATCTCGTCAGCTCTTCAGCACTGCTTGAGAATTGTGGCACAAGGCTGTTAGATGCTCAGGCCTCTCCTCTAGAGACGGACTCAGGAGTCCCGGAGGGCCCGAGGCACTGTATTTGCCATGAGCTCCTCACGATTCTTGAACACAGACTCTTATGCAGTCCTATGTCAGCTGCTGGTCCACATGTTCTTTCTGTGTTTGGCAGATGCCCCATTTGCTGCCGTGAAAGAAGCAACAGTGGTTCCAGGTGAGAACTCAATGTCCTTGGATATCCTCTTTCTTTGAAAAAAAATTTAATCAATTTTTAAAATTTATTTTCTATACTAACCACAGTTTCCCCTCCCTCCTCTCATCCTGTTCCCTCCCCCACCTCCTTTCTACCCCTCCCTATCCACTCCTCAGAAAGGGTAAGGCCTCCCATGGGAGTCAACAAAGCCTGGCATACCAAATTGAAGCATGACCAAGCTCCCCACTGCATCAAGGCTGAGCGTGGCATCCCACCATAGGGAATAGGTTCCAAAAAGCCAGCTCATGTGCCAGGGATAGATCTTGGTGCCACGGCTAGGAGCACAAACAGACCAAGCTACACAGCTATCACCTACAGGCAGAGGGCCTAGGTCGGTCCCATACAGGCTCCCTAGCTGTTGGTCTAGAGTCCATGAGCTCCCAGGAGCTCAGGTCAGCTGTCTCTGTGGGTTTCCCCATCATGGTCTTGAACCACCACCCCCCTTGCTCATATAAACCCTTCTCCCTCTTCAGCTTGACTCTCAGAGCTCAGCCCAGTGCTTGGCTGTGGATCGCTGCATCTGCTTCCATCAGTTACTAGATGAAGGTTCTATGATGACAATTAGGGTAGTCACCAATCTGATTACAGAAGACCAATTAAGGCACCCTCTCCACTATTGCTAGGAGTCTTAGCTGGGGTCATCCTTGTGGATTCCTGGGAGTTTCCTTGCCACCTGGTTTTTCCCTAATCACATATGGCCCCCTCTACCAAGATATCTTTTTCATTGCTCTCCCTCTTTGTCCCTCCCCTAACTTAACCATTCTGATCCCTTATGTTCCCATGATCCTCAAATCCATGATCCCCAAATCTGCCTCTCAAATCTATGCCATGTCCCCTTGTCCCTATCTATCTATCTATCTATCTATCTATCTATCTATCTATCTATCTACCTATCTATCCATCTACCCATCTATCTACCTATCTGGGTTCAGCTAGTGTTGCCCATCTGTACAAGGGTTTGGGGGCTGATCACTTGAGAAGAGCAACCTACCAGGGGCCTCATCAGTAAATAAAACTGATGCTCTGTTGGGAGTTATTGTCTGACCTGCCACTCTTCAGCCAGGGGTGGGGCCTTGTGAACCTTTCTTCCACCCATGCTGGCATGTTGACTGCTGTGGTCTCGTGCAGTTTTTGTTGTCACACCTCTTTCTTCTTTTAGGAAGATCTCCTTGTGGTGGTGTTATTACCAATGCTCCTGGAAAAATTAAGAACCCCCCAATGAGTGAAATGCATGACAACATAACCTGTGTGTGGGAAATCAGGGCAAATGCCTCTGACCGTGTAAGACTGGCATTCCCGTCTCTTGAGTAAGTGATACACACTATGTAAGTATGTTGTGCACTTCTGATCATTCAGCACGACGTTGATTCTCGTATTCAAAAGAGTCCTTCATGTATTTTCAGCTTTTTATTTTGAAATAACTGTGAGCGTAGAGGAAATTGCAAAAGCAATACATAGCCCTGTGTACCCCTCTCAAGCATCTCCCAGTGATAGAATATTATCAAAGCCACCAAATTGATATCAGTGTGAATGTTAACTGGACCAAAACCCATAGTCAATTCTCAAAAATTTTTACATGCAGTTATTTGTGTGAGGATGGGGGTGGGTTGTTCCACACAGTTTAATCCTGTGAATGGCTACACAAAATCCCTGTTCCATTCCAGGTCCATTGCACAAAGGAACTACCCTTTCACGTTTTGTATCCCCAGATCACCTCATTTCTGTCCCTTAACTGTCATCTATTCTCCACCTCTACATGTTGTCATTTCAAGAATGTTCTGTGAATGGAATGATACAGCATACAGTTTGGTAGAGATCTGACTTTTTTCACTCAGCATAGTACCCCTAAGATCCCATTCAGGTTGCTGTAGTATCTAGGGACTGTTGCTCTTTACTGTGGAAAAGGGTTTTGTTAATATGGCTGAGCCAGCATTGGTTAGTCCTTTCCCCTCTGAGAAATATCTGGCTTGTTACTAGTCTTCAATGATTTCAAATAAAACTTCTCAGGACATTCAGGGAAGGTTTTTACATCAATGTAAGATCATTTGTCAGGGTCGAATGTCCAAGAATGCGACTGCTACATTGTATGGTAAGTACACAGTTAGCTTCTTAGGACAGAGAGACTTTCCCACAACGACTATTGTTTCATCTTCCCACCAGCAACACATGTAACCCGGCTTCACCTTGCCCTAGGTAATGTGTGGGATTTTAGACTACCTCTTTACAAGCTTGTACATATAGATATTGCTTTCCTTAGATGCTGTTAGAATGATTGTGAATTATATTGTTTTTCACACTTTCATTATATATATATAAAGAAATATGATTACTTTTTGTATGTTTGTGAATTTTTCCAAGATGTGACTTTACTTTTTAATGTAATGTTTCATATACTTTTTGAGAATTTCATACATGTAACAATATATTTTGATCATATTCATACTTCCATGCATTTTTTAATTTTAAAAAATTCACTATACAGGCTTTGGATAGGAGAGACAGAGAGAGGAACACACACACATACACAAACACTTCATGTGTCTGGCTATCTGGCGAAAGATACAGAATCTGAGGAAATTTTAGGTTTTAATATTGTAAATACACAAAAACGAAGTCATTCACAGATTAAAGTTATGTTTAACTTTATATAACTATAAAGTTATATTTAACCCCAAGAAAACACCAAATCATTTATGTATCTTAAATTGTGCTTAATTTAAAGATGGTTTGGAATAGATGGCTGTTGGGCTGGTGATGTGGAAACAGTAGCACTGGCGACAGCCACATGGAAGTTCACAGAGAAACACAGAGCTGGCAAAGCAGATAGCTTCCACAAAGCCAGTGGAGCAGATCTGGGTCCCACTGGAGCAGATCTGGGTCCCACTGGAGCAGATCTGGATCCCACTGGAGCAGATCTGGGTCCCACTGGAGCAGATCTGGATCCCACTGGAGCAGATCTGGATCCCACTGGAGCAGATCTGGATCCCACTGGAGCAGATCTGGGTCCCACTGGAGCAGATCTGGATACCACTGGAGCAGATCTGGGTCCCACTGGAGCAGATCTGGATCCCACTGGAGCAAATCTGGGTCCCACTGGAGCAGATCTGGATCCCACTGGAGCAGATCTGGGTCCCACTGGAGCAGATCTGGATCCCACTGGAGCAGATCTGGATCCCACTGGAGCAGATCTGGGTCCCACTGGAGCAGATCTGGGTCCCACTGGAGCAGATCTGGGTCCCACTGGAGCAGATCTGGATCCCACTGGAGCAGATCTGGATCCCACTGGAGCAGATCTGGGTCCCACTGGAGCAGATCTGGATCCCACTGGAGCAAATCTGGGTCCCACTGGAGCAGATCTGGATCCCACTGGAGCAGATCTGGGTCCCACTGGAGCAGATCTGGATCCCACTGGAGCAGATCTGGATCCCACTGGAGCAGTTCTGGGTCCCACTGGAGCAGATCTGGGTCCCACTGGAGCAGATCTGGGTCCCACTGGCTAACTGTCAAAGCTTGTCTGTTTGGGATCCAGGTGGATTTGAACCTGCAGCTATATTCTGTTACCAGCCTCATGAACAACCAAACCCTAAAATTCCTCATTTTAGACTCTTCCTCTCAAACATCACATGATGAAATGACCTTGATTAGCTATTGGCCTAAAACTGTCAAGTACTCTGTGGTCACAGCAGCCCCCATTCCTCAACAGGGTCCACTAGAGTCAGCCTTCTTTCCTTCCCATCAGCTAAAAACCCCATTCCTTTCAGACAGTATTTTTCAAAGGAAAAATACAGGATGAAAGGATCATACTGTGTCTGCATCACAGACAGGATTTGAGCTTGTCCCCAGCATTCTTACTCATACAAAATAAAGCAGGGCTCACAAAGTACCTCCTAACTTTCTAATGAGGAGATTAAGAGACATTCATGATATTTGCTTCCCCAGACTTGACTGCACCAATGAGTATTTTGAAATCCTGGATGGCCCTCCATCTTCCACGGAGTCCCTGGGGAAACCCTGCAGTGGGCTGCACATCACCTTTGCATCCCACTCAAGCTCAATGACCCTTGTGTATTTCCGAGGCATGAACAACATTGGGAAAAATTTCATGGCTTATTATTATTTTGAAGCCAAAGGTAAGAAGATGGCATGGAGTCACAGCTCTGTGACCTTAAGCAAGCCATTTGACTGATGGGAAATCCATTGTGGGGCTTCACACAACACAAGATGGGTCATTAAGGAGTCATTTCTGATAACACTCTGACTCTAGTCCCAGATGGGTGCTACAGATTATACAGAGGAAGGGGATGTGTTCCTTTAGGTCCTCTCTCAGACTTGTACACAACATATAAGGAGTTCAAGATTAATATACAAGACACAATCAGAAGGTAAATGGAATATACTAAATTAAGGCAAGCCAATAAAATAGTATGTGTACTAGAATGTGCTACACAGACACATATATTCATATCAAAAAGGGACATTAGAAAAGACAGGAGCACTAAAGGCTTCAAACACCAAGGAAAACAGCAGGGGAGATCAATTTTGGATTTGCCTGTGACATTGGGTAAGCTGTTCATAGAGAAACAGCAAGAGGACTCAAGAAGCAAGATCAGTGCTGGAAATGGGATGCAGTGCATGCTGGGAAGGCAGAAGCTAAGCTGAGGGCCTCTGTTAGAGCACAGTATGCACAAGTTAAGCAAGATCAATTAAAACAATTGTGAGCCAAATACAATAACAGCTGATGTTTACTGATTATTCATTTGCTAGCGTTTTAAGCTCCTTGCATGGGTTGTGTTTACACGAACCCATGGATCATCCCTTTTTACAGAGGGGAAAACTGAGGCTTCAGAGGTTCAGTAATTGCCTGGGGTTCTACACTCCTCTCTACCTAGAAATACCAGGCGGGCCTCATATCTCTTTGGTTGGAGACAGTGCTAACACAGTCTCCAGGGCCGTTAGGGTCAGGCTAACTCACTGAGCATGCTGGTGACACATGCTGCAAGACAGAGGAGAATGACACCTAAACACGGGTCAAACACACCTCCAGAGTTGGCATCAAGCATCTGTTGATCATCGCTTCCTTGTTTTTGCAGAGATGACATCGAAGACCCCATATTTGATCAGTGAGTCAACTCTCATGTCTTTACTTAATCATCATTTTTAGTTCCTTCCTCTGCTCCTACTCCTGGTGCTTTTTTTTTTTTTTTTTTTTTGTTAAGACAGGATCTTTCTATGTAGCCCTGGCTGTCCTGGAACTCACTGTGTAGACCAGGCTAGCCTCAAACTCACAGAGATCTGCCTGCCTCGGCCTCCCAAGTACACCACCATGCCCAGCCTCCCTGGTGTTTTTGCTGTCAGCCTTTGCTCTCACTCTCCTGTTTCCTAATTCCGAGTATAAGTCTACCATGACAGAGAGGTTCTGTCTGCAGAGTTCCTGGGTAAATCTAATGTCCAGTCACACTGCAACCAAGTTACATTTAATCAACCTACAGGTCACTTTCTGTTGATCATTGTCTATTTGATCTTCTAATTCCTTGTTTTTTAACAAGGATAACAAGAAGCACTTAATTAGATATTCCACATCTAAGAGTTAACACAGCAGATACATGTTAGTTCCTTTTCTTGTGACTGATAAAATGCCTGACAGAAGCAACTTCGGGAAGGAGGGTCCATTTTGTCTCACAGTTCGAGGTGTAGTCCATCATGACGGAAGGCATGATAGAGAGTGGCTGTAGCTGTGGTGGCTGGGACTACCATTGCATCCACAGTCAGGAAGCAGAGAGATGTGGATACAGGCGGTTGGCTCATTTCTCCCTCTTTATTCAGTCTGGGACCATAAAAAACCATGCCTATGTCCAGGATGTGTCTTCCCATTTCAGTTAAAACTCTATGGAAATGACTTCACAGATATTCCCAGAAGTCAGTCTCCTGGAAATGATAAAAATTGGAGCAGAAACTGATTAAAATAGAAACAAAGAAAGCAATACAATGAATTGATGAATCCAAGAGCTCGTTCTTTAAGAACGAGACTCAACTAGCAACAGACCCTTGACTCAACTAACTGAAAGAAAGGAGATTATCCAAATAACAATCAAATTAACAGAATCAGAAATGGGCATGGAACCATAAGCCAATGAAATTCAGAATAAGAGAATACTTTTAAAAAACCTACTAAGGTTAAAAAAAACCCTAGATTTTAAAAAAAAACTCCATTAAGATAAAATTATAAAGGGAATGAGCAAATTTCTATATTCTTCCAAATCACCAAAGTTAACCAAGAAGAGATCATTAACCTACAAAGATCCATAAGAAATAAGGAAATTGGAACAGTAATTTTAAAAAAGCCTCAAAAAATGCTCAGATAGATTCTCAGAAGAATTCCATCAAACTTTCTAAGGAGATCTATACTATTCAGAAAACTAGAAACAGAAGGATCCCTCCAGAACTCCTTCTATAAAGCCAGTGTTACTCTAATAACAAAACCAGGAAAACACATCAACAACAAAAGAAAACTATAGGCAGTAACACCAGTGAACATAAATGTAAAAATCCTGAATAAAATACTAGCAAACCAAATAGGGCACATGTCTGAAAGATCATCCACCATGATAAAGTTGGGTTTGCTCTAGAGATGCAAGGATGGCTCAGCACATGGAAGTCAGTCATAAATGTAATAAATCACATAAATGGACTTAGAGACAAAAATCACATGATCATCTCAATAGATCAGGAAAGATATTTGGCAAAATTTAGCATGTCCCCATGATAAAAGTCCCAGAGACAGTAAGACTGAAGGCAGCACACCTCAACATAATAAAGGCTGTCTATGACAGACCCACAGCCAACATCATCCTGAGTGGAGAAAATCTTAAAGCAATTCCATTAAAATCAGGAATGAGGCAGGGATGTCCACTATCCCCCATTTCTTGAAGCACTAGCTGGAGCAATAAGACAAGAGAAGAGAATTATAGGGGTACAAATGGGAAAAGAAGAGGTCAAATTACTACTATTTGCAGATGATTTGACATCAAACACGAGATTCCACATGTGCCAAGAGAAAACTTCTAGAAATGATCAAGACTTTTAGTGAAATGACACATATAAAATCAACTTATGAAAATCATATATATGCTTTCTATACACCAATAAAACATACTGAGAAAGAAATCATAGAAACACTCTCATTCATAATAGCTTCTAAAAAATAAAATATCTAGGAATAAAGCTAACTGAGGAGGTGGAAAGGTCTTTGCAAGAAAAACTAAGTTGAAATTAAGACTCACCATCACAAGAAGAAAGTAAAGGGGGGGGGGAGGTTCCTCCCAGAAAGACATGGTCTATGAATGTATTCATTTTAGCACAAATTATGCAGTTATATTTTTGGTGAGGAGGCAGAGGGGTATGCCATTTCAGTTGGTTCCCATACTTCTGAGAAACATAAGACCCCTGTGAAGAGAGGATTTGATTTGGGATATTCTTTATTATATAAGTGACAGGGTGAAAGAATCAGTGGGGGTCTGGGTGTTTAACAAAGGCTGATCTGAGAATTCTGCCCTTGACTTCCTAAATCCTTCCTTCAAGACCACATCTTGTCTCCACAGCCATCCCCACAGCAACTTCCAAGACGGTAACAGAAAGACCAAGTAAGTCCCAGAATGCACCCATTTGAGTACCAAGTGTCCCTTTCTCTTAGCATCCATGTCTATACCTGCTTAATATGTGGGTACTAGAACTATACACAGTCCATGTGTTTGCAAACGGACCAATTGACTCTGCCCTAGGATTTAAGACCATTCTAAACCCCTCGAATCTTCTGACTTTTGCATCCTGAGTAAACAGGTTGTTTTGTTGTTGTTGTTTGGTTTTGCTTTTATGTCCTTCAGAACTCTCAAATCCTGCACAGCCTACAAATACTTCCAGTGGGAGTCTCTCACTTCTTCCCGTGCCTGACCCAGGTACTGTTCAGTTTGCCTCCCATATAAATCAATAATTGATATTTCTAAAATAGGCAGAGGCTCAGAGCCATCCCACAGGTCATGAACTAGAACAACAGAAAAAAAATAAGGCACTTCTGAAGCAGAGGGTGGGGAGGGTCTTGAATAGGTAGACCTATTGGTTGCCTTGATTAGAGTTTGGATACTTTCAGTTCCTTCACAGATAAGGTTGGCATGCCAACACCCTGATGCATAATCTTGAGCTCCCATAAAAGTGATACTTGACAGCTTCTCACAAAAATCACCAAGTTTTGTACAAGTTTCATATTTTTCTGCATTTAGCCCAAACAGATTTGTGCATGCTTCTGACATAACTGATAGCAATTAGTGGATTTTGTATGAGCTAGATGTTATTGACAATCTTTGTGATTTATCACACTCTGACTGGGGTTGACTAGTTGGCTGACTCTAGTAGGTTTTCTTTATCTAATAGAATATAGGAAAGGGCAGCTCAACCATCTCATGGAAAGATATCATGCTCCCAGATGACAACAGTTACCAGGTCTCTGTCTGCAGGGGATTGGCCAGAGCTGAGGCTGGTGGGTGGCTCCAATCGGTGCTCAGGGCGTGTGGAGATCCTCTACCAGGGAGTCTGGGGCACCGTGTGTGATGACCTGTGGGACCTGAATGAAGCTGAGGTCGTATGCAGACAGCTGGGGTGTGGCCAGGGTGTGTCTGCTCTTGGCAAGGCCTACTTTGGCCCTGGTTCAGGAGATATCTTCCTAGACAACTTCCAGTGTGCTGGGGTGGAGCACTTCCTGGGCCAGTGTGCCCATTCGGGCTGGAAAGACCACAACTGTGGCCACCATGAGGATGCTGGTGTCATCTGCTCAGGTACGCTTTCTATTTTTTTCCTTTGGAAGCAATCATTCACAGTGTGTGCTCTGCTGAAACATGCAGAGAATGTGTCTGAATTCAAGAAATGTTTGGGAGCTGAAATAATAGTGTTCATTTGCCCTGTCTGATGATGTGATGTCTTTAAGCAAACAGCTGCAATCCCAGATGTGACTTGAAAGAATCAGTCACTGTTGTGAGAATGGATGTGTGGTCCACAGAGCTGCCCATGCAGAATAATTCATCTTACTCATGTATATATTTCACCAGTAAATAGACTCAAGCTCCTGGGAGCAGACACTGTTCAAACCTCAACCTTTTAATCTGTTTATCTTCTCACATTGCTATGCTATTGCACAGCATATTAGATAGCATAGCTACTGCATATGCTACACACCAACACCCCAGAGAGAGGCTTATGTGAGACCTATTGATACATTTGGTTTTCCTGGTACCATGTTCTTTAAAGGGGTTGATAATAGATTAATAAATTTGTATCAGACTTCATCTTCTGTTACTAAAGCCTGGAGTTCCTCCAAATGTTGACCTGTTTGTTTTTCTTACTTACAGATGCTGAAAAACCTCTGTTGGATGTTCCAGGTCAGTGGTGCCTGCCTTTAATAGGTGACAGTTAGCTATCAGCTGCCCTTGACTTTATCCTTGAGCTATTTGACCTTTCACCTCTGAGTTCACTTACTTTTCAAACTACAAACACTGTTACAGAATGCCGCTAGGAAGTATGGCTGCAATTTGGTTTTTTGTTGTTGCTGTTGTTTTATTACATGTGATATTTTGTGGGTGTATGTGTGTGTGTTCTCATGTATATCCATCATTTTATGTTTTTGCATGCTCTTTGTAAAACACTCACATATTACCTGACAAATGGGCTACGTATTTGACCACTTTCCTCACTGTCATAGCACCAAGAGAAAAGGTACATACAAAAACGGCATGGCTCCTTACTCCTTGCCTGTGCTCTTCTCTCTGGTCCGAAGGACTTTCCTTGGCTCTTCCACTGACTAGCTCCTTCTTGAGTTTTTAAGAGCTCTCTCCCAGGATCTTCCTCTCTGTCATTATCCTCTAAAATCCTGCCCTTTGCTTTCATGGTATTATCATAGTGTGGAATAATGCATTGTACTAATGTATGTATTTTACTAGTGAATAGACTCATGCTCCCTAAGGGTCTATGTCTGTACCATCAGTGGAAACATGTACCAACATGGGAAACAAAAAATTCTGTTGAAACAAAATTAGCTGTAACCCCCAAAAGCTGCAACTCAGAAACCCACAGTAAACATGAGGATCAATGCCCAAGACCCCACCCTAACCCTCCTCTGAGCCTGGTACTGCTAGGCTCCAGATGAGAGCATGGGGGTGGGGACTCACACCACACCTCTGTCTACAGGAGACTGGCCAGAGCTTCGCCTGGTGGGTGGCTCCAACCCGTGCTCAGGACGAGTGGAGGTCCTTCACCAGGGAGTCTGGGGCACTGTGTGTGATGACTTGTGGGGTTCAAATGAAGCTGAGGTTGTATGCCGCCAGCTAGGGTGTGGTCAGGCTATTTCTAGTCTTGGAGAGGCCTACTTTGGCCCAGGCTCAGGAGACATCTTCCTGGACAACCTTCAGTGTTCTGGGATGGAGCACTACCTTGGCCAGTGTCCACATTCAGGATGGTCGGAACACAACTGTGGTCACCATGAGGATGCTGGTGTCATCTGCTCAGGTATTCTTCTTATTCCTATGCACCTGAAGACATTTTGAAACCATCTTTGATGGGTGGTATTTTCCACTCATCCGTTTGACTCTTTAAGTAACCCTTCAGGACTGGGTCCTGTGTCAGACACTTATTCTGTCATGAGTGGCTCCTGGTAGTATACAGAAAGTCCAGGGTATCTATGGGTATCACGCTGGGGCATTATGGTAAAGATTCCAGGGCACCTCTCCCAAGAAACTATGCCTGAGTAGATTTGGAAAGGAGCTAGGGGGTCAGCACTTTAACAAGAATCCCAGGAATTCTGCATCAGAGTACCCCGGGGAACCTGGTCCTGCCCATCATAAAACACAGCTGACCTGATGGCTGTGGTAAGTTTCCTAAGCCAAGGACTTCCCTGGATGAGAGTGCCCAATGGACAGTTTTAGCAGCTGGTTTCTGCACCCAGAAAGGGCATGAGCCTGTCCCTTTTATTCACCATCTACCTCTTGTCACCTCAACCTTTGAACTCACCAAAGAGAGTGACCTGTTGCTTTTCTTTGTGTGTGCAGATTCCGATGGCCTCCCTCCACCCATGCCGCCAGGTAGGTCCACTGCCCTCCTAGTTGAAGGAACTTCCCATCCAAGAACAACCATAATAACAGTATCAACTACTTTTTAAAAAAATGCTAAGTGTCAGGCGTTATTCTGAGCTCTTCATACATGTACATTGCCCAACTCATGATGGGGTTATGTTCCAGAAAGCCCACTGTAAGAATATCATATCAAAGAATGCATTTCATACACCTAACCTACTGAACTTCCTGGCCCAGCAACAGCACACTGAGAGCACCTGCCACTTATCCTCACCATCTGTGGTTGCCTGGGAGCTCACCGCTGTGGTCCAGCATCTCAAGGGAGGATCATCCACATATGTGACCCCAGGAAAAGATCTAAATTCAAAATTTGAAGGACGGTTTCCCCTTCATGAAAAATCAATATGTCAAATCTTCATAAGTCAGGGACTCCCTCCAACTCTTTTAATTCCCCTTAGGAAGATATTTTGATTATTTACATTTTCCAGATAAACAGACACATAGAAAGTTAGCAGGGAACTCTTGGATATCCAGGGCATTTGGGTCAACTGCCAGTACAGCTGACCTCTAGTCTCGTTTGCAATACCCACATTGGCCCAGTGGATACCTACATCAGACAAAGCTGTAGCAAAGATGGGGAGACAGTTTGCTCAGGTTGTTGCTTATCACTAAGATAATTCTTTAAAAAACACACATGCTATGTTTTCAGAAGAAATATTTAACAACAATTAAACAATTTTAATCATTAAGAAAATTAATGGGGAACCAAGTTTTTACACTGATATACATACATATAGTCATATGTATATATAACCAGATATTAGAAAACTCAGACTAATGCATATACTATAAATTCTGTAATGACACTGGAAGTGAATGAAAACATATTTCATTACAACATCTGCCCCAAACATTGGTAAATATTAAGCAAGGGCCCCTGATATGTTAATTATTTAATCCCCATGGTTGAGGATAAGGGAGATCCAAAGCCTGCCCACAGTAACTCTATTAGGGGCAACTTTAAGAATGGGCCCCCTTCCTTTTCCTGTGCTCCCAGGACCTCTTCACATTGTCTCTCCAGAAGGGTGGTCAGACATCTTATAATATGTAGCTTAAAGGAAAACTGGAACTTACCCTTTGAATGTATCTGGATTCTTCCCTTCAGCTTCAAGAGAGAGAATGTAAGTCATAGGTCGTTGAAAGAAACATTTCTCATGGCATTTACCTGGAGGAGATGTTGATGAATGCTGGGTGTCCTGAGGCAAGGCCAGCTTATGTGTTGGGGTCATGAGTGAGAGAAGTGCCATTTAAAGCTCAAAGGCCATGGTTAAGGTCAAGAATAGTATATATATATATATATATATATATATATATATATATATATATATATATATATATAATTTCTCAGACTGGAGGACCCAACCCAGGGCTTATGCTTACAAGACAAGCACTCTACCATTGAGCTATATCCCCAACTCCAACAGTAGCTATTCAAATGAAGGCTTGTCTGTAGTTTGCTCATTTCATGTAAATTGTATGAGTGTTAAAGAAATGTGGAAGGAGCCATCCTGCTTTTCCATTGCTGTCCCAAAATTTAACATTTTAAGACAGCTATGGGTAAATACATGCCATGATTTTATGGGTCAGGAATTGGAGCAGGGCTCAGCTTGGGATTCTTCTCCTCAGAGCACCAAGCTAGGGTCTCCATGTCATTTACCTGGGTGCTGGTTTGGAGCGCTCAAGATAGCTTTACTTACATGATTGGTGCCTTTGTGGGTGCAGCTGGGAATATAGGTCCTCTTCCCTTCCAGGAAGTCTCAGGGCCTCTTCATCCTGTCTGTTCAGTGGGTAAGCTGGAGTGAGGCTGTATGAGTAAGCATCATTCTAGGAACAGAAAGTAGGCATCAACAATTTCTTAAGACAAGCATAGCTTATGCTATATCCCATTGTTCAAAGTAGTTGCTGAGCCCATTTGCCTTCAAGAGAGGGAGCATAGTCCTCATCTGGTGATAAGAGGCATGTCCAAGTACTGGCTGACTTTGATCAGGCATAGAACCATAGAGAATGTTCACTCAGCAGCTTCAGACTCTTCTAAGTTTGTACCAACCATATCATTGATGTTTTCAAAGAAAGCCTTCACCATGCACTAAATTGTAGATGGGACTGAAGATTTCCCCCTGGATGTCATTGCTATCTTTTTTCCCTTCTAGGTCCTCCTCCAGTTTCTCAGGATCCAATAACAGGTAGTCATTTCTTTTCTTGAAATGGTAACTCTATGCCAGCAGATTCCAGGCAATGTCCATGGAGGTAGCTCAAAAAAGCCACTGGCATATGTGGGTGAGGGGCTTACTCCTCTGCTGCTGCCACTCTGTAAATGCTGACTGTTTATTAGGAGTAGCGTGTGAACAAGGAAGGCTGTGGGTCTTCCCAGGACAAAGTAGATAAGAGGTCAACAAGGTGGCAGGATGTAGTTCTACAATCCATCTGACTCACACTCAGCCTGTCTTGTTTAGGCGCATCCCTGTAGTGGATGCTCATAGACACCTGGTTTTCCTCTCTTGCCACATATGTGTGTCTTGGTCCTGTTATTATAAGCTATAGATGTCATCAATGGAGTATGGAATGATCAGTGGAGTATGGTGGCATACACTTGTCGTCTCTTCACTTGAGAGGTACAGACAGGACCGTTTTGAGCTCAAGGCCATACTTGGCTACATAATGAGATGTTGTCTCCATAAAAGGGACTGGGGAATTGGCTTTGTGGTAGAAAGCACTTGCACAACACCCTGAATTTGATCCAAGCTTCCTCCCACCCCACAATGTGATTAGTGGCAGAAATGTAGGATGTCTGGAAGCAGTGCCCAGCATCTATCTTAGGCAAGATTAGGAACCTGTGGGATCCTGGGAGGATTACAAGATGGTCATAGTGGTGAAAAGAAGGGAAATTGAGCAATTCAATAATAATATGATCAGTAAAGTGCATTGTGCTTTCAAGATCCTCCAAGATAACTTGGTAATTTTAAGTTATCTACTCATTTAGACAGCATTCTGCCTTTGTAGATCGGTGTCTATTCATACTAAAAACGATGATGACTATGGAAGAACTAGATCTCTGTCTTCTTGTTTAACTTTTATAAATCCTCAAGTACTCAAGTTCCAGTCTGAGTATACCCAGTTAAAGGAAATAAACACAATCCAGCAAAGTGATGACAATGTACTGAGGAGGGCCCAGTTGTAAGCTCCCAACTCTGCCCCTTGTCCCTCCCCTTCCCTGCTGAGTCAGACTTCAAAGTTCTTCTACAGCCTCTTGCTCCACAGACCTCCTCAAAGAGTTTCCTCTTTCACAAGACAGACTCTCATCTCTCTGTCGCTCCTTCCCAGTCTCTCACAATGTAGAGCCTCATCTTTCTCTCAGAAAACAAAGAGTCTTTCAGTTTCGGAAAGGAGAGATGCGATAAGCAGAGGATAAGTGTGACATCCCTGTGCAGATGGTGGGAGCAGAGGGAAGGATGGGGGTTCTCACACAGTGATGCTTTTGCGTCATTAGAATTAGATCAAATGGCTTCCCAAGAGATGCTAAACTAAGTATCAGCTCACCCAGGCCAACTGCCACCTGACCACACTTGACTTTTCTGTCTTGACCACGCTGTCTGTGAAGATCACTCAATGACACCATGTGGCTGCAACCTGACATCCTTTTTCATGTTTCAGGAGGAAGTAACTCTTGTGGAGGGGTCATTTCCAGTCTCTCTGGTTCATTTTCCAGTCCACGGTACCCAGAAAACTATCCAACAGACATCCAATGTGTTTGGGAGATCCATGTGGAGAAAAACTTCCGCATAGAGCTTATGATTCCGAATTTAAAGTAAGAAACTAGTTGTAAAGAGAAAGTTCAATTTGAGTAAGAACATCAGTTTGTTGAACTGTGGTAAAGACATATCCTTTAGTGAGATGAAAGCGTAGGAGTGAAAAACACTGCAGCATGTCCAAGTTCAAGTCTGAGTTTACTTTTGTAGCGGTATCCAGCAGGTCTCTTCTAGCTAGAAAAAGTGCAGAAAATTCTTTATCAATGTATTTGACACAGCTCAGCTTTGATAGTCTATCTTTTGATTTTTTTCTAAAAATAGTCCCTAAATGCTCAAAACCTTTGACCTTATTATACACTAGGCACCAATATATGTTCTTTCAGGCCAACTTTTTGCTCATCATATTTTTTACAAATGTTCAGAGAGTTTTCCAAGACACATATTAGTCAACTATTCCAGGCCTGGGTTGTGCATTTTCTAAGTGTTCCCTAAAGTGAAAGGAGAGGGAAGAGCTGTTGCCTCACCTCTGACACAAAGAGACCAGTGTTCCCTAGTCACTGCCACCTTTTCATCACCGTGACATAAAGGAACAGCTGATGTTTTAGAATGCTGTGCATCCGGACCATTGACTGCATGCTTCTTCTATGTGTATGTGTACATGCCTGTGCCTATGAGCATGTGGAGGTCAAAGGTCATTTCATGTGTCATTTCTCAGGCACTGTCTACCTTAGTCCTCAAGAGAGGGTCTCTCATTGGCCTTGAACTCTTGAAGTAGGCTAAGACACCACAACCAGAATTTCCACATGGGTTCTGGACTTCATGTTTTATGGTAAGCACTTTACCAACTGAGTTATCTCCACAGCCTCTGGGCTATATGCTCCTAGGCTTTGTCATGCTCCAGTATCATTATAGCCTACAGATGTCTTTGCCATCCTCATTAGAGATGAGGAAAATGAGATAATGGAGAGTAACTAACTTGCCCATTGATATGAATACAGGTCTGTCTGATGTCAAAGTTCCCATTCCTCACCAAAAGTTTTCTCCCAGCAAAATCTTCACAAGGCTGTTCTTCTTGAGCATGGCACACACCATGCTGCAATAGAGCAAAACCATGAGATTCCATGATAAGTCAGCTTCAGCCAGGCACTGAATCATAGTTCAGTCATGACTGTGTCAAGGCTGTCAATTTGGACTTGCTTTAAACCCAAACAAAGAGCAATCACAAATTCCTAAGCTAGATTATCTTTGTGGCTGGTCAGAACCACTATGATTATAAAACTTATAACAAAGTTGTAATAATAAGCTTTACATACTCCCCAGGCAAAGAAACTAGAGTTCTGATAAAGCTTTGGGAAAGATAATGAATAACTTCATGCTCTGAGACTGTCATGGTTTGGGGCATTGATACTGATGATCTTGGTACGGTGTCACTAATCCCCAGCTTTCATTCCCCCAGTCTGGAAGATATCCTTGGATGTCCCTATGACTCAATTGAGATCTTCGATGGCCCCAGAATTGCATCACTCTCCATGGGGAAGTTCTGTGCCCCATCAGCTGTGGTATTTTTCTCTTCCTCGGACATCTTGACAGTGGTGTTCCGAAGCGATTATATGACAACAAATACTGGGTTTTATGCTTTTTTCAATGCAATTTCACAAGATCGAAGTGAGTCAGGTAGGAAAGCTCAGGTATCTTGGGGATATAATAGAGAACAATTTCTAACTTCACTCTCCTATTCACAGAGGCCTGTTCCTTTTGCTCCCCCCACCACACTACACACACACACACACACACACACACACACACACACACACACACACACACACACACACACACATTACCCCTGCTTCACAAGGGGCTAGTTTTTCTCACCATGAGGGCCAGGTAGCAAGTGACAGAAAGATGGTAATGTACATCCTGTACAAAAAAAAAAAAAAAAATACTGGAAAGGATAGTTGTAAAGGGCCAGGCAGCTACCAAGGAGAGCCATACTCTATGAAGGGTCTGCAGGCTGCATCTGCCATCACATGCACTTCGGGAACTGTCCAGAGTTCTGAAATGCAGAAGCCCAGCTCTTTACCTCTTGACCCAACTCACACCCAGCATGCCCCAAATCATAGACTCCCCCCAATTAAAGTCTTGGGGACTCCTTGTAGGCCTGGCCTTGTAGCCAGCCATTGCAGAACTGAGTTCAGTTTGTACCCTGCAAGGAACACTCCCTGTCAGTTGTGGGATTTTTTGATGTTCCAGTTCCCCGTGCGGGAACTCCAATCATTCTTTGAGGCTGCCAGAAAACCACATAATCAGTAAGTTCCTGTGTGAAGTTTGGGTTTGTTTGTCTCCGAGGAAAGGAACCCCTTTCTGGGTGTGACCTGTGTGTCTTATATGTGTGCTCTCAGCAGTTCATCCCAAGGGCCCCTGAGATAAACTCTTGTTAGATTCCTCACTTTTCAAATGAGGAAACAGCTCAGAGAGACGAAACAATTGCCAAGTAGAGGACAGCAGCAGAATGAGATTTCCACCCCAGTGTCTGTCTTATCTGTCACCCTTGGGCTTCATATGGAATCAAGACAACCGCAAGGGTTTCTGCTTGTGTTAGCCTTGGCCCTGGCACAGCCTCTAGGAGTCACTTCCTACAGAAACCTTCCCATGCTCAAAACTGAAATCTTCCTGTTTAGAAGACCGACCAGCGCTGCGGCTGGCAGGCAGCTCCGGACAGTGCTCGGGACGCGTTGAGGTCCTCCATCAGGGGGCCTGGGGCACCGTGTGTGATGACTTGTGGGACATGAATGAAGCTGAGGTCGTGTGCAGACAACTGGGGTGTGGCCATGCCATCGCTGCTCCTGGAAGTGCCTACTTTGGCCCGGGCTCTGGAAACATCCTCCTGGACAACATTCAGTGTTCAGGAAAGGAGAAGCACTTTGGCCAGTGCCCCAGCTCTGCCTGGTTAGACCACAACTGTGGCCACCATGAGGATGCGGGAGTTATCTGCTCAGGTACTGTGTCTCCCATAGTGAGTTCTTCTATGAGGCAGCTTAGTGATGGATAGAAGCCATGAACGGAGCAGGGATGTGACTCTATTGAAAATGGCCATATTGGTTACTTTTCTCACAGCTGTGAACAAAATACCCAATGAAAACAACTTATGGAAGGGAGGGTTTGTTTTGGCTCATAGTTCAGGTACAGTCTACCCTGGCAGAGAAGTCATGGAGGATGGAGCTTGAGGCAGCTAGTCATATTATATTGAAGCCAGGAAGCAGAGAGAGGTGAATACTGACACTGAACTTCCTTCTTTTCATGCAGTCTGGGACTGCAGCCCATGCAATGGTGCTGCCTACGTTTAGAGTGGGTCTTTTCACCTCAATAAGCCTAATCTAGAAACTCCTTAAACAACCCAGAGGTTTGTCTCCTAGGGGGTCCTTGAACTGGTAAATTGACAAGTGGAACACCCCTCCAGCAAGGTAGACAGGGAATGCTGAGTCTGACTGTTCTGAGGACAGATTCCCAGGGACACTTAGTTGGTTTTTCCTATTGTCTGCACCTTGCCCACATGTGAAGCCACTTTCCCAGGAAAAACTATAGCTTTGTGCTTGTTTATATACCATGAAGTCTGTCTGCTTGAGACATGCCCACATTAGAAAAATTAGCATTTCTTTGTCTCCATGCAATTTAAATTCCCTAAACTCGTTTGTTTCCTGTTCATGCAGATGCAGAGGTGACTCCTTCACCCACAGGTAAGTCTGACACTGTAAATTCCATCTTTTCAAGGTTGAGAAATCTGTGTCCTCACCTAGACACTGGAGGACAGTGACTAGAGCAGTGATTTCCTATTCTGGCAGCATACTAGAACCACCCAGGAGGCTTCTGAAACTTCGAGAAGCTCAGCTGTTCCCAAGACTGGCCACATCAGAGTCTTCAGGGCCACCCCTAGTCACCAGTAATAGTTAAGCTCCCATGTGATTCTAATATTTAAAATTTAAAAACTAGTGGTTCTTTATATATACTCTGCACATTAATCTCCTGTGAGATATGTACTTGGAGAAGATGTACATACGTGTGTGTGTGTGTGTGTGTGTGTGTGTGTGTGTGTGTGTGTGTGTGTGTTTATATGTGCATTTGTAGGCCATGAAACAGAGAAGGGGGTTATGAGAGGGGAGGATGAATTTTTAAAGGAGGTAGAAAATAGAGAGAGTAGTCGAATTTATGTACGAGGAGAGCAGAAGTGGGAACTAACTGAAGGAAGGAAGAGAACCAGGAGGAAGTGGGAGATGAGGAAGCACAGTGTGGGAGGGAAATGGACAAAAGCAGAGTACAATGATGCTTATGTATGGAGATGCCGTAACATAACCCATACCCTGCATTCTTCCCCCTTCCCCAGTAGCAATAAAATAAAACAGTAACTCAGACAAGAACTGGCTGTGACATTTTCCAAATGGAACTAGATCCCAAACCATCCTCTCTGGTGGAACCGGGGAGGGTAGGAGGGTGAAGGAGAAGGAAGTCACTGTGGCTGAGGAGGGAATTGATATGTGGAGGAGGGAAAAGGTGGACACAAGGGCATGGGTTAAAAAGTGCAAACATGCAGGAAAACTAAGATGCATTCAATAGCAAACCCTGCCAGAGGGATGAGAGAACAATGCTGCTAAAAACGTAAACTATCCAAGACTCCTCTGTGGATCTGCTGACTTACTAACACACACAGCAGAATTCTAGTCACCTGCTCAATGCCAATGTCCGTCAGTGACCTCCATCAAAGCTCAGGATTCCTTCTAGATCCAGCACTTGTGTGATCGTGCCTCCTGCTTCACCATGTTTCCCAGGAATGGGATCCCAGCTCTTCTCATTCTTGACTTTAGCTCCTGAGACTTCACCTCCAACCCTCCCAACCCCACCTGTGATTGTTGCTACTGTCTACCTCCTGTGAAGGCCTGAAGACCAGTCAAATATCAAAGTTTGGAGTGTACCTTATGGTGTTTTGGAGCACAGCAAGGTGTCTGGCAGCTGTCCAGATCCTGGGCTGGCAAGACCATAACATATTTAGTGGTAACTTGGTAGAGGTCTCTTGCCAATTCTGACCCAAGTCCAGACTGTATCCCAGAGTGAGATGACGGCAGAGTCAATATTTGGGGATCTTGAAATCTCCTCTGCCAACAAAATTCGTCCCAAAACTCTTCAGATTAGCCTCAGGAAGATTCTTAGGACAAGAGCAAAAAGCCATATTATTTGCCAAAATATCATAAGAATAATCTCTAGCTCAATTGCTGATGTTGTTCCCTTCTGAAACCTCTTGAGCTGGGCTTCCATAGCCCACATTGCTCTCAGCACTACTGCTTTCCAAGCTCCTACTTGGCTATTAAGCCCCACTTACAATGTTCAACCACTTTTTTAGTCCTAAGTCTTAATATCTTTCATATTTCTCTAAAACAACAGCATGATTGGGGCCCTGTCACAGCAATATCTCATTCCCTTGTACCAACTTCGACCTTAGTTATTGTTCTGTTGTTGTGAAGAGACACCATGACTTAGGCAGCTTACAGAAGAAAGGGCTTATTGGGCTTACAGTTTCAGAGGGTGAGTCCATATTGACCATCATGGTGGGGAATATGGCAGCAGGCAGGCCAGGCATGGCACTGAAGCAGTAACTGAGAGCTTATATCTGATCCACAAGTTGGAGACAGAGAGAGAGAGAGAGAAAGAGAGAGAGAGAGAGAGAGAGAGAGAGAGAGAGAGAGAGAGAGAGAGAGAGAACTGGAAATGGTATGAGCTTTTAAAACCTCAAAGCCCACCCCCAGTAGCATAACTCCTGTAACAAGGCCACACCCTCTAATCCTTCCTACATAGTTCCACCAACTGCAGACTAGCATTAGAATATATGAGCCTATGAGTGCCATTCTCATTCAAACCGCCACAAGGGGGATGGACCATCAGTGTCTAATAGAACCCAATAAACCACTTATGGACAGAACATGCTGTACCTACCTAGGCACAAAAGAAAATCACTTATGAGATACTTTAGCAAAAAAAAAAAAACCCATGCTATTAATATCCAGCAACACTCTTGACAAAGGACCAAGAAAGATGGGCAAGTTGCTAGCATCCATCTTTGCTGAACTTCACATCAGACATGGCCAAAAGGGAGACCCAGCGATTAAGTATGTTCTTGAACCATCTGACCTGTCTACTTCAAACTTCGCCACTAAGCTCTTTATGTAAAACTCAATCAAGTACCAGAATCCCATAGGACAAACTTTCAAAACTTCTCGCCCTTCATCCACCATATGATAGATGCTGATAATACAGAATATTGAAATATAAACTGTTTACATAACAAAACCAACAGGACCCCAGTGACAGCCCTCTTCCCTCAACAGAACCCTTGTCTAGTCTGCTCTTCCCCATATTGGCTGTAAGGATTGTGAGTTTTGGTCTCCTGGATTTTGGTGCTTTACACAGTATATGCTTTAAAAGACAGAGGTGCCATTGCAGGTGATTGCTGGTCAGTCAGGACAGCCCTTGATTTGTGGACCTAGCACTCTACAGAAAAGAAGTCATGTCTATGACAATTTGACTTCATGGGCATTGTCTATGCTTTTTCTGGTGATTCTACAGAGAGAAGGGGAGCTCTATCCAAGATCAGGATGGAAAGAGAATTGAGTGTCTCCAAATTATCTGTTAAAACTTCAAAGTGGTAATATGCCCATTCACTGGCACTTAAGTATAAATGACTATATAATGCTGACTCTATTCTAGCTTTTAGTTTGGATTTTTTTTGGGGGAAACTTCCATTTCTCTGGATTTTTTTTTTTTTGGAAACTTCCATTTCTCAATTCCATAAACCACAAGGTACTATTTTGCTTGGAAGTATAACCTGTAACATACAAACTTAAATGACATTGTGATAACTCATATAAACAGCATGGACTCTGTCTGTCCTGTATGACATGGGGGGAAGGAATGGTGGGATGGAGTCCTCACAAGCAGCTATGTTGGCCTCATTTGAGTTGAGCTGGCTTTCATGCAATAGTCTAGGAAAACCATTAAGAATTATGCATAGTCTAGGAGATTAGAGAGATAGCTCAGTTGGTAAAATGTTTGTCTTACAAGTGTGGGGATCTATGTTTTAGTCCCAGAACCCATATAAAAAAGCTAAGCATAGTGCTGTAAGCTTGTAATACCAACATGGAGAGGCAAAGAAGGTGAATTCCTGGGATTCATTGGCAAGCCAGCCTACATTAATCAATGTGTTCTGAGTCAATGAGAGACCCTGTATCAAAACACGAGGTGGGCAGCACCTGAAAAACCATACAAGGTTAGCCTCTGCCCACCCGTTCACACGTGTACATGCACCAGCACAAACATGCACACAAAGAAGTGTAACCTGGATGCTCCCCACATGTCCCCAATATACATACACATACTCCCATTTTCAATCAGTTTTAGAGTCCTACTTGCCAATCATAAGTATTTTGCCCTCCTACATCTCCTCTTAGATGTATACCTACTTGTACCAGCCAAACTATGACTATCCAGACCAGCCAATTCTCTTCCCATTTTATGATTCCCAATGTAGAATTATAGTAATGCAATTCTGGATTCTGCATCTGAGAAAATGCCAAATGCATTCCTGAAGATGCCACCCGCAGGTCTCTCATCTGCTTTCACAGAAGGAAGTAATTCTTGTGGAGGAGTAATTTCAAGTCACTCGGGCTCCTTCTCCAGTCCCTGGTATCCTACGAACTACCCCACTGACATGGAATGCGTCTGGGAGATACATGTGGCTGAGAAGTTCAACATAGAGCTGACGATCCCAAGCCTGAAGTAAGCAGCTTTGCCTTTCTCTACTTAATGGCTGGACTAGATTTGAATCTGTGATTCCCCAAGAGGAATGCCTTTCCACGGGGAGGAAATCCTTTCACATTTTAGGTGACCACTGATGGTCTTTGTTGTGGGTGTCTTTTCGTCTATTATCCTCGTATCCTATTCATTGAGGTAATACCCATGAACACCCAGACATGGAGACATGGAGCTCTAGCTGGGAGGTCCACACCAGCAGACTTTGCCCCTGCTCCATCACATATAAGTTTCTTCCTTCTGCAAGATGCATATCTGGTCTTCCCCTTTTCATTGTCTGATCATCCTTTATCAGATACTATGTGATATAAGTATAGTTGCTTTTTCCTTCAAGAATTTCTATCAGATCCCCTGCTAGAAAATTTCCTTCAACAAATTAAAGGGTTTTATTCATTTCTCCCATCGAGTACCTGTGCTCCCTGCTCTTTCACCAATCATCATCCATTTGAAAACAATCATATTTTGATGTATATTTACATGTACACATTTATGTGTCTACATTTTATATATCATATATATAGTTGTCCCTTGGTGTTCACAGATTGGCTCCAAGAGCCCCCTCAGCTACCACAGAAGTCTAAATCTTTTATATAAAATATTATAGAATTTGGATATAACCCTTGTACATTTTCCTGTGTACTTTAAATCATCCCATGTTATTAGGATACCCAAGAAATGCAATGTAAACATGGAACAAATCATTGTTATACTGTATTGTTTCTGGAACAGTGACAAGAAATAGCCGGCACATGTTCAGCACCAAGGTTTATGTCAAATATTTTTGAGTCACATTTAGTTGACTTTTTAGATGCAGAGGGCCGCCTGCATACACATGCATCTATTCATATAGGCAACTTCTTTTCTTCTTTTTTCTTTTTTTATTTCATTTTACGTACCAACCACAGATCCCTGCTCATCCCTCCTCCCACTTCCCCTAGCCTTTCCCCTCACCCTGACCCACCCCCCATCCCTTCTCCAAAAGGATAAGGACTACTATGAGGAGTCAGCAAAGCCTGGTACATTCAATTTAGGCAGAACCAAGCCCCTCCCCCCTAGAATATAGGTAACTTCTTAATGAAAACAAAAAACAAAACAAAACAAAAAACCAAAAACCAACCTTTCCAGATACTATGCAGCCATGGTTTCATCTTTCTATGTTGTCACATCAGGGTCATTCTCTCTTCCTGACTTTGTCTCTCAGTGTGTCCCAGACCTCTGCATTTCCTTCTACCTGCATTCATTAGTCACAGCAGTCAACAATCAGAGCGCTACCTTTATAGGTGTAAGAAGTGTGGGCAGTGACGTGGAGCATGCCACTCTTTCACTATTCCAAGCAGTTGTAATGCCCCAAATCTCCTGTAATCTAAATAATTTTTGCAACATAAATTCCTCCTATAGTTTTAAAGCACACTGATTATGAAGTAGTTTAATGTATTGCCCAGAACAGGGAGAAAGTTGATGATTTTGGAGTTTGATGGTTTTAAACCTAAATATATTGTTGTTTACATCTTGTTTCTTGAGTTATACAATTTTTTTTTTTATTTACAAAGGGCTTCTCTACTAAAGGTGATTATGCCTGCCTACAAGATATTTTCCAGAGGTCTGGGGTCTTTTTTGAGTGTCATAATTGAGGGAGGAAGCACTGCCATCTAGTGGATGGAGGTCAAGGCTACTGAATGTCCTATGATGATCTAGACAACTCCCTCCACCCCTCCCAAGAAAAGAGTTTTCCAGTACCATCCTGAGCGCAGTTGTGAAACTAAAACCAAGAAGCCCTGACCTATGTTGAGGCTCATTTGTTTTTCTTTTGCAATGCCTATGTGTAGATCTAACCGTATTGTTAAATATGAAACACAGAGTCAATTGCAAAGTTAAAAGCCCAAGAGGTCAGAGCAAAAGCTAAGAGCTAAAAGCCTTACCCTTTACTGCCACTGCTGTCCTCCTCAGCAAGAGAACTACTTCCTGTGTGTCTGTCTTCTTATAGACTTTCTGTTCTGCCTTCTCATTGGTTGTAAACCCAACCACATGACCTCCTCGTCACTGCCTGTCTATACAGACCTCCAGGTCTTCTATGGTTGGTATTGAGATTAAAGGTGTGTGTCTCCAAGCTGGTGGTATCCTTGAACACACAGAGATCTGCCTGTCATGTGATCAGGATTAAGGGCGTGTGCTACCACTGCTAGACTTCTGCTATGGCTTGCTATCAGCTCTGACCCCCAGGCAACTTTATTTATTAACATACAATTAAAATCACATTTCAGTACAAATAAAACATCACCATACCTTTGGAACTTCGGTTCACATTTAAGTGGTAAAATTACGTCTGTATGTGGTGGCTGGAAAGATAGCTCGGTCGGTGATAGTGCTTGCCTGGCAAGTAAGAGGATCTGAGTTCGACCCTCAGAACCCACATAAGAATGCTAAGTGTGGTAATACATACTTGTAACCCCATTGCTGTGGGGGGGGGGGTAGAGACAGGCTGATTCTCAGTGGCTAGCAAGCCATCTGTCCTTTAGCTCCAGACCAACAAGAGACCCTCTCTCAAAAGAAGTAGATGATATTTCTGAGTTATACTATATTTAAATTTTGCCATTTCATTCTCACCAAGAGTTCCTGCTTTCTGAAGTAATAACATTTCAGATTGATAAAAATGGGTAAACTGGGGTACAGTGACATTTTTAGTTGATTTGGCCAACAAGGATTCATGAATCAGGTAACTAACAAGAACTGATTCCGGAGCTGCACTAAGGAACTGTAGAGGAAAGCCTTCCTAGGCACACAGAAGTGAGGCAAAGAGAATGCTCGCTTGGCTGCAGCTGTAGAACTGCCTCATTTGGTCCATCCCATTGGGAAGCCCCTAGCTATGTATTATGTTGACTATTTCAGGTCAAGCTTGAATTGTCTTTCTTTAATAAAGAAATAGGCATTTATTTCTCATTTTTAAGCCACTGGGTTTGAACCCAAAACTCCATACTTGCCATGCAAACACTATACCACTCAGTCCCAATACAATCATTTACAAGACATAGCTCAAGTTCAGCTAGTTATGTTGCAAGTCAAAGCCAAGGTCCCTCAAGGGCTTTCTTGGCTCCTCTGCACAGGAACACTCTGGGTACAGCTTCCATTTGAATTCAATACCTGTAACTGTCACTCTGTTGTACCTTACACAGAAATTGTGTTGCCACTTTTTTCCCCTTTAAAAATGGTTCTTTTAGCTGTGTAGTGGTGGTGCATGCCTTTACTCCCAGCACTCGGGAGGCAGAGCCAGGCGGATCTCTGTGAGTTTGAGGGCAGCCTGGTCTACAGTGCGAGATACAGGAGAGGCACCAAAATTACACAGAGAAGCCCTGTCTTGAAAAACCAAAAATAAATAAATAAATAAATAAATAAATAAATAAATAAATAAATAAATAAATAAAATAAAAAATAAAATGGTTCTTTTATAGCTGGACATGGTGCCTTTAATCCCAGCAGTTAGCAGGCAGTGACAGGAAGATCTCTACGTCCAGGGAAGCCTGGTGCCCACAGTGAATTCCAAGACAGATAGCTATATAGAGAGACCCTGTCTCAAAAACAAAACAAAAATGTGTTAGTTTTAGGTGTTTGGTTTTTACTCACTGGGATAGATGTACAACGGCAGATATTAAAATCTAGAACTGTTTGTGTATAAAGTGTGTCCGTTGGGTTTGTGGATATATATATCTATCTAGATAGATAGATAGATAGATATCTATATATATAAACGCACTCACGGATATGTATAATACATATACAATATAATATTATACATATCCGTGAGTGCGTTTGCAATGAGAATTTACAACAGAGGCACAGATGGCTACTTGCTATAGTTCAGAAATTATGCATATCATGTTGCATGCTACGTAATATTTATTGTGTTAGATAAGCACCAGAGAGCTTTCCATATGTACTGATCGTTCCCACTCTGTGTGGGCTCCTGTCTAGGACTGGGATTAGAGGGCTGAACAAAATAGATAAGACCTCTGCTGCCATGAGTTCACATCTAGATGGAAAGACAAACAGTTCTGAAACAAACTGTGAAATTTTTGGTGGAAATTTTCAGGAAGTGATAAGTTAATATGCGCTATGACGTCAAAGCAATCAATACCTGTAAAACTAGGCTAGGGTCAAGGCAGAAGAAGACAGCATGTGGGATGCTTGCCACCCACTGTCCAGGTTAACTCTGTCATCGTCCAGGTTCATGGAAATGCAGGCAGTTTGGGACGTTGGTGAGATGAGTCCTCCTGCTAGGCCTCTTTATGGTGTCGTTATCTCCCCCAGTCAAGGTCTTCCTGAGTGTTTTACTCTGTGAGTCTCTGATGGACACTGACTACCACCCAAAGCAGGGCTTGAATCAGAGGGTCAAAGAGTTATTAGGACAAAGGGGAAGAGGCTCAGAGAGGCTGGAAACTAGGCTTCCAGATAGAGGCCACCAAAATAGACCAGGTGAGTCAGAATAGTGGGGGGGGGTATGTGGGTAGGGGTAAACTCAAGGGCTCTTAGAGGTGGAGTGATGAGTAGGAGTGGGAAGGAGGAGTTGGCAGAGCTGATTGACTGGGGGGGAACTAATGCTGCCTTTACCCGCTCAGGCTAGAAGACATCTACGGGTGCCCTTATGACTTTGTCGAAGTGTTTGATGGAAAGCAAGTTGCCTCACTGTCCATGGGCAAAGTCTGTGCTGGGGCAGAACTCACATTCCTCTCCTCTTCAAACTCCATGACAGTGGTGTTCAAGAGTGACGCCATGATCACCAACACAGGGTTCTATGCTCTGTACAACACTGTTCACCAAGATGAAAAGCAGAATGGTGGGTATCCTGGCATGCACCTTGCGGGAAGCACATCTGCCTGTGCCTTGTCCCGTTTAGAGAGAAGATGCACTGAAAATCTGACCTGAATTATACCACACCTGGTGTGTCCACCTCTGCTACTGTGGCATACACTCGGTATGACTGCAGTCATAGCCCTTATCTCTGCTCTGCCAGCCACAGTCACTGTCTTCTACTAAAGTATCTAGAAACATATGGCTGAGACCTCCTGTCTCATATTATCTGTGCGTGCCAATAGAGAATCCCACTGAGACCCTCCCTTCCCAAAGGAAGGGATAAAGTAGTGTGAAAGATCATTCTGGAACTATCACAGCGTATAATTGTCCATCTACTTTCTTCTGACTGGATGATCAGAAGAAAGGTGATCAGCACACACCATCCAGAACACTTGTGGACCTCCCAGGTCCCACAGCAGGGAGCAGGAACATTCCAAAGCTCTCTGTGTTTAATGTAAGTTAGCCTCCAACTGGGGTACTTTTGGGAGCTTATGAGACTCTAAAATACTGGACTGGGAGATGGCTCAGTGGGTAAAGAACCTGAGTTCAGATCCCCCAGAAGCCTTAAAGCTGGGTGCAGTAGCACATATCTGTAATCCCTGTAAAATGGGAGGCAGAGATAGCCAAATTCCCAGAAGCTCACAAGCCTGCTAGACTGGTGTGAATGGGATGTAGATAGGTGAAGAAGAGGCCTGTCTCAAACCAGGCAAGACCCAACAACCAAAGGTGTCCTTTGACATCCACAAATGTGTCTACACTCACACAAGCAAACACACACACACACACACACACACACACACACACACACACACACACACACACACACGGTGGGGGGTGTTAAAAAATTAGCAGGCATCAATTGCTCTTCAGCAGCCATAAAGCAAGACTATTTTAGGGAATCAGGTCACAGGGCCACTCCTAGGGTCCAACATGGAGAACATTTTTTTCAACATGCAGATGATCCTAGACTATGAGGACAATGCCACATCTCAGAAGCGCCTATTTTTCCACTCCTAGGTATGGCCTTGAGACTGGTAAATGGCAGCCACAGGTGTGAGGGCCGAGTCGAGATCTCTTACAATGGTACCTGGGGTACAGTGTGTGACGACAGCTGGGACCTGACAGATGCCAGGGTGGTGTGCCAGCAGCTGGGCTGTGGTAAGGCCTTGTCAGCCCCAGCTGAGAGCTACTTTGATAGAGGCGTGGGCCATATCATGCTGGACGATGTGCAGTGCATGGGGGATGAAGCCAAGGTGTGGCAATGCACACATCACGGATGGTTCTCCCACAACTGTGGGCACCATGAGGATGCCAGCGTGGTCTGCTCAGGTGAGTGGCATGGCTTGCACCACACCTCAGAGACAGAGCCTCGCCAACCCCCAGCCATTGGGAAGGGAGATGTCAATACCAGCAGGCAAGCGGTCAGCAATGAGCGCTGGGATTGGAGCCAATTTTTAAGTCAATTTATTTAGGAGATAGTTTTCGATCTTAGATTCTGGCACCTGTAAAGTGCTCAAAATAGCAGTTATATAAATGGTCAGTGTTAGCAGACGTATACCTGGCCTGACATGCCTGGGTGCTGGTAATAACCCAGTACTCACCAAATGTTCTGTGAATGCCCAACTGTCCTACAACCAGAGCATCTGAATTTTCAGTTCATACCCACAGCTTCCAGGAAAGTAGAGACAATAGCATCTGTACTCAGCTTATCAGGCCCTCAAAGGCATATCCAACACCACATGCAGGGCCATGTTCTATAAGTATTGCCTGGCTGAGGTCCTGGGTTAAAGACCGAGCTCATCTCTGTTACAGAGGCTCTGTTGTCCCAGTGACTGGCCAAAATCAAACAAACACCATGCTGTACCTGAACCACAAGGGTATAGATAGTGTGCTCCCTCACTCCGGCTCACTGATTCCTTCACTGGCCTGGATGAGCTTTGCTTCTACTTTTCCAATGGCCCAAACAGAGCATGTCTGATCCTAAACCAAGAGCCTGATTTTTATAGGGAATCGTGTGACCCCCTGATTTAATCTGTCTCTCACCCTCACATTTGACTTTGAATAGGTGCTGACGACACACTAAGCCAAGGACCAGCAGGTACTGTCTGTCAACACTCAGTTGTCAGGGCCCTCATGGGTGAGCATCCCAGCTACCATTTGAGTTCTGGGGCTGGAGAGGGCGGCCTGATTAGAGACTCTGATTTCTGATGAACAAAGGCACTAACGCCTATTACAGTTGGCAAGATGGTGGGACTGAACTGCTGCAGAGGGTGAGAAGACAGGAGAGAGTAAGGGAAGGTTCAGACCCACCAGAGAGGAAATCTCATTACTGGTTCAGTAGAGAGAGGAGCAACTGCTGGCAGTGATGATCATGTCATGAGGTTCTAGATGGAGCAAGGAACCAGAAATTCCAGGTTGTCTGCAGTGGCCCCCTCCATATTCTTGAGGTACAAATGTGCAAGCTCCTGAGAGTCAGAGCCATCTCTGTTCATTGAGTGCAGGGGAATAATTGCCTCTGAAGGTCAACAGTCTCCAGTATTTTAAGAAAAAAATGAAATATAGTACAAATTCTTGATCATGACTTTTTTTTCTGTATATTTTCATAGACTCCACTGGTGACGTCATGACAGGTACTACAGCTCCTCTTGTATGTGCTTCTCTTTCCACTTTAACTCATCCTATATCTGGTTGATGCCCTTTCTTCTTCTGCTGTGTGAGAAGCTGCTTCATAGGAGTCGATGGCTATCTCACACCAAATCCAAGAGTTTAGTACTAACTGGATAATTAATCTTGGTTTTGATTTCAGCTCCAACTTGTATATAATTATTAAAAGACAAGCTTTGGTGCCTTAGAACTTTAAAGGATTTATTTTGAGCAGATAGCCATTTTGAACGGAGTAGCTGCAAGCTGGGGTCATTTGGGGCTCCACCAGGAGGACGGGCTTTGATAGGGCAAAGTTGGAGGCAAGGCCAATGTTTGCTTGGTGAGAGTGTGCCAATGTATTCCTTTGGATCATTAGAGTGGGAAGTTCCTAGTTAGAGGTGAGTTGGCAGTTCCTAATTGGTTATGACAATCTACACTGAGTTGACTTTGGTTTGCTTATGTCAGAACTAAGATCTTGAATCAGTTTAACAGCCTCCCAATTATTTCTTTTAGTAAAGTCAATTGGAGAGCCCCAACCTTCTGAACATTGCCACCCTTTAAGACAGTTCCTCGTGTTGTGGTGACCCCAAACCACAAAATTATTTTGTTGCTACTTCAAAACTGTAATTTTGCTATTGTTATGAATCACAATTATCTGCTATGTGACCCCTGTGAGGGTCGCAACCCACAGATTGAGAATCACTGATCTGTTCTACGGCACAGCATACTGGGTTTGCACATGTAAACCTACCCGGGCACCTGGGTTCATAAGGCCCATTCAGTTCTAGCTGCTATCATTTCCCCGTCACAAAGGGAATGATCTTCATCTGTCAAGGCTGATGCTGAGACTGGGGGTGTAGCTTAGTTGGAAGAGAGCTTGTCTAGCACATAGGAAGCCCTGGGCTCAGTCCCTAGCACCGCATGAAACAAGTCATGATGGTACGTGCCTATGATTCCAGCATTCAGGAGGTGGAGGCTGGATGATCTCAGGAGTTCAAGGTCACCCCCAGCTATGTAGTCAGCCTCAGCCACTCGAGCCCTGTCTCAAAAAAGATTTTTTTTTTCTGGCTGGTGGCATGGCTCATCAGTTAAGAGAGTACTTGCTGTTCTTGCAAAGGACCTCAGTTCTATTCTCAACACCCACATCAGGTGGCTTACAACTTCTTGTAACCCCAGTTCCAAGGGATCCAGTGCCATCTTCTGTCCTCCATAGGCACACACACACACACACACACACACACACACACACACACACACACCCCGAGAAAAAAGCATCAAAACAAAAAAAGGAAAGGCAGCCCTAGCATAAGCTGTCATCACGTCTTTTTGTTGTTATGATTATCTTGCTTCAGACTCTATAGCTCATACTTGCTGCACATTTGAGATCCCGTCTCAGCCTTCCCAGTGCTGGGATTATAGACGTGCACCCCACACACACTCAGCTTGTTTTCTTTACCTCTGCTTTCAATGTGTCTCCTCTTAACCTTGCTAAAAATAAAACAAAACAGAAAGCATCAGAGGTTGGTGTCTCCTCACGGGATTTCCTCACTTTTTTTTTTTTTTTTTTTTTTACAGATGAAAATGTCCAGTGTGGTGGTTTGCTCACAAATAGTTCAGGCTCCTTCTCCAGTCCTTGGTATCCTAAAAAATATCCCACCAGTGTGGTATGTGCCTGGGACATACGAGTGGACACTAGTGCTCACATCAGACTCACCTTTGAAGTGGTCAAGTGAGTAACTATTTCCTGCTTTTACAGTTATCGTTACTTGGCTATGCATACGTCAGTTTTACCGCCGCTTCACCAGACATAGCAGTGCCGTGGCACCCTTGAACTCATAACATGAAACCCCCCTCACAAGACCTGCATAGCACCAAGCCAGCCCAAATCCCAGCATACACCAGGGAGGGGCTCAGGAAGTCCCACCTCTGTCTGAGAAGCTGTTGGCAACTGATGGCCACTGGGAGAGTGAGAGCCACGTGTCTTCAGGGATGCAGGCCCTGAGAGGCTGCCCATGCTCCTGTAGAAGGTCCCGTATCCATGCATGTACAGAATGCACGGAATGGATTCAGTGAGTAGCAAATTCAAAATAAAAATGGATGTGGTAGCATATGCCTTTTATCCGGCATTCAAGAGGCAAAGGCAGGCAGATCTCTGTGAGTTCAAGGGCAGCCAGGGCTACATTGTGAGACCTGTCTCAAAATAAACAAATAGGTAAAAATAACTAAAATTAAAAAAAGAGAGAGAGAGCATGTAAAATTGGAAGGGAAAGTGGGGAGGAATTGGAAAGGAAGGAATTGGGGAGGTCAGAATGCGCATAGTACATGCATGTATAAATATTACATAAAAATATTAAAAGGCTAAACTTCTCCCAAATGGGCTGTACCTTGAAGTATCTTGTAATATTGATCAAAAGTGTAAGTACACAAATCCCAGAACTTTAAGTCCTGTGAGAACATGGAGAGTGTGCAGCTTGCACACAGTGACAGTGACTGGGATTAATCGACTTGCCCATCTGCAGGAGATCCATTAAACAGATTTTTGGTAGAGCCACATGTTACTGTCACAGAATAAGTGACTATTGCTACAGAATGAGATTGAAAAAACAGTGGACAACTGTCAAATCTGCCACCCTTCGTGTGCAAGCTACCTGTGGAAGGAAAAAGAGCTGCTTCTGGGAAGCGGAATCAAGTGTGGGGATCAGTGGGCATGGGAGATTTTCCTTCTTACCAAAAGCCATCATTATCACTTAAATTATGTTCCACGAGCTTTTAGCACACATTGAAAAGATATTATTGAATTAAAACTTTTTTTTTCGAGACAGGGTTTCTCTGTGTAGTTTTGGTGCCTGTCCTGGATCTTGCTCTGTAGACCAGGCTGGCCTTGAACTCACAGAGATCCGCCTGCCTCTGCCTCCTGAGTGCTGGGTTTAAAAGCATGTGCCACCACCGCCCAGCTGAATTAAAACTTTTGACAAATTAAAAGAAAATGAATTTAAAGGTATTTTTGTAGACTTTTTTGGGAATTTCTTTTGTCTGATTGGTGTTTTGCTTGTATACTTTGAGTTCCATTTTGTGGGTAGTGTGTGTGTGTGTGTGTGTGTGTGTGTGTGTGTGTTATGTGGTTTTTTTTGTTGTTTGCTTGTTTGTCTTTTAAAGAGAGAAAGAAAGGACATGGAGTTGGCTGAGTGGGGAGTAGCTGTGAGGGGAAAATGTGAGCAGAAGATATTGTGTGAAAATACTTTCTTTCAATACAAAACTAAAAAAAACATTTAGAAATAGAAAGGTACCTTTGGCCACATCAGTAGGGTCAACCTTTTCTTCCAACCTATGGGAAGAGGTATGGGTTTGCAGTAGCTTTGCCTGACCCTTGCTGCTACCATCTGGGAAGTCACTTCTGGAGAAAAGGGCCCCGGAAAGGAGCTTGAATGACGCCATCTCATCCACAGGATGGAAAACTTCTATGGCTGCCCTTACGACTTCATTGAGATTTTTGATGGCCCACAAAGTGAATCATTTTCACTGGGGAGATTCTGTTCAGAAACAATCCCAGTATTTACATCTTCTTCGAGCCACATGAGCGTGGTGTTCCACAGTGACGACATTGTCACCAACATTGGATTCTATGCATCTTATGAGTCTCTGTTACAAGATGAGAAAGACAGAGGTAGGTCCTTCCACTGTTTCGGCTGCTGGTCCTGCTTGGTGGTGGCACTGAACTCAGATGGACCTTCAGTCAACTGGGTGCTAGGGATTTGCGAGTGGTTCCCTGGCTTCTTGTCAGTTGCAGCTCCTGAGATGTAAGTTGGAGAGACTTCTTGCTCAGCACATTGCTCTGGTCTTAGATGCACACATCTTCTGAGGTTAGAGGTCCATGAACCGTTCGGAGAAAGGGGACTCAGCCGGCCCCATGTTAGAACCTGTTTTATTCAAAGCTGTGTTGATAATGAGTTCACAAACAATAGAGCAGCAATGTTTGCGTGCTCAATATTGTCACTTTATAAAAAGCTATTGAGAGTCTTCTTTGGGTTCTGTGGAATATAAAATTAACCCTGGGTATGTGTGTGTGTGTGGGGGGGGTGTTGAAAAAACATCCCTTGGGTCAAATATCACATTTGTATCAAACCCAAGGTGCTCAGCAGCCAGTTGTAAGCCATCAAGTGCCCTCCCCAGTGTGAGGACTGAGCCCTCAAAGCTAGTCAAGGCAGAGAACATGTCCTCTTACCTTCGAGGGCTCGTCAACCAAGGGGGGCTTCAGGGTGGTGACCCTGCTTGTCTGCTTTTCCAGATGTGGCACTCAGACTGGCCAATGGCAGCCACCCATGTGAAGGTCGTGTGGAGCTCTACTACAACAGCAGCTGGGGTACTGTGTGTGACGACAGCTGGGACCTGAGAGACGCCCAGGTGGTGTGCCGGCAGCTGGGCTGTGGTGGAGCTGTGGCAGCCGCTGGCCGGGCACATTTTGAGCGAGGCCTAGGCCCCATTGTCCTGGATGATGTGGAGTGTATGGGAATGGAAGCCAGACTGTGGCAGTGCCTGCACGGTGGCTGGTTTGCCCACAACTGTGGCCACCATGAGGATGCTGGTGTCATCTGCTCAGGTGGGCTGGGTTCTGAGGGGTTAGTGACTTTCCAGTTCTGGGAGCCTCCAGCCCCACCACACATAAAGCAGGAAGGGAATTTAGGACAGTCCCCAGGCCACTGTGCCAGCATACCCACCTGCTACTCAAGGTGTGATTTTCATAGCCATTTCCTTTAACCTGACTCTTTGCTTATGTGAGTTCCTTTTCCAAGGACACTTCAAACTTCATCAGCTTAAACAGAGAGCCTGGACCACAAGCTGTGAACAGACCACAATTCAACACAAGCACAGTTTCTTAGTTACTCTTCTATTGCTATGATAAAACATGCATGATGAAGACAACTTATACAAGAAAGCATTTTGGGGCTCATGGTTCCAGAGGGTTAGAGTCCATGATCCTTATGAGGAGCATGGCAGCAGGTAGGCATGGTGCTGGTGCAGTAGCTGAGAGTTCACATCTTGATCCACCCATAGAAGCAGATTGAGCTCATTGGGAATTCCTTAGGCTCTTGAAACTTCAAAGCCTGTCCCCAGGGACACACCTCCTTCAACAAAACCGAACAGTTCCACCAGCTGGGGACCAAGCATTCAAATATATGAGCCAAATATCTGAGAGCCAGTCTGCCTCAAAACACCATACACAGTGACAATGAAATCATTATCAGAATCAGAAATCTTTAAAAAAAATTTAGTAGGGCCTGGATATGACTAGATGCTTAAGAACACTGGCTGCTCTCCCAGAGGATCAAGGTTCAGTTCCCAGCACCCACATGACAGCTACACAGCAAATTGACAGCAAGTTTGAGGCTAGCCTAGACTGCATGGGATCTTGTGTGTAATTGATTGACCTTTAATTCACTTAAAAATAAGAATTATAAAACCAAACTGACTAGTAAGACAGATGCTTCATATAGGTGACTATCTGGAAAGGAAAGAAATTGTATTCTAGTATCCATTATCAGGACATAATGGACCTAGGAATCCAGAACCTCAGGTGGTGATTCGGGGTCACTCTTAGATGCTCAGATGGCATACATCTGGCTTTGGTTCCTCCCCAAGCAAATAATTCAAATAAGCAGTCTTACCTGTGGGGTTTAAAAGGATGAAGAGAGGTGACTTGGTGACTCCCCTGACTCTGCTTGTGTCTTTCCTAGCCTCTCTGTCTCACCCAGCACCGTCATCTCCCGTGAGTGATACGATTTTAGGTAATGTCAGTTGTTCTTGATTGGTTGACTCTAATCTGCATTGGCAGAGTTACACTGGGAAGTAGGGTAGTAGTTAGAGGCCAGACACCCTGTCTTCATCATCACTAAATCTAGCAAATCACAGAATTATTCCAAGTCTCTGTTTCCTCCTCTGGATGTGGGGGAGGAGGTTGGACGGTGGCATTTGCATCCTCAGGATATGTTGGGATTGGGTGACTTTCCTAGTACAGAGGGAGGGGTTGGCACGGTGCTCGGTATGTGATAGAACATGCTATGTAGATCTCAGCCATAACTTCTGGTTCCCGGGGTCAGAGCGCTGTAAACATTTCCCTCTGCATACTGCTTTCTCCTCCGCAGGACTAAGAACAAAGAAGCCAAAAGCATTAACTTTTACAGTTGCTCCTGGCTCTTTGCGGCCCAATAGTTACCACATTTCAAACTTGGTTAACTGCTCTTCAGGGCAGGTCTTTAAGAGCAAAGTTGAACATGCAGAGAAGAATTGGGAGAAAGACCCCAAGCCCTTAGAGGAAGCATCAGCTTGGGTTATTCTGGTGCCAGAGGTCTTCAAAGGATGCTTCATTGTTTTTTTTTTTTTTTTTTTTTTTTTTTTTTTTTTTTTTTTTTTTTTTTTTTGGTTTTTCGAGACAGGGTTTCTCTGTGTAGCTTTGCGCCTTTCCAGGAACTCACTTGGTAGTCCAGGCTGGCCTCGAACTCACAGAGATCCGCCTGGCTCTGCCTCCCGAGTGCTGGGATTAAAGGCGTGCGCCACCACCGCCCGGCTGCTTCATTGTTTTTAAACTGTATTTTTAAAAAAATCTGTTCACCCCCAGGCTCTGATTTTCTTGGGCTTCTAAAGTAGTTTGTATTCACTATGTACATGTTGATTGAGGGATGGAAGGATTACTCCTTACAGAGAAACATACTGGAAGGGATGTGATTTGAAGCTATCTGTAGATAGTCTTGAAGGTGGAGAGCCCCCTGGAAATTGACAGAGTTGAAGATGCCTGACACTTACCAAAGGTGCAGTGTAATTTTCTTCTTTTGCTTTCTATCCATCTTTAGCATCATTGGTAAAGCAGCCAGAGGTGTCTGCAACAACAGGTAACCTTTTCTCCACTCCTCAGTCACCTTTCCTTTGTAGTGTTTGAGCCCAGAATCCAGCATTGCTGGAGGAGATGTGTCCCTGCTGAACACTGTCTAGTCCCACCCTCCTCCCTAGCTCAGGCTGGCCCTGTTAATGGCTGCTACTGGAAGGAGACTGAGAATGCCTGGCCCATCTAGAAAATCTGGGACTAGAAAATACTGCAAGAAGCAAGGATAATTTGCAGGGGGTTGGTGTGGAAGCTGGCTCCTGTTAAGGCCCAGGGTGCCTTGCTGTCCTTACCCAGTTCTGCCTAGCAACTGACCTAGGCTGTCTTCTGACATTTTATTCTCTTCTGACACAACAGCTTTTGACTATGGGCATTGGTAGGCAATGACTGCCCTTCTCATTCCCTGGAACACCTTGACACATGGGACACTCTTGATCCTGGTGTTTGCTGCTATCACCCCTTAATCAATGTACACATGCACAGACATACATGTGCACACACAGGCACACACACAGACACACACACACACAGAGACAGACAGACGGACAGACAGACAGACAGACACACACACACACACACACACACACACACACACACACACACACACACCAGTTAGCACAGCTCTTTATGACAAATAAAAAAAAAAAAAAACAACTTTGTGAGCACCAGAAACTAAGACTTGCAACTTGCAGTAAGAGGACCCCAGGGCAAGTTCCTGGTCCAGCTGGCCAAGGAACAATCATTTCTTTACCAAACACGATCTTGAAAACACATGGAATGGTACCAAGGACAAGAATTGAATTGATTTAATTTGAAATGAAAAGGAAGTGGGTCTGCCATCCTTGACGGTCAATGCATGACTCCCAGGAAATAGCTGCTATTTCTGGCAGTCTTTAAGAATGAGCCCTCAAGGGGATTGTTCTTGGATTGCCCACCAAGGTCTGGACCTGCGGCTGGTGAATGGGACAAGCAGGTGTGAGGGCCGAGTTGAGGTGTACTATGCCAACACCTGGGGCACCGTGTGTGATGACAACTGGTCCATAGAGGATGCCCACGTGGTCTGCAGACAGCTTGGCTGTGGTCCAGCTTTATCTGCCCTGCCAGGCACCAGTTTTAGCCCTGGGTCAGGCAGCATCCTCCTTGATGATGTCAACTGCACAGGAAAGGAGTCTTCCTTGGCACAGTGCCCTCACAGCGACTGGCTCACCCACAACTGTGGGCACCAGGAAGATGCTGGTGTCATCTGTGCAGGTGAGAGAAGGCCCATCTTAGACCAGCTGTAGAACTCCCCAAGCCAAGCCTGAATGCTGGCACACCTTGAGTCTGCCTTCATGGGCAGGGTGGTGGGTTTCTTTGCCAACACTGAAAACTATGCTTGCAATACTTGGGGTGACTGTTTTCAAAGTAAGGGCCTGAAGAGATTAATAGGCCCTACAATAAAGAAAATAATAGTGCTGGCCTCATAGAGTTGGTAAGCATTGACAAGACAACCCATATACAATGCTTAGCCAAGCATCTAAGAAACCGTAAATTACACAAAATTGCTAGCTGTTGTAATTTTTGTTACTAAGATTAATTCTGTCAGAATCATGTGACTGGATTTTTAGGCAAGTGAAAGCCCACAGCAGAGGAGGGCAGCCTTGGATGCTTAAGAAGAATTGCTCCCACCAGCTTCCTTCAGTTGCAATTAAACAAAGACCATGTCCTTCAGGTCACTTCACCATTGTGGTTTCTAATATCAACCATCTCATGTTTCCTTTCTCTCTATAGATTCTGCAGCTGCCGGACATTCAGGTAACTGTGAGTTCATGAATACTGTATTTCCTGCCCAATGACTAAAGTTTACCAATAGGGTTACCACACTGAGTCTCTCTTCTGAGTTTTCTTTTTCTTTTTTCTTTTTCCTCTTTCATTTTCTTTCTTTCTTTCTTTCTTTCTTTCTTTCTTTCTTTCTTTCTTTCTTTCTTTCTTTCTTTCTTTCTTTCTTTCTTTCTTTCTTTTTTGACAATTCCCTGAGATCTAGATTGTTGTCCCTCAGTCCCTGGGGGCCTGCCATACACCCAGAGAAAAGGCATTCTGGATGTTAACATATTGGTGTGCCATCCTTTCTGCACATGAATGCCACATTTCAGCAGGAAACCATAATACCAGTTTTTGACCCAAAATAGATGTTCATGTAACAGAGGCCTTGGGAGGCCAAGGAGGGCAGGTGGTCCTAGGGGCAGATGAACCCGGGGGCAGGGGCTCCTTCTCGATCTGCAGCCTACACTCGGGACCTGGGATGAGGTTGGTGACCTGACAGTGAGATCCTGCTATGAGGCCACAGCTTCACAATCCCAACATGAACTTGATGTCTCGTTCTTATGTAGGATAATGCACACACATGCATGAGCCATTGTCGCATTTTAAATGGGAAACTATCTGATCAGCTACTCAGCAGGGTTGCTTAAAGGCAAACTCACTTCTATGATTTAGATGGCACGTTAGGGTATGAACTGGCCTTTTATTTGCTTCGGATGTATTTATGATGACTTCCTCCCACTTCCCCGTTCTTACCTGTACAGCTACTTCAGCTCCTGAGGGACATCCACATGGTTTCCATCCAATAGGTACGTCCTCACTCTTACAGTCTGTGACTCTTTGCTCTGAGGCTGTTTGTGACTAACAGAAATGAAGCCCAGGAGGCCTGGAAGACGGCTCAGTAGGTAAAATGCTAGCCATGTGAGCAGAAGGACCTGGTTCAGTCCCCAGGCCCAGGCACGGCAGCACATGCTTGCAATCCCAGTTTGGGACAAGTGGAGACAGACAGCTCTCTGGGGATTGCTGGCCAGCCAGTCAAGCCAAATCAAGAAGTTCCAGGTAAAAATAAGAGACCCAATATTCTCAAAACACAAAATAGAAGGCATCCTGAAGAATAAACCTGGGGTGAAATCTAATCTAACCTATACAGGCAAGTGCAAGTGTGTACACACACACATGCAAACACACACACACACACACACACACACACACACACACACACACACACACACACAGAACATTATTTCCATGGCCTATGGATCTGGTGCTACATAGCAAAGAAGTTCATTAGAGCTTGTCACATGTAGCTTCTATTATGGAGGTCTTTTCAAGGAGAGAGCCAATTTACCCACCCATCTCAACTGCAGAATCTGATGTTCCAAGACCAGGCTCCACATTGTGCCCTAGTCAACCCTTGAAAAGAGCCCACCCCAGTTCTGAGGGTTCAGACTCTGGGAATTGACTTCATCTGTTTTAGTTCAGAGGGTCTTCTTCCTGGTTAATTCCCCACCTTGCCTCAGGGACGCTGTATCTCTGATAGATACTTTACATTTTCTGGATTCAAGTGATGAACAACTAACTTTATTTTGTAAATTACGTCCTATCTGAGGGAACCAGGTTAGAAATACAGCCAGAACTCTCAGCCTGCAGCTGCCTTGTTTTTAGAAAAGTGGCTTAGCCGGGCGGTGGTGGCGCACGCCTTTGATCCCAGCACTTGGGAGGCAAAGGCAGGTGGATCTCTGTGAGTTCGAGGCCAGCCTGATCTACAGAACGAGATCCAGGAAAGGTGCAAAGCTACACAGAGAAACTCTGTCTCGAAAAAACAAAAAAAAAAGAAAGAAAAGAAAAAAGAAAAGCGGCTTTATGAAAAAGGACCCTAGAAACAGTGAGCCGTGTGCATTGCGTCAAAGACCTGGAGACTAGGACAGGAGAATTGCGTGTTCCAAGGCTGCCTGGGAGTTCGGTCTAGCCAACGTAGGAAAATTAGTGAGACTCTTACCTCAAAAGAAAGGGTAAAAAGAGGACTAGAGAAACAGCTCCATGGAAGCATGGTATTTTTTTAGGTACGTCTTCCTCAATGCTAGCCTGTGGCCTCCATTCCCATAATAAAACTGCCCAGGATGACAACCCAACGTAGATAGAAACACATTAAATTTCCAGCACAGAAAGTGGTCATATGTGTTCCTTTGTGTATATAGGTCTCCCACGTCAGCACAGCCTTTCACAGACAGGTGCTTGTTACCCCAACAGCAGGTCACATCCCAGGCTAGGATTCTCTAGCTTGATGCGCTGTTCTCTCTGAGCTCTGAAGGACCCTCAGCTGATTTGTCCTTTGGCTCCTGCAGATCTGCAGCTGGTGAGACTGGTCAATGGGAACAGCCAGTGTGAGGGCCGTGTAGAAGTCTACTTCAATGGGACCTGGGGGTCTGTGTGTGATGATCTTTGGAGCATACAGGCTGCCCAAGTGGTATGTCAACAACTGGGCTGTGGGGTGGCCCTGGCGGCCCCCAGGAGCAGTCTGTTTGGCGATGGTTCTGGCCCCATCTTCCTAGACGATGTGAAGTGCTTGGGCACAGAGACCAACCTAGGGCACTGCCGCCACCTCGGCCTGTCTGTGCACAACTGTGATCACCATGAGGATGCAGGAGCCATCTGTTCAGGTACCCAGTCTCTGTTGGGACTTCATTTTTTTTTACCAAGCAGCAAACCAGATACAACCACACAGAAGGGCTCGGGGTCCCTGCTGGGGCGAACTTACCCCGGCATTAGGGGCGAACTTACCCCGGCATTAGCACCAAGAGCCTCATGCCTCTCAAGCATCCTTGGACTCCAACAGCTAACAACATTGGTCACCCTAGTGTCAGGAAATGAGGGTCCACTGTCCATTGTCACAGCCTGTGTTCCAGGCTTTACATGCAGAAGTAATAATATACCTGGAAGCCAGAGTGATGCCCTGCTGTAGGGTGGTTTTTAACTCCTGGGAACGGTCCTTCTATGTGCATCAAACTCCCAAGTCCTCATGATGAAATTTCAGGCAGCTTGATTATACTGATACTGTCCTCATTGCTGATTGCTGGTGTTGGGACTTTCTTGCCACAAGGGACAAGTTAAGGTTACCACTCAAAAAAGAACTTTACCAAAAACTCTATAACCTTGTCCTACTGCCAGGCCTCACTAATGCCCAGGACTACTCATTCTCTACCCTCTAGAGGAACAGGCAGAGGTGAGGTGGGGAGATGGTATGAAGATCAAGGTGAGGAGAGGCTGTCTCCTCCACTCTATCAGTTCACTGGTTGTCTTGTTTTGTTTCTATCTGAAGAGTTAGTTTCCTGGGGCCAGGGAATAAAAAACTCTCATTTCCTGTTTTGCGGTCACAAATCCCCAAAATGCCACCTGCCTGTAAGGTCTAACGATGTTTTCAGTGAGGATTAGCAAGTCAGGTGATGGGAAGGTAGTTCAGAGACATTGTTTGCATGGGCTGGCTCTTTAACATATGACCAAACCACGTGTGTGTGTGTGTGTGTGTGTGTGTGTGTGTGTGTGTGTGTGCGCGCGCACGCGCGCGCGCCCCATCACATGGACATGAGGAGGATTCCTGTCCACTCGGCCTGTGGTATTTTATCAAATGAACCTCCTCCACTGATGTGAATGCTTCTCGTTGTCTCTTTCAGCTGTTAGCGTTGCCTCAGCTTTGGCAGAAGTGGCTCCCTCAGTTGGTAATACTCCCATGGCTTCTCCCACTACTTCCTAATTATTGGATCTTTCTAGGAACCTCCCCAAGGTTATAGCCTGCACTATCACTGGCTAGCTAGAGCTCCGCTTCCCTGGGATTGCAAAGGAGTAAGCTGAACTGAAGGAAAGGCTATTCATATGGACTTTTACTGCATGCCTTCCCTCTGCTTCTTAGAGGATTTTAACTTTGAAATTGCACCCAGGGACAAGAAAAGGGGGAAAAAATGAAACGAGTTTGACATATTTAACACCAATGCCTATGGATTTGGCGGTTTGGATCCAAGGATGTGATTATCATTGCCATAACTTTAACATATTTTTAGTCTGAAGATAAGAAATCAGAATTAGCCAGGGAAAGCAGGTCACTGCATTTACAATCATTAATTCAGGGTAGTCCTGGGGGGCCTGGAGGCAGGAGGCCCGAGTTCCTACAGTTCTGAGGTTTAGAGGGATTGTATCCAGAACTAAAGAAAAGCCCTCCATGATGCCCATGCCACTCCAGGACTAACCTCTGAGTCTTCCCCAGGCCAGCTCATGATCAGGTTGGTGGATGGAAAGAACCGCTGTGAAGGCAGAGTGGAAGTCCACCACAATGGCACATGGGGCACTGTTTGCGACGACCTTTGGGGAATCGAGGATGCCCATGTGGTATGCCGGCAGCTGAACTGTGGGGAGGGTGTCAGCGCCCTTGGGAGTAGCCACTTTGGAGAGGGCGTGGGGAGCATCTTCCTGGACGATGTGCAGTGCCAGGGCAGTGAGACCTCGCTGGGCCAGTGCCAACACCAAGGCTTGTCTGTCCACAACTGTGGCCACCATGAAGACGCCAGTGCCATCTGCTCAGGTACCTGCTGCTGGCTTCGTCAATGATTCTCGGTGTGGGTCCTGGAAATTAACATGGGAACATTTGGAGACTGTTGGGGTCTACTAATCATGCCCAGGGCCCTGTCTCAATGTTCTGAGGCTTTCTGGGGCAGTAGTACATAATATGCAGCCCCACTGCCTACCCTCCGCTTGCTTCTGGGAGCCCCCCATCACTCCTGGCCTCCCTCAGTGTGCCCTGCTTGACTCAACACCTATGAGCTCCCCTTAGAGCCTTCAGACTGTACTCTCTTTGAGGGCTCTCCAGGTGCTCTGTCCACTAACCACTGCAGAATTCTATGAACACAATCCAGTTTCTCTTGCTAGTTTAAACTGTTTCCTTTTGGCCTCTCACTTGGGATGGTTTCCTGCTGTCTACCTGTCTTCCTTCCTTCCTCCCTCCCTCCCCCCTCCCTCCCTCCCTCCCTTCCTTCCTTCCTGTCTGTCCATCTGTCTTTGCTTAATTCAGCAAGGTTTATGCATTATGTTTTCTTTTGCTCCACCCCAACAGACAGTAAAAAGAGAAGAAAATAAGACAAAATGAAAATAACCACGGCCAAGCATCTCTTAAATAGGGCAGAGACTAGGATAAGAAAATGGAAGTCATTCATCTATTTACTTAATATATATTTCTTTTTAAACTTTATTTATCCTTTGACAATTTCAATCAATGTATCTTGATCAAGCCCCAGTTTCCTCTTCCTGCTTTCCCTGGATACCTGGATCCCACCCAACATGTCCCCTCCCTCCTTTCATGTCCTGTTCTTTCTTTTTCTGTCATCCACTGAATCTGGTTAATCTGTCTCACGGTGCATTGACTGATGTTGCTGGCTTCACCTTGTGCAGATATTCGTAACTGCAGTGAGTCATGGGGGCAACAGCCATATCATGCTCAGAAGACATGGCACCCCCTCCATCCTCCAGTCCTTACATCCTTTCTGCCCCCCACTTCCTCATCATTCCCTGAGCCTTGAGGGGGTCGGTATAGATGTCTAGTTTAGAGCTGAGCACTTAATAATCACTTATCCTCAGCACCTGGACCAGTAAAGAGTCTCTGTGTTGACTGCTTGTTTAATATGTATCCCTTGAGCACTCTGTGAACCAGGCAGAGCTGTCCAGGCGCCGATGCTGTGGTTACTGAACAAAAGAGCATTCGTAAGGAGGGCTGCAATCACTTATGCAGTTAACTATGATAGAATCTGAACAAATTTGAATGAAGAGCGAATCTAGGGTGATAATATGCTTTATTATTGTAAGGAATTTTTTATCCAGTGTTCAGACAACTCAGCATTGTGTTACAACCCTATTTGGTGTAAATGAGAAGTCAGCATTATCAGTCTAAGGACTGAATGAGGAAGGCGCCTAGTAATTTGCCACCCTGAAAAACACATCCTCTTCATTGCACCGGAGAAGTAGCTTTCTGACCTTACCTAGAGGAACAAACTGTCCGTAGCCAGTGAACATTTCCAGCTTCCTGTCTTCATACAGCCCATTTTTATTTCAGTCTCAGCAAAAAATAAAAAACCAAACAAACAGTAAAGAACAAAAAAATGAAAACAAAACAACCAACTCTGTCTTTTGGTTTAGTTCCACATTCCAGAAGCCGTCTGTATGGGATTTTAATGTATCTCATGTGCCAGCTTTTTAAATAAAAATGACCTCCTAAGTTTTTGTCTGCTTTGCCATTTCAGCAGCAGCCACAGAAATGACAACGTCACCCGGTAATATTTCTTTCTTTACTGTTTTCTCTAATGTGTAGATTGCCTTACCTGTGATTAAGCTTCCAGTTTGTATATCATATGAAATGACTCGCTGTGGCTGGGATGTACTCACTTGGCAAGGTGCTTGCCTGACAAGTACAAAGTCCTGGATTTGACCCTAGCATAGCGAGGGGCTTGGAATCATACACACCTGTAGGCCCAACACCTGGGAGGCAGAGGCAGAAGGATCAGAAGTTCCTCAGCTACAACTGAATTTGAGGACAATTTGAGCTACACGAGACACTGTCTCTTAAAGGGTTATATATGAAAAGAGAAATTGTGCCCTAAATTTGTATCAAAGTGACATAGGGTGTTCCTTCATTTATTGACTGAAGGAGTAAACTGGGTTACTTTCCTCAATTACAATACAGTATGTATACTTTGTTCCCTTTCCCGTGTGTGTGAGCATGCACATGTGGGGGGGGGGGTACATATGAGTACCTGTGCACGTGGTTAACATCAGTGTCTTCTTCAATCACTCTCTTTTGTTTTTGAGGCAAGGTCTCTCATTGAACCAAATTGGCTGGCCAGTGAGCTCCAGAAACCTGCCTGCCTCAGCCTCCCCAGAACCAGCTCTTAGATTCGTGCTGGGATCCAAACCTAGGTCCTCATGCCTACATGGCAAACACTTACCAACTGAGCCATCTCCTCAGCCCCTGTCCCCTTCCTTTTTGACATGATGTCTGGTGTCTGAGATAAAGCTACCATGGTGTGGCTTCGCTCATATTCTCATCAGGGTTGGGCACATGGGTTCTTCAACTAGCTTTTATTCTTTAATAACCCTCATAAGACTTCAGACACCTCAGACAAAACTCTGATCTACATTTTCACAAAACAGTGCAGAGACACATGCTTCGAGTGTGTCTCACAGGACCAGACACCAATTCAGTGATGTGGAAACGAGAAGGAAGGAATACCATGGCTGGATGTGTTGGAGAAATATCAAATTCCTCTTTTAAATACAGTCTACTCATGTATTCAGTTTTCTCAAAGGCTGTATCGTAACAGAGCTTTAAATTTTCTGGTTGAACCCAATTTTGCTCAGATTTCTTTGGGTGAAAAGGAAAACTCTTGGGTAATCATGCTGTACCCTGGGATGCTGGGCCAGAGAACCCAGGGTTATGCTCTGGCTCCATCTTTAACCACTGGGTGATGGTCTGCAGGACCCCTTACTGCTCAGAGCTGCTACCCCTTCATCTGTAGAACATGAGGATAAAGAGTCACCTCAGAGCTATGTCCTGGGGACTTAGTGGTCTATGTCGTTCGGTGATGGGAGCTCCTCATGGACGTGTATGCTGCTGTCTGTTGAGTCTAGGGGTTCCCGGATGCAAGCCCCTCTCTCCTTACACCCTGTTGTAAATCTCCTTCTACATAACGCTCTGGAGCTCATTCTAGAGCTCATGTTGATGAGCATACACTTAAACAGGTTGGAGAAATACCACCTGAGTTCCCTCTGAACTGTAAACTGTTAGGAAAATGGCCTGTCATCCATATTTCCAAAATCACAGAACCATCTTCCAGGCTTGGTAAAAATTAACCTTGAAAGAAAATCACACAATGAAACCAGTTCTTTCTTTGTATTGGACCTGTGAGATGTGCCTAAGGATTCCAGGCCAGGACAAATTAGGGGTGACACCATTGTGGCTCAGCACTTTACAAGGGCTGAAAGAAACTTCAGAGACCACAAAGACCAGAAGCCCCAAGTGGGGAACACATGAGCCCACTGCCCACTTAAGAGCTGAAATTCAGGTCACCCAGCTTTGCCTATGAATGCTGAAGTTATCTTTAGCTCCACATTTTTCTCCTTTTCAAATTTGTGTATAGTTCTCATTGTATATCTTCATTGTATATGATTATGTGTTACATAAAGACATTTCCACATACATATACATTATGTGTAAACACATCCCCTCTCTTGCTGTCCAGTCTCCCTTTTCTTACTCCCTTCTTTTATTCCCATCAGCCCTTTTCATTCCCTGGACAGCTTTGTTTCTGCTTTCATAGCATTCAAACACACATAACGTTATGCATTTATATAAAAACCCACAAACCATAAACGAAGGAAAACATGATCTGGTATGTCTTCTTGAGATGGGATCTTCCCACTTGCACCCATTTTCCTGCAAATGAAGCCACTTCATTCTTTATTAGCCCCACTTTTTAAAAACAGAGGCTTTTATATCAAAATCCACACATCCATCTGTCTTCTTCCCCATGCTAGGGGTCAGATACAAGTATATACAAATACAGGGCCTTGTACAAGTTATTTGCCATCAAACTACACCTCTAGATCAAGATTTCTAGCTTGGACCAAAGGAAAAAAAACTCCAAGTGCCCAATGGTAATGTGAATTTCATTGGGACAGCAATTGGCTGTGGCTGAGCAGAGAGGACTGTCCTGCGTATGAGCACAGGCTTTCCCATTTGCTCCTGACTCCACCATGTGCGTCCAGGTCTGCAGTCACCTCTTTTCCCATGTCTCTCAGAGTTTGATGTGCACAAAACTTGCTGGGGATTCTGTTAAAATGCAGATTTGCATCCAAGAGTCTACATTCCTTTTTCTTCTTTTTGTTTTATGTGCATGAATGTTTCACCTGCGTGCATGCATATGCACCATGTGTGTGCCTGGGGCTAGCAGAAATCACAAGAGAACATAAGATTGCCCAGACATGGAGTTACAGATGTTTGTGAGCCACCATTTAGGTGCTGGGAACCAAACCCAGGTCATCTTCAAGATGAGTACGTGCTCTTAACAACTGAACCACCTCTTCAGCCCCAGGAATCTGTATTTCTAAAAGCAGGTCACAGACACGGCTGATCTGCAGGGTAGACCTTCCCATGCAGGGGCTGAAGTTTGGAGATTCAGGACTCATCCAGGGTCACACACTCTGTTACACAGACACTAGGAGCCAGTCTCTTGGCTCCAGCCCCATGTACCACCTTGCTACTGTTCATTTGCTTTAACTTTATGAAACGGAGACTAGGGGAATCGAATAGGAACAAAGTAGAACTGAACATATTAGGACACATGTGTGTATGGAGTCATTCACTTTTACAAGCAGAATTGATTGACAAGGATGGCATTTAATTACAATTTTCTTACCCTGCTTGTTTCAACAGTTCCTACCTCAAGTCCAGCTGCAGCTTTTGTCCTTGCAACTGGTAAGCTTTCTGCTCATTTTCCAACTCACTTTCTATCGGTGATAATATGATGTTGAAATTCTACCAAGCTAGTACAGTTTGACCCCTGGTTCTCCAAGAGTCACTTGGCTGAATGAATATCTCAAGAAATAGACAAGATCCCAGAAGTATACCAAGAGGGCCTCTCTACAGCCAAGTCAAGACCAAGTTCAAGTTCAAGTCCTGTGCTTGCATACATTCTGGGCATTCCACAAAGCCTGTCTCCTGGCCTGCCAGTGTGTTGTTTTGGAATACCCTAGCACTTGGCTCTCTGACTGAGTTACTGACTGTACAGTAGGAAAAAAATAGGTTGGAGGTGGGGGTATAAGGACTGGGAGGGCTAGTCCTATTATTGGCAATGGCAGGGATGCTAGTATATGCTACAATAGTCATATGGAGCAAAAATGCCCATTTACCCCAACGTCCTTTGAGCTACCTCTGTACTGTATCCTAATACAAACAGTAATTTTCTCCCCAATGGGTCTGGATCATGCAAGTAGCAGATTTCATCTCAGGAAAGATTTAATTTATAGTATCACAGGGTGTGTGCTTTGAATCTGGATGTTTAAGCCCTTACTCAGAAAGATGTGGAATAACTACCCCTCTTATCGGTTTTCCCAATAACAAAGGCAGACTGCAGTAAAGGTGGGATTGAGTGTAACCAGAAAATGAATGAAAACTTCCGTTCAGTTGACTGACATTCCCACTTGTGTTTTGTATCAGACATCGCTCCCACTCCAGTAGAAGTAACTCCTCCCCGTGATAACGGCCTCTGCCCGCCACAGTGCACAGGTAGGACGGCAGGTGTTTGCCATGACCCTGGGGCTAAAGTGAACACAAGGCCTGAGAGTGGTTGTCGTTGTCCTTGAGCAGACTGCCTCATCGAACCAGACCCAGAACTGGGGATAGGGTGAAGGGGGGATTCCTAGAGAGAGGGGAGCTCCTTGGCCAGGTCAGAGCTTCTGACAACACACACACACACACACAACACACATACAGACACACACACCATACACACACACAACCACACACGCATCACACACAACACACTATACACACACAACCACACATATCACACAACACACTATATACACACAACCACACATATCACACAACACACACACATCACACATACCACACAACACACACACATCACACACACCACACAACACACACATAGACACACACTATACACACACAACCACACCACACACACAACCACACCACACTATGCACACACACCACACACATCACACACATCACACAACACACACAACACACAACACACACATCACACACACCACATGACACACACACCACACACACAACCACACCACACTACGCACACACACCACACACACAACCACACCACACTACGCACACACCACACACACACACACACTCACACCTCCCTCGTAGCACTTGCCCTCACTGCAATTTTACAACTCCTTATGAAATGTTTGATCTTGTCTGTCTTCCCACGAGACGGGCCTCTTTCTGAGGACTCGAATCATAATGTAGTTTTGTTGACTTTCTCTCCAGCCCTAGCCAAGTGCTGGCACAGAGGAGCAGGCAATCAAGAAAAGTTAATTAAATACATGAAAGTCAGGTGTCAGGGTTCCTTTGTTTGGTATTGAATAGTATTTGATCATTTACCTTTTCTTATTTACAGGCTCTTTGGCAACTACTCCATTTCTAATCCCTCCAACTGGTAATTTGAATGTTCTTTTTGGTTCTGGGACAGTTGCTTAGATGAACATCTGTTTCCATCCCTGAGTCTCTTTGCCGTTCACCCAGTGTCAGCGGGGCATCCCGTCTCCGTTGTTCTGTGTAATCTAGTGAGATGGGTTGCTCATTTGCTGTGTAGTATTTAGAAAGAGAACCTGCCGGGCGGTGGTGGCACACGCCTTTAATCCCAGCACTTGGGAGGCAGAGCCAGGTGGATCTCTGTGAGTTCAAGGACAGCCTGGTGTACAGAGCGAGATCCAGGACAGGCACCAAAAACTACACAGAGAAAACCTGTCTTGAAAAAACAAGAGGGGGGGGGGAGGGAGAGAGCCTGTCCAATGATCATACAAGAATAACATGAAGATCAATGAAAGGGCATTCATTTCATATGTGTATGTATGCAAGCATATGTGTACTCATGTGCATACAAATGCCTAAGTGTGTGTTCATGTGTACGGCACACATGTGCGCATGTGTATAGACCACAGAACAATCTCGGATGTCTTCCTCAGAAATGTCAACCACTTCCTTACAAACAGAGTCTCTCCTTGGCTTGGAGTTTACCAATTAGACTACCCTGGCTGGCCAGGAAGCCCCGGAGATCCTCCTGTCTTTGCCTCCCAGGGCTGGGCTTAAAAGTGCATACCAGCATGCTTGGCATTTTATGTGGGTTCTAGGAATAATCAAATCCCGGGTCTTATGCTTACAAGGCAACTTCTTTGCCGACTTGTGGGAATCCAGCTCCTATTTTTTTTTGAAGGGTTCTTAGATGGAGGAGAGAGGAATAAGGAAATATCAGCTAGAAAGAGAGACCTAGACGGTGAGAAGAAAGACAGAAACACAGGATAGCTTTGGGAGGGCCTGGATCAATACCCAACAGTGTTTTCCATTTATTCAAAAGAGTTCTTTATAATATGCCAAGGGGCAAAAGATCTCCCCCTTGCTAGATCATAGCACATTGCACAGTCAAATGTAGACTCTTCCAATCACCTGGTAACCACGCCCATGGCCAAATCATCTCCTTATGCAGCCCTGCTGGGTAAAGCAAGCTCAGATTCTTTGACCCTGAGTAAGTTCTCACTAGATAGCCTCTGGGGGCTCCTACACCTACTGAGTTGTTTCTCCAGCCCAAACACTCAGGCTACAATCTCCTGGTCCCTAGGCTTACATACAGACATGTCTTTAATCTCAGCAGAAGAGGAGGCCTCCTCTGGTAATGTTTTCTGATTGTCATAGGTTTTTTTCCTATAAAACATGTCCCCCGTCTTTGAAGCAAATGAACCAAGCATGCCTCTTCCTCTTTGTCTGCAGACACATCTTCAGCCTCAACAGAATCAAGCCCTCTGAATGGTACAGTCCCGCGTTGTATTGTTTCTCACTTGTCATGTTGTATTTAGAAGATGGCCACAAAGTAAAGACCCAAGACAAGACAGAGCCAGCGCTGTCCTGCCCATTTTAAAGCAGGACATTAAGCCCTGTTCTCTGGGGTTCTCCACAGATGCAGCTTCGGTCTCAGCAGAAGAGGAGACACCCTCTGGTAATATTTTCAGCTTCTATTTCTGAAGTTAAATATCTCAGCGTTTTTACTCTTTCTGTTTGGAGGGTGGCTGTAAGTCAATTTCTTCTTGTTTATTGACACTACTTCAGTGTTAGCAGAAGCAACCTCTCCAACTGATAAAGTCCCCCACAATGTTGCTTAGCCAGCCAGAGAGATGTGGTTTTTTGTTTTTTTTTTTTGTTTTTTTTTTTTTTTTTTTTTTTTTTTTTTTGGTTTTTCGAGACAGGGTTTCTCTGTGTAGCTTTGCACCTTTCCTGGAACTCACTTGGTAGTCCAGGCTGGCCTCGAACTCACAGAGATCCGCCTGGCTCTGCCTCCCGAGTACTGGGATTAAAGGCGTGCGCCACCACCGCCCAGCGATGTGTTTGTTTTTAAAGGTGTTTATTAGCATGTTTAAATTATATATACTAAGGGGCCTCATTTTGACCTTTAATACATGTGTGCATACTGTATTTTTATATTTACCCCACTACCCTCTCTAGTACCCCCCACACTTCAGCTGATCTCCCCCTCTACCTCTACTTGTTTTGTGCATGTGTGAACTAGTGAGTATGAATTGGGGTACTTACAGGGGCGTAGAGAAGGGGTTATTTGCAGGAGCAGTGGTCAGACCACTGAAGAAAATGTCTCTCCCTCCCCTAGCCATCAGCTATTGCCTATAACTTAGAGAAAGGAAGGGCCTCATAACTGTCCACTCTCCGTGGCAGAATAGTGGTGGGCTCAACTTTGTGCAGGTCTTGGGGCAGGTAGTCATGCTTGTTGGAGTTGTGAGAAAGCCATAAACATACCATGCCCAGAAGATGGCATGCCAAATCACTGTGAGCCTTTCTCTGGCACTTGCATTCTGTTTTGGTTTTGAAGTTTTCCATTTCTTCATCATATGCAGTATGAGTTGTTGTAACTATCCACAAAGTTCAATAAAACTCAAGATCAACCCGACTCTACTTCAAATAGTCACACTTAGGGCTGAGCATTTAAATCAGTTGTTATTAGCAGTTTGAGGAGTTATGAGTCTCTGCAAAAAGAAGCTTCTCTGACCAAAGCAGAAACCAGAACCAGCTTATGGGCATAAATATAACAATTTAGATATCAACTAGACAGCCATATCAACTCCACTTGGCAAAACAACAGTATCTTTCCCACTAGAGCTTTCGAATCCTATACCATAAGCTTTTGAGCAGATTTACCACACCAGACTCCTGGGGAGTAGCCTCAAATCCAAGCAGAAGTGAGTTGGTTACACCCACAACAGTCACGTCACTCTTACACCAAAGGGTACACCTTGCCTGCCAAATCAATAGTGTAACATGCAGACTTCACAGAGGGTAAGACTGTTGATGACAGCGCTTCCCCAACAGCCTGAATAATACCATCCAATCCTGTGAAAGGTGACCAGGAAGAAGGAAGCTTACAGCTCAGTCCCACCTCGATTTCTGTATACCCAGTAAGCAAAGTGTGTGGTGTCTTCTAAATAGAGAACGATTCCTGATTTGCTATGTCATATTAGAAAATTAATCCATTCAGTGATCATATTGGCTGCAAAGCAAGGATCAATGAAAAGACACTCATGTTAAAGCATCCTGTCTCTGGGTTTATACACAGATGCATCTTCAGCCTCAGAAGGAGAGGAAACATCCTCAGGTAATGTTTTTTTGACTGTCACATTTCTTTTTTTCTTTCTATTTTGCAACGGAACCTAGATATGTTTCTTTTATTTTTCATTCATATATGTGTCTTCAAGGTCAGCAAAAATGACTTCTTCAACTGGTAAAGTCTCCTGTGGTGCTATTTAAGTATTAAGATAGTAATCTCATTTGTCATGTATTTAGAAAATGAACCTACTAAAGGATCACATTGACTACAAAGTAAAGATCAAAGGAAGACTCGTTTCTTCTGAGCATATTAGTGTGTTTGTGTGTGTTCACATGTGAGGTGTGTGTGTACACATAGGTGCTCTTGTATATGGAGATGAGAGAAGGTCCTTGTGTGTCACTCTTAGAATATCATCCACTTCCTTTAAGACAGCGTCTTAAAGGTTTTTCGTTAGCCTGGAGCTCGCTAATTAGACTGCATGACTGGCCAGTAAGCTGTATGGTTCCCATGTCTGTGCCTCCCCAGCGCTGAGATTACAGACACACACCAGAACTCGAGCATTTTTACATAACTCCTGGGAATGGAGCTCAGGTTCTCTAGCTGAGTCATCCTTCCAGCCCAAGACATTAATTTTAAAGCCTCCCATTTTGTTTCTGGATTCATATACAGATGCATCTTCATCAGCGGGAGTGACCTCCTCTGGTAATGTTTCTACCTGTCATATTTTTTAATTTAAATAAAATGAGAGCTTTTTTTCCCCTCCTAATTGGTAAATGATCTGCATATGCCTTTTTTCTCTTTCTCTGTCTACAGACATTTCTTCAACCTCAGCAGAAACAAGTTCTTCAAATGGTAAAGGCCCACCTGGTGCTGCTAAACTAATGAGCTTAGTTTCTTATTTGTCATGTTGTATTTGGACAGTGAACCTACTTAATGGTCACACTGACCACAAAGTAAAGGTAACGAAATCACCCCAAGTATTGTCGTAATCATGTTAGAGCGTCCCTGTTCTCTGGCCTTACACACAGATGCCTCTTCAGCCTCAGCAGAAGATGCCTCCTCTGGTAATGTTTTTTGACCGTCAAATTTCTTAAAAACACATTCAGAGCTTCTCCTCTTCTGTTTGGAAAGTGACCACACATCCATTTCTTCTTTGTTCACAGATACATCTTCATCCTCAGCGGAAGTGAAGAGTGGAGAGACAACTGGTAAAGTCCTTTCCTGTGCTCTTGTGCTGTAACTAATGACATGTGGGTTTTGTCTTTGGAGTTTTTTTTTTTCATCTTTTAATTTTTTTTTGAAAAATTCCTGACATTACAGAACTAAACTGAAATGTATTAATATTCCACTCTTACATTTCCATGACAAACAAAAATTCATGAGCCAAAAAAAACCCCAAAAAAATGGAAAAAAAGGGGAGAAGCTTATAAAACTAAATATGGATATCTCAGCGTAACTGCTGAACAGAGAAAGGAATTAAAACGCTTTTAATTAAAAAATCATGAGTGGATGATAAAGTGTGTAGAAACTGAAAATTTACAAACTATTTAAAACCTGTAATCGCTGACTGTTCAGAAACTACACAGATGGATCATGGGTGGTGGTGAACAGCAGAAAGGGATTATGGATGAATCTGCACTGTTCTAGCTGCTCCCCATGCCACCTGTCTCGGAGGAAAGCCTGACATTGATTAGATACTGAGCCAGGCTAATGCTGGCAGCAGATCCAGTGATGGTGACCTGCCTATCAGTAGATCCTTCCACTGGGTTTGTAATTTTGATCTGCGCCCCAGACATCTGAAGGATCTCATTGATTTTGGCGCCCTGACACCCGATTATGCAGCCAATTAAATCGTTTGGAATGGTGAGTTCATGAGAAGTAGTTTGAGCAGATGCATCCAAACCTGCCCAATAGCCTTTCACCTCTGGAGAGCTGGATTCAATACCACTGAATCCAGTGTTGCCATGAGTCATGGGAGAATGAGACTGTTGCATTGCCAACTGGTGCAGCTTGGTCAAATCTGGCTGTGGAATGGCATACTGTCCTTGAATGGTATAGGCCTCTAGAGGTGGTCCCTCCAGGTCAGGGTTGAGGCACATGGACGGGGTGGTGTGGGGAAAGCTCGCACTGTCGCTGCCTGTGCTGTACCTGTCCTGACCACCTGCAAAGATGACTGGAGAACTCGAGGGCTTGGGCCGGTACGGGATGGTCACGCCCTTCGGGGGGGACTCCAACATGACCACGCAGATCTGTTTGACACACTCAATGATGGATTGCGGAATGCCAGCAATAGTGATTGCCCGCTCAGTTGAGTTGGGGAGCATATCCCCTGCCACCTGGACCTGAGCCCCTGTACTCTCTCTTATTTCCTTGATCTTGCACCCCCCTTTTCCAATGAGAGAGCCACACTGACTAGCAGGGACCACCAGCCGTAAGGTGACTGGGGGTCTACTGGCAGCTGTGCTATTGGTCATAGAGCTGCTTATGTCCTCTTCCAGTTTGTCAATGATCATAGCAAAGGCTTTGAAGATGGCATTAGTCAGTCCAGCCAAAGTGATAATTCTCTCAGGACAATTCCCTTCTGAGATGTTGATACGTGCACCACTCTCCTCGCGCATCTTCTTAACAGATTCTCCTTTCTTTCCAATGATACTGCCAACTTCCTTTCCATGCATAAGTAGCCTGATGGTGGGAGTGACATTTAATCCACCTTCAATCACACCGGTGTCCATGTCTAGTAGTTACAGGGAGCTGGACTTTGAGTGGTCAAGTCTTTGGTCACTGGAGGCGCGAGTCGACTGAGGGGAAAAGGGGAGCGGGCGGGAAGGGGAAGGGCGGGAAGCCGGGGGCAGAACAATAGGGGCGGGCGGGAAGGCGAGGGGGTCCCCCCGCTAGCGGGCGGAGGAGGGGGGGGGTAGAGGAGGAGGAGAGGGGAAAGAGACCCCGGGGCGGGTGGAGGGCGGTGGAGGGCGGGCGGGCGGGAGAGGGCGCAGGCTGCGGCTGCTCAGGCTGCTGCCTCTGCTGGTCTGGACTGGAGTTTTTTTTTTTTTTAATAGCAAGTATCAGTTACACGTAAAAGGTTTAATGATGACACTTTCATACATGTGTGTACTGTATTAACCTTCATCATTCTCTCTGTCCCCTCATACTCTCTAATCTTTGTTTCTCTTCCTGGCTTGGCCACCCTCTACTCTCACATCTTTATTTCATAAACTAATCAGTTTAACTAGGTTATTAGAAGATCCCCAGTAGGGAGCTATGTGCAAGATCATTGGCAACTTACCAGGGCTACACCACTGAAAATGTTCCTTTCTCCCAGCAACTGTTCACTGCCTACAGATCCTCAGGGAGGGATGGGATCCCACGAGCTCCTCCCTCCTCTATGATGGGATGACGATGAGCCCGATCATGTGGTTGTCTTGTACAGATAATCACAGCTACTGAGAGTCCAAGATCCCAACAGCTGTATTCACAGCACTCCCCCCTTTCCTCACACATTCTCTTCTTGCCACCCTCTCACCGTGATACTTCCTGACACTTGGAAGAGGTGATACAGATGCCCATTCAATGGTGGCTTACTGTTAAAACTTTGACCACTTATGAGTGTCTGCAGTCACCACCAACCACTGCAAGAAGAAGCTTCTCTGATCAAAGCTGATCCATAGGCATACATGTAGACATTTCCAAGAAGAATTGATAGGCATGCCAGGTTCACTTAGCAGTACAACAAAAGTAGCTTCCCCACTAAGACTTTTCACATCTCCAGGTCAAGTTTACAGTACTAGACATAAGTCCCCCCCCCATGAGGGAGGCCAGCTCCCTCTCACTCCCCCAGGGTACTCTTGAGCAGGGAGAAATGAGGAATTTGTAGATAGAAGGATAGAGACAGACAGAAAACACAGGATAGCCTCGGGAGGACCTGGGTCTCAACCCACCAGCCCCTTCTGCCTTGACTACAGGGCTTTTTAAAGGAATGCCATGGGGTGAGGCAAAAGACCTCCCCCAGCACAGCCAAATGTAGACCATCCCAAACACCTGGTAACCTTACACATGGTCCAGCCATCCCCTAATGCAGCCCTGCTGTGTAAAGCAAGCTCAGATCTCACTAGAAAACCTTTGTGGGCTCCCACACCACCCAATGAGGACAACCTTGAAGGAAAGGGGGAAACAGAAAGGAGTTGGTTACCACCGTATCAGTTACGTCACTCTTGTACCAGTGGACATATCTTGCCTGGAAGGCCAGTATTGTAGCCTGTGGGGTTTGCAGCTGAGAAATATTGCTGATGACAGTTCTTCCCCAGAAATCTGCATAGTACCTTCCAACAGTATGAAAGCTAGCCAGCAGGGAGGAAGCTTGCAGCTCAGTTGCAGCTTTGTTTCCACATGTCTTGCACACAATGTGTGTGGTATCTTCAGCAATAGATATCGTTTTCCTACCTGTAATGTCTATTTACAAGATGCACCTACTTAATGATCATAATGACCACAAAATAAATATATCAATGAAAGTCACTCATTTTAAGGCATCTTGTTCTCTGGATTTATACACAGATGCATCTTCAGCCTCAGCAGAAGATACCTCCTCTGGTAATGTTTTTTGACTGTCAAATTTCCTACTAAACAGTCAGAGCTTTTCCTCTATTTGGCAAAGGAATCCAGGTGTGTCTCCTCCTCTCTATCTACAGCTATTTCTTCAAATTCAGCAGAAGCGAGCTCTTCAACTGGTTAGTCTCGCATTGTGATGGTTAACTAAGTTTTCTTATTTGTCATGTTGTGTTTAGAAAATAAGCTTACTAATGATCACATTGACCACAAAGCAATGACCAAAAGATACTTGCACGCACACGCCCACCCACACACACACGTGCATGCACTCATGTGTTCCTCAGATGCTCTTGCACCTGTGTGCGCACATATGTAGAGATTGGAGGACAATGGTGGGTATCAATTTCAGGAGCACCATCCATCTCCTTTGACACAGGGTCTCTCATTGGCTGGGAGCTCACTAATTGGGCTAGAGTGACTGGTCACAGGCACAGGGTTCCTCTTGCTCTGTCTCCCCAGTGCTGGGATTACAAGGTCACATCCCTCCAGGCATTTTCACAGGGGTTCTGGGAATTGATCTCAGATTCATGTGTTTTCAAGGCGAGTGTTTTAGCTACTGAGCTACCTTCTCATACCAAGACACTAAAATGACAAGTCTCTGTTTTCTGGCTTTACACACAGATGCCTCTTCAGTCTCCACAGAAGATACCGCCTCTGGTAATGTTTTCTGCCTGTCATGTTTTTATGTTAATCAAATGACAGCCCTTTCTCTTCTTATTTGGTAAATTATCTAAATATTTATTTCTCTTTATCTATAGATACTTCTTCAGTCTCAGCTGAATCCAGCTCTCCAACTGGTAATGCCCCCAATATTCTGTTTAGCTAAATAAAACGGATTTCTTCTCAGTCATGCTGTAATTAGAACACGAGCCTATTTAATAATCACACGGACCACAAAATAAAGCCCAGTGACAAGAAACACATCTTTTATGTGTTTGTGGATGTTGTTTGTACGGAGAGGATGAGCATCTTTCTGCGTGTCTGAGGCTGGAAGATGACCTCAGATGTCATCCTCACGAACATGTGCTCACCTCCTTTGAGGCAGGGTCTCTCATTGCCCTGGAGCTCACTAATTAGACTAAAGCAACTGAACACAGAGCTATGGGGATCCCCTTTCTCTGTCTCCCCTGTGCTGGGAAGACAGTGCACACAACCACTCCCAGCATTTTTATGTGGGTATTTTGAATTGATGTTTGTAAGGTAAATGTTTTATCTCCTGAGACAGGCTCCCAGTCCAATACACTAATTCTAAAGCATCCTATTTTCTGGTTTTATATATAGATGCATCTTCACCAGCAGAAGATCCATCCTCTGGTAATTTTTCTACCTGTCATACAGTGAGAGCTTTTATTCTTCCTATTGGGCAAAGGACTTAGCCATCCATGTCTCTTCTCTGTCTATAGACGTTTCTTCAACCTCAGAAGAATCAAGCTCTCCAAATGGTAAAGTACCCCATTGTGCTTCTTACCTAGTGTAGAAATTCCCTATTTGCTATGGTATATTTAGACAGTACATTTGTTTAATGACCACATTGGCTACAAAGTAAAGACAGTAAAAAACAACCCCAACCCCAGTATAATTTCATTCATTTCAAAACATCCTGTTCTCTGGTTTTACACACAGATGCCTCTTCAGTTTCCACAGAAGATACCTCCTCTAGTAATGTTTTCTGCCTGTCATGTTTTTATGTTAATCAAATGACAGCCTTTTCTCTTCCTATTTGGTAAATTATCTAAATATTTATTTCTCTTTGTCCATAGATGCTTCTTCAACCTCAGCTGAATCCAGCTCTCCATCTGGTAATGTCCCCAGTATTGTTTAGCTAAATGAGATGACTTTCTTATCAGTCACAGCAGAGATCTCCTCTTGTAATCTTGCAGTCCATCACAGCTCTTAAGTGAAACACAGTCATAGTTTTTCCTCTTTCTATTTGGAAAGTGATTGCATACATACATGTCTTTTTCTCTTTGCACATAGATATGTCTTCAGTCTCAGCAGAAGGGAAGAGTGGAGAGACAACTGGTAAAGTCCTTCACTGTGTTGTCTAAAAAATGAAATTCTTTTTTAAAAAATCTTAGTTGTGTCTATTGGGTATGCACATGTATATGTACACATGAGTGTATGTGCCCTTGGAGACCAGAGACTTAGGATCCAACTGGAGCTGGAGTTACAGACAGCTGTGAGCCACCAACGTGAGTACTGGGAAGTGAACTTGTCCTCTGGAAGAACGGTAGGCAGTCTTAACCAGAGAGCAATCTCTCCAGCACCCCCTTTTAAAAAATAGCATTTAATCATACATAATAGTGAATTTCATTATGATATTTTCAAATGTGTACATAGCATGTTTAATGAAATTCATACCCAATACTCTGTCCAATACTCCTCACACTATGCCTAACCCTGTTTCTATTCCCAGTGAGGATCTTTTCTCCTTTGGTGCCTTTCATTTTATGGACCAATGAGTTGATTTGTGTTACTGGAGAAGCATAGTTGAGGGTTATTTCTGAAAGCCTTGGCAACTTAGCAGTGGCTTATGCCACTAAAGTCAGTGCCCCCCCCCATAGCAATCAGTTATTGTAGAGACCCTTAAGGAGTGGCAGGTCTCTTGAGTCTCCCACTTCCATGACAATGACTATAGGATCAACCTTAGGCAAGTCAGATGCAGGTAATTACATCAGGGGAGAGTTCAAGAGTGCAATTGTACCATACCCAGAAAATTATGTTCCACAGCTCTCCATCACTTCCTCTGGCTTTTACACTTGCTTTGTTTTAAAGGATTCTTAAATATAGTCTTCAAAATGAAGCATGAATCATTAGAGCTAACTACAGTCTTAAATAAAACCATGATAAACCTGTCTACTATTTCATGCTACTCCCCGATCTTAGAGAGGAAACAGAAGTGTCCAATTTAGGCTAAGCCTTTAAGTCGCTTGTTATCATCACTTTGACCAGTTATGAGTCTCTACAGTAACTGCCAACCATTGCAAAAAGAACCTTCTTTGACCAAGGCTAAAACCAGCACTCATCAAAACACAATTACTTAGGTGTCAATTTGACAGCCATGTCACACCCACTTAGCAAAACATCAACCGTAGCTTTGCCACTAGAGCCTATCACCTCTGGAACCAGGGACTTTTGACCACGTCTCAGCACAGAACTCCTATGGAGCAGCCTCACAGCCAATCAGAAGAGTCGGTTACACCTACAAGAGTCATGGCACTCTTACAACGGTGGACATAGCTTTCCGGGATAGTCAGTATTGTAGCCTTCGGGGTTTACAGATGAGAAATGCTGCTGATGGCAGTTCTTCCCCAGCAGCTCACACAGCATCTTCAAACACTACAAAAGCCAGCCAGTGGGGAGGAAGTTTCCAGCTCAGTTACAGCTTCCTTTCTGCATGTCCTGCCAGGAAAGTGTATGGTATCTTCAATAATAGAGATGGTTTTCCTACTTGCCATTCATATTTAGAAAACAAAACTACTTAAATCATATTGACCACAATGCAAAGATCAATGGAAGACTGTCATTAAAAAAATCATTCTGTTCTCTGGGTTTACACACAGATGTATCTTCAGCCTCAGCAGAAGAGACTTCTTCAGGTAATGTTTTCAACCCGTCACATCTATTAATTTAAATACAACCAGAGCTTTCCCCTTTTCATTAGAAAAAAAATCTAAGTATGCCTCCTCTCCTATGGCTCTATAGCTATTTCTTCAACTTCAATAGAAGCAGGCTTTCCACCTGAGAGGGTCCTCACTGTACTGTTTCTATATTCAGATAGTTTGTCAAGTTTTATTTAAAAATATCCCTAGCTAATGATTACATTGTCCAAAGATTTGAAAATACAAAAACGCCAATTCTCCTTATCTCTCTCTCTCTCTATCCATCTATCTATCTATATCTGTGTGTGTGTTCTTATGTGATAGTACGTGCATCTGTGATAGTGCATGAATATGATAGTGTTCTTGCACCTTTGTGCACACGTATGTAGAGACTGGAGGACAATGTTGGGTATCAATTTCAGAAGCACCATCCATCTCCTTTGACACAGGGGCTCTCATTGGCTGGGAGCTCACTAATTGGGCTAGAGTGACTGGTCACAGGCACAGGGTTCCTCTTGCTCTGTCTCCCCAGTGCTGGGATTACAAGGTCACATTCCTCCAGGCATTTTCATAGGGGTTCTGGGAATTGATCTCAGATTCATGTGTTTTCAAGGCGAGTGTTTTAGCTACTGAGCCACCTTCTCATACCAAGACACTAAAATGACAAGTCTCTATTTTCTGGCTTTACACACAGATGCCTCTTCAGTCTCCACAGAAGATACCGCCTCTGGTAATGTTTTCTGCCTGTCATGTTTTTATGTTAATCAAATGACAGCCCTTTCTCTTCTTATTTGGTAAATTATCTAAATATTTATTTCTCTTTATCTATAGGTACTTCTTCAGTCTCAGCTGAATCCAGCTCTCCAAATGGTAAAGCCCTCCATTGTGGGGCTTAGCTAATGAAGAAATTCCTTATTTGTTGTGTTGTATCTAGACAGTAAGCTTATTTTTACATTAATCATAAAGTAAAGTGAGTGAACCCCCCCCATACATTCTACTCATTTCAGAGCATCTTGTTCCCTGGGTTTACACACAGATGCATCTTTAACCATAGCAGAGATCTCCTCTGGTGATCTTTTCACCCCATCACATTTCTTTTTTATTATTATTAAAATTTTTCATTTATTTCTACATACCTAGCAGTTTCTCCCCCCTCCTCTCCTCCCATTCCCTCCCCCTACCTCCTATCTACCCTCTCCCCCACCCACTCCTCCTCTGGCTCAGTTCAGAAAGGGGCAGGCCTCCCATGGGAATCAACAAAGCATGGGATATGAAGTTGAGGCTGGACCAAGCTCTTCCCCCTACATCAAGGCTGAGCAAGGTATCCCAGCATGGGGAACAGGTTCCCAAAAGTCAGTTCAGGTGCCAGTGACAGGTTCTGATCCCACTGCTAGGAGCAAATAGACCAAGCCACTCAACTGTCACCCACATGCAGAGGGCCTAGTTTGGTCCCATGGAGGCTCCCTAGCTGTGGTCCAGAGTCCATGAGCTCCCACAAGCTCAGGTCAGCTGTCTGTGGGTTCCTCCACAGCCCATCACATTTCTTAAGTGAAACACAATCATAGTTTTTCCTCTTTCTGTTTGGAAAGTGATCACACATACATTTCTTCTTCTCTTTGCTCATAGATATGTCTTCAACCTCAGCAGAAGGGAAGAGTGGAGAGCGAAGTGGTAACATCTTTTACTGTGTGGTTTTAACTAATAAGTACTTTTTGTTTTCAATTTTAGCATATGTTAATTATATATGATAACGACTTTTGTTATGACAATTTCACACTTTCATATAGTGTGCTTTGACTATATTCACCTCTATCACCCTCCTCTGTGCCCCTCAGACTCTTACTAACTCTGTTCCTCTTCCCAGTGAGGCCATCTTCTACTTCATGACTTTATTTTATAAACTAATCAGTTTAATTAAGGTTACTTAGCAAAGCATAGGTGAGGAGTTACTTACAAGAGTGCAGGCAACTTATCAGTGGCTACAACATGAAGAAAGCCCACCCCACGCCCTTCACTCTCCCTCAGCAACCATCAGTTGCCTATAGCGCCTCAGGGAGGGATGAGGCGAGGCCTCATGAGCTCCTTCTCTCTCCACAATGGGATGACCATGAGCCCAATCCTGTGCAAGTCTTGTGTATACAATCACAGCTGCTGAAAGTCAAGAATGCAACATCTATGTCTTGCCCAAAAGACAATGTTCTAGAACTCCCTAGGACTTCCTCCTGCTGTTTCATTCTTTCTACTCCTTCTACCATATGGTTCCTGAGACCTGGAACAGGTATATTGAAGTCTCAGTTGGGGCTAAGCATAAAAGTCACTTCTTCTCAGCACTTTGACCAGTCATGAGTCTCTGCAATAACCATAAACCCATGCAAAAACAAGCTTCTCTGGCCAAAGCTGGAAGCACCACTAACCTATGGGCAGAACTATAAGAATTTAGAAGTCAATTTGACAGTCACATTGTATCCACTTAGCAAGAACACCATAGTACCTTCCCCACTAGGGCTTATCACCTACCCAGATCAGTTTTACAATACCAGATAATAAATTCCCTTCTTTGGAGAGGGCTTCAAATCCAGTCAGAAAGCAGCTGGTTATCCCCATAACAGTCATGGCACCCTTACACCTGTGAGAACATCATGTCTGGCATGTTAGCAGTATAGCATTAAAGGGTCACAGCTGAGTAAGACTATTTATAGCAATTATTCCCCCAGCAGCCTAAACAGAACCTTCCAGCACCGTGAAAACTAACCAGCAGAGTGAAAGCTTCCAGAATCTCAGTTTTATTTCTTTATGTCCTGCAAGCCAAGAATTTGTGTTTCTTGCTTGCTTGTCATATAGTATTTAGGAAATGAACCTATTTAATGGTTGTATTGACCACAAACCAGATCAATAAAAAGACATTCTTTTTTTTAAGCTTCATGCTTTCTGTTTTTACACAGATGCATCTTCAACCTCTGCAGAAGAGACATCTTCTGGTAATACTTTCTACCACATTAAGTTAAACACAATTTCAGCCTTCCCTTTATTCAGCAAATGGATACAGTCACGCATCTCCTTTTGACCTCTAGATATGTCTTCAACCTCAGCAGAATCGAGCTCTAAAACTGGTAAGTCCCCCTGTTCTGCTGCTTAAAATACTGAGCAAATACTCATTTGTTGTGTTACAATTAGAAAATGATCTATTAGTGATGACTTTGGCATCTGATACAGACCAGTGACAGAAGGTTCGCTTTAAAGTACCCCCTTCTCTGGCTTCCTGTACAGATACATCTTCATCCTCAGCAGAAGAGACAAGCTCCTCTGGTAAAGTGTCCTGTTGTCACATTTCTTTATTTAAAACATCATAATTTGTTTTAGTTGCTTTTTAAGAAATTGGCAAATATGGTAATTAGTTTCAGTCTGTCATTTTTATACACACTCTGCTGTTGTCACCACCCCCCCACAGCACTTGTGACATTCCAGTCCAGTAAGCCACTTCCTTTTTTGTCCCATGTGTTCTATTACCCCTCTTCCTTCTTAAAACTTCCTTTTCTCTTCCCACAGCCCTTCTCCTGTTTATTGACCTACATCTGTACTCATATGCTCACATATATACACACAGAAAGATTTAAAACTCTCTCTCTGCACATGAGAGAGAATGAGGTATTGTCTTTTTGAGTTTGTTACCTCACATAATACAGTTATTTCCAATTCCGTCAGTTTTCTTTCAGAGTTCATTATTTCATTTTTCTTTACATCTGAATAAAGTTCCATTGTGCATATTTAGCACATTTTTGTTATCCACCCGTCTGGGGATGAACATCTAGCTACTGTGAATATCATAGCTATAAACATGAATGTGCAAGGGTCCTGAGGTAGGACTTAGAGTCCTTTGGGTGTACACTCAGCAGTAGCATAGTTGGGTCATATGGTAGTTCTAATTTTAGTCTTTTGAGAAACATCCACATGGATTTTCATAGTGGCTCTATCTGTTTATACTTCTATCGGTAGTGTATAAGTTCTCCCCCACATCTTCATCAGCATTTAGTTATTTAATTTCTTGATGGCAGCCATTATGATTGGGTCAAGAAGGAAGTAGTTTCTGGGTGGTGGTGGTGCACACCTTTAATCCCAGCACTCAGGAGGCAGAGCCAGGTAGATCTCTGTGAGTTCAAGGCCAGCCTGGTCTACAGAGTGAGCTCCAGGATAGACACCAAAACTACAGAAACCCTGTCTCAAAAAAAAAAAAAAAAAAAAAAGGAAGTAGTCTATTTTTTTAGTGTGTAAGAGATTGTATGTAAGTATGTAAAGATGTGAAGGCAGATGCTTTCTGAGTCCAGAAGAGGGTGTTGGATCCCTGGAGCTGGTGTCACAAGCACTTATGAGTACTTGTTCTTAATCACTGAGCCATCTCTCCATCCCTAGAAGTAGTCTTATCTTGCATTTTCCTGATGAGCTAAGGATGTTGAACAACTTCAAAAATATTTGTTGGTCGTTTGCATTTCTTTCTTTTTGAATTGTCTATTCCATTGTCAGCCTGTCTATTGATTGACAGCTTTAGGGTTTAGGGATTTCATTTCTGCAGTCCTTTGTATTCTGGATAGTAGCCGCCTGTCTGAATTATAGCTGGAGGAGATTTTGTGGGCTGTCTGTTCACTCTACTGGTGGTTGTCTTTGCTGTACAGAAGCTTTTTAATTTCATGTAGTCCCATTTTTTTCAGTTATTTAATTTATTTACTCTGCTAATAGTCTTTTTCAGAAAGTTTTTGCCTATTTCTGCATCTTCAAGTGGTTTTTTTCCCATGTTATCTTCTAGAAGTTTCAGCATTTTGTGTCTTACATTAAGGTTTCTGATCCATCTTGAATCGATTTTGTGCAGAGTGAGAGATGTAGATCTAATTTCATTCTTCCATAGCCACCTACTTGTTGACCAGGCCTTTTCATATATTATTTTCTGACCCCAAAGGTTAATATTTTATTTACCAAGCCTTCTCTTGTTGGCTGAACATACAATAAAAGTGTTGTTACAATCTCAGAGTAACTGGTAGACACAGTTGTCTTACCAATCACAGCTATCCATACTTCATCAAGAGACTTACACGAAAAACTAGCAATCTTAACAATTTTGTTGGAACAGGGTTCCCAAGGTTGGTGTTGGAGTTTACCATTATCAATGAGAGATTAAATGGGGGAAAGCAGAGTGTCACAGGAACTACTCTTCGGCTCTTTGAGTGGGCAGGCCTCCTGGAGTTTGTATCACAGCTTTTGTAAACATCTACCAAAAAACTCCAAACAATCCCACCAACAGCCATTGACTGACTGATTCTGCTTTGGCAGGTTTTTTGAGGTATTAATAATCTTCTCCATCATTGCATTCTCTCTCTCTCTGTCTCTCTCTCTCTCTGTCTCTCTCTGTCTCTGTCTCTCTCTGTCTCTGTCTCTCTCTCTCTCTCTCTCTCTCTCTCTCTCTCTCTCTCTCTCTCTCCCTTTCCTGTTTTCTTCCTCATCTTCACCTTCATCAACTTCTCTATCATATCCATATTCTTCTTCTCCTTCACCAATGATTTCATCTTTGCCATCTTCTTCTTCTATACCTTCATCCTCTTCTTCATCAAACTCTTCTTCCTCAGTGTCCTCATCTTCTTCCTCCTCCTCTTCATCATAGCATCAACCTTTGTATTTAAATCAGGGACTTCCTGGTTCTCTTGGTGAAAATCAGTCGTGGGAGGAGCTTGAGGACACTCTCTTGGTAATTATTCAGGTTAATAACCTCACAGTCAACAGATTTGAGTTTTTTAGATCATCCAAGGTTTTCAGAGGTCTCAAGGTGCTGATATCTTTCATATATTTCCACTTAGATCTAGATGTGTGAGCTTTAAAAGTGCCTTTCTCAACATGTCCAGACCTCTAGATATTCTGCTATCTCTGAGCTCAAGCCTTTTTATTTTAGTACCATGAGGAGATTTGAACCTGATACCAAGCCTACACTAATTAAAATGAGGAACTCTAAGTTCACAAATTCTGCTCTTGACCTCTAGAGTTTCTCATCATTTGATTTGCAGTTGTCCAAGGCAAACCCCCTAACAGCTGGTTCCTCAGCGCTTGGTGGATCTTCTTCCTCGTGTCCGTGGTCCCTTTGTGCCTTGTCTTCATATTTAACTGCCCATGGTGGGAGTGAAGATGGAAGTGGTGTCCTCCACTCTGTAGTGAGGGCTGTGGGAAGAGATGGCTGTCAGTCAGTCTGGAACAGCATAGGGCATGTAGTTGCCCCTCTGCTGGTGAGCATGGCCCCTGGAGCTCCTTCTTCTATTCCATGGGTTCTTAGGCTTGATCTCTTGCAAACTGAGTCATATTTGTTAGGTTTTCTTCTTTATGTATTTTAGGCTGTATTATTGTTTCAACTTGTTGTAGAACCCTGAAGTTCACTCTTCTGCTAGGTCTTGTCTAATGGTGACACTTTCTGCTGTGCTTTTAATCGAGTGACTCTTTCACTTCCAGAATTTCCATTGGCTTTTCCAGTGCCAGTCTTGTGAATGGTTCACATCTAATACTGGCCAGGATGGCAGCAGCAGCAGTGTCCCAGCTAGGTGACAGCAGTAGACTGACCAGCTCCTTTTCCCACTTCAATCCACACTCCATTCACATGTAACCTAACCTCCCAGAGTGCCATTTGTGGGAGATGTTCTTTGGAAAACACAGCTTACAATGGATCATGGGTCAGAGAGTTGGCTGGAGCACTGTAGTGGCACCCTAAGTCCTTCTCCTCAATTATATTCATGATACACAACACAGCTTCTAAATCCCCATCTGACCCAGAGGGTCCCATTTCCTAAACACAAGGAGGACCTTTCCCTTTCTGTTTGGCAAATGGCATTGCTAGGTCTCATCTTTTTGTCTGTAGATACTTCTTCAACCTCAGCAGAAGCGAGCTCTCCAAATGGTAAGTCCCCATTGCGCTATTTAAAATAAAGAGATGGGTTTCTTATTTATTAGGTTTATTTCAAAACTGAATCTGCTTAATGATCATATTGACCACAAAGTAAATATATGAAAAATGCCCCCAGTGTCATTTGGTAGAATTTAAAGCATCTCGTTCTTTGGGTTTACACACAGATGCCTCTTCAGTCACAGCAGAGAAGATGTCTGGTAATCCTTTCAGCTTATGTTAAACACAGTCAGGGCTTTCCTGCTTTCTTTTGGCAAATGAAACTAGCTGGGTCTTTTCTGTTCTTTGTAGATAGTTCTTCAACCTTAGCAGAACCGACCTTTCTAAGTGGTAAGTCCCCATTGTTGCCTTTAAACTTACATAATGGATTTCTTGTTTGTCATGTTGCATTTATAAAACGAGCCTGTTTAATGAGTCCCTTGTCATCAAATAAAGATTAATACAAAGGCATTCATTTAAAGCACCGTCTTCTCTGGTTTGCACACAGACGCTGCCGAGATCTCTGGTAATCTTTTCAGCCTGCTGTGTTTCTTAACTGAAACACAACTATAGCTTTTGCTCTTTCTGTTTGGGAATGAAATTTCTGTGCCCCGAACTTTGTCTATAGCATAAGCCCGATGTACACAGAAACCCCACATCCTCTCCACAGAGATGGTGGTGTTCCTGTTTCCTTTACTCAGCCGTAGACCCCTAAGTGGCCCTTCCACTGCAGGCACCTTCTGCCCAAGCCCTAATCTTGATCAGATGAACCTGAGGGAGGCCGGGCAGAGGGTCCACATCTCATCTGGTTGTGTGTGTTGTTTCAGGTTGCGCTTCGACCCAGCCTGCACACCAGAACACACACACACACACACACACACACACACACACACACACACACACACACATAAACACACACACACACACACACACACCCCAAATAGGTGATGACAGTGATTCTACTTATTTGTTCTTTTGTTTTACACCATGCTGTTGGTCAAACCAAAGCATTTTTCTCCATTTCCCACTCCAGGCCTCTTCTACCCTGGGCATACTCCTTGCTCACTGCAGCCCCCGGGAAAGCCACTTTCTGAGCAATAGTCAGCCAAACAGAAACAGGCCCATAGCAAGTCCTATTTCTCCAGGAGAAGTCAGAAGATAGGACAGGGGTGGCAAGAGAGGCCAGTCAGCTCCCCTAGAGCGCAACAGGCCTCCACTGCTTGCAACACTGATCACTGTGATGGCGGCAGGTAGATGCTGGGGACAGCAAGAACAGGCTATTGGAGCCTCAGGTGCAGAACCAGGAGGAGAATGTAGGAGAGATCTCTTATTTTTGGAGGAAAATGAGTCACAGAGAAGAAACTCGTTTGCTTAAGATCCCTGAGCAAGATAAAAACCAGGTGTCGCAACTCTCATCCAAGGTCCTTCCAATGCCTGGTGTTTTCAGGAAAATCTTCTGATTCCTGTGACAGTTCTGTCTTCAGTAATAAGCCCTCTGCTGCTCTGTCTGTCATTAATGTGACCATTAACCCTTACCTTATTTCTTTTGTAGTTCACCCTGAGTCCAGCATGAATGCAGCTCCCACAACTTATGACCCTGAAATACAGAATAGTTAGAAAGAACATGGGCCCTGGGGCTTGAAGGTTTAAGCTGAGAATGACCTGGTCCTGTTACCCTGAGACTTCCTCTGAAGTCTCCATTTCTTTCAATACTAAAGCAGTGATAAAAACTTCCCCAGATTAGTTTTTGTAAGAATCAGGGGAGTAGATTATCTGGCATGCTGGAGATGTGCACCATGAAAATGTTCTTCAGTCATGTTCCACAACATCAGCTTCTCACACATCCTGCCATACCAACATGCAGAAACACACACAATAAATGCATACTGCTCTGGAACAGGCTTATTATTGTAGACCTGAAGTCTAATGTAGAATTTCAATGAAGTCACATTTTAATCCCTTCTTTTCACTGCTTTTTTTTTTTCAGCCACAGTTCCAACTTTGACAAAAGTGACCCTGCCACCTGGTAATGATCACCCGTGCTTATTGATGGAGCAGAGCTCCATTTTCTAATTTATGTGACCACATTTCATCTCCTCATCTGTTGCTAACGTTTCTACCTGGCTTCCCTTTGTATTGTTTACTATACTAGTCCATCTTTTTTTCATTTAAAACTTCACCCAAGGACCTTGATCCTCCCCTTTATTCTCAGCCCTTATAAAAATGTTGCCTAATGCCTGATATGGTGACATACACCTTTATTGCCAACACTTAGGAGGCAGAAGCATGTGAGTTTCTGTGAATTTGAATCAGCTTAGTCTACATAAGAAGTTCCAGGAGCTAGCCAGGACTAAGTAGTGAGACCTTGTCTCAAAAAAAAATTACCTATACAATTGAATGGTTTTTATTATTTTTTCCTTTAAAAATCGATGTGTAAAGTTCTGTTTTGAGCATTTAACAAATTGTTTTTCTCTTGGAGAATAAAAAAAACATAACAATATTTGTTATATTTTGATGCCGAGAGAGTAAAATGTCATGAATAGCATTTCTGTGCTCAAGTCAATGGATTGGGGTCTGAAATAACAGAAAGCATTTCCTCTTCAGCTTGAAACTGAAATGCGAGCCTGTGAGGGTGAGCATTTGTAAACCTCTAACATTTTGCATTGATGAGGCAATTGTTAACTGATAGTTTTTGTTTCTTTCTACTCTCTAAAAATGACAAGGTGTCTATTGATACTGTTAGGGTCACATTTCTTTTTCACTTAGATTTTTTTACCCCTACAGGAAGAGAGTTACCAACCTGTAGGTATATTACATGCTGACATATGCACAGTGTCGGTCACACATGCTTGAAATTTACCTCCAAGATCTCGATCAGAAGATACCCACATCTATTCATAAGTCACACTTTTCTCCTTCCTGGCGCTTGATGCAAGCCGCGACCTGACATGTGCCAGCAAACACTCTCCACCAAGCTGCATCCTCGGCCTATTCTCCTAGCAACACAAGTACCTTGCTTTTGGCATTATAATACCAATTAGGCCAAGACAGGGCAGCTATCCTAGACCATCACGCTATAGTCAGAACTAATGCCTGTGGATTTAATATTTGCTAAGGCTTTTCTTTGAACCAAACAGTGCAGGGCTGACTAATTACTACAGAGACAAATCACCTGGTACCTATCTCTGTGCATGACACCTCACAGATACAGTAATAAGGTCATGCCTCCCACAAAGGATGTTTCAGTCAACAATGGTGCTCACATATCCATATACATCATTGACTCCTTGCTCCATAGACTGTGTTGCCTAGTGACCCCACAGCTGGTTTTTTGTATGTAACAACCAAGTCTCCTATCCGTACATTTCTCAAAATGTATCCTCATGATTAAGCAACATAGTTGTACAGGTTTTGCTTTTTACTGTTTTCTATTCAAATTTAAACTTTTTTGAAGTATTCATATGGGGCAGTGCCCTGTAGATGAGCAGCAAGGTTATTGCTGGTGTATGGCTCCTGGAGAATTCTGTGGCGCTCAGATCTGTGTATAAGGGTAGAACAGCTAAATTACATAATACAGTTTCGTTGTCAAAGTGTTGCCTCTTAAGGATAGTAGTATTAAGGGTAATTTAGGGGCACAGAGAAGGATCTCACTGCAAATGTCACCCTCAGTGCCTACTGTGGAAGCCTAATCTAAACTGACTTCTCTTGCTCCATAGACTTGCCTCTGCGCCTGGTAGGCGGGCGAAACCGCTGTGAGGGCCGGCTGGAGGTGCGGCACCAGGGGGTGTGGGGAACCGTATGCGACGATCGCTGGAACATCAAGAATGCCCGAGTTGTGTGCCGCCTCCTGGGCTGCGGCCATGCTCTGGGCGCTCCTGGCAGAAGCCACTTTGGGGCAGGCACAGGCCCCATCCTGATGAATGAAGTGCGCTGTTCCGGCAGAGAGGACTCTCTGGAGAGCTGTGCCCATGCTGGCTGGATAAGGCACAACTGCCACCACTATGAGGATGCCAGTGTGGTCTGCGCAGGTAGGGGCTCCTACGCAGGCAGGCAGGGCTGCTGTGGGCTCCTTTGCAGGTATGGGCCTAGGCTTGTAAAAATCTCCTCCAGGCTCTGTCTCAGCACCACCCATCCTTAAGACATTCATCATTTGGCCAAGACATCCCATTGTAGGATAAAGAGCGTAGTGATAGTGACATTTTGGTCGTTGGCCTGACTTTGTTAATGAGCTTGCTCTAATCCCAGCTCAGTGAAATATTTGTCAAAAATATAGCTGAAGAATTATGAGATCTAAAGAAGGGTGTGACAGTGTCATAGGACCATTCAGAGCTTAGCAATTGCTGTGGCCAGGCACAGTTTATCCTGTTACTTTCTCAGTCTCTGAGCTTACCAAAGGCCCCATCCTGGAGACACTGTGTAACCTTCAGAGTCTGAAATACACTCCACAGTGTCCTAGCTTCCCTGTGCCCTTTGCATCAAAGATTTTGCCTGTATCTTCTCTCAGTCAGCTATGTCGGTCTTGGCATTCTGACTACCACTGTATGGCACAGTACCTCCTTCTAATCATTCTAAGTTAGCCCCAAACTGGCCCATGCAAATTTCAGAGAGTTGGGGAATTCTAAGACTTGAAGAAACCTGAGTTCACCTCGTCTGTTCTGCTGCAGCTTTTATTACAGGTGAACACACCATGGCCGTTGCTTTTACCTTGTATAAGCCCTGTTTTGCATAGACATGGGGCCCAGATAGAAATACCATCAGAGTCCCCTGAAGCCAAGATTACCCAAGAAATGGAAGCTGCATGTGCCTATTCTGGAGTCTGTACCTTTAGACGGGTTGTTATCATGCCTTTTCACAGTTCATCCCTCTCAGAAGCCCACTTTTAATAAGGACCCACATTCTGTTCTTGGACTGTACACCAAGGGGCCTCCTTCCAACCATGTCCCATGTCCACAGGGATCTATTATGTCTAAAGGGCTTGAGTGAATCTGACTGCACACTACCTGGGCTGAGCCTTGGCCCTGGGACACTGTTCTGTCTTGATTCTGAGCCAGAGAAGTCCATTTTTCTCAACCTGGGGCCCCAAGCATGCCTGGGTGTAGAAAGAGACAGAAGCCAATGGCTTGTTCGTGCGGTGGTGTCTGTATTCCCCATTCTTTTGCTCCCACAAATCTTGGTGTTGATAACACCTGTGTCCTCAGTGCTACCTCACATGTGTCAGAATCCATCTCTGTCAGGAGACACTAGGTCCCCTTTGCATGTTCTGGAATGTTCTCGTGCCATTACAATCCAGCTGCAATGGTTTGTCCAATGATGGTTTACTGTCCTCCTCTGGGGTTTCAGACCAGTGACATGTACTTTTCCGCTCCCCTCAACAGGTCCAGCTGACTCTCTTGTGCCCCAGGATAACGGTAAAGTCATCTTCCCTCCTGGGGTCTGAAGCTGGTTGGGGAAGGAACTAAGAAAGGAGCTGAATGGAGAGAAAAAGCAGGCTATGAGGGAGGCCCACTTCGTAAACAGCAGGAGGTCGGGGAAGAAGTCCCTTTGTACTCAAGCTCTCTCCATTTTTGCTCCGACTCTTCTTCTAGCTTACCACTGTGCAAAGGTCCAGACAGATATGCATTCAGACTGAGCATGTCAAGGGTTGTCCTTTAACCCCCTGGGCAAGGCTCTGACCTGTGTCCTATGGATTAGGGATTCTAAGCAGGATTCCCTATTGATGTGGCCTAACTTCAAAGCCTTTTTTTTTTTTTTTTTTGAGACTATTAGCAAAGCCAATGAAAGTCAGGGCTGTGGCGATGCCTCTGTTGGTAAAGTATTTGCCGTGCAAGCCTGAGGACTTGTTTGACCATGAGCACCCACATAAAAGCCAGGCACAGTTGTACTCATCTATGTTCTCAGCACTGGGAAGGTGGAGACAAGAGGAGGATCCTGGGGGCCCCCTAGCCAGCCAGTCTAACCAAATCAGCAACTCCAGGTTAAATGAGAGACCTTGTCTCAAAAAATAAAGATAAACATTCACCTAGCGCCTCCTCCACAAACGTGTGTGAGCGCACACGCATGCACACACACCACAAACACACACACACACACCACACAACACATACACACAACACACAAACATACACACAACACACACACACACACACACACACACACACACACACACACACACACACACACACACATGCACACACATCAGCAGACATCAAGCCAAGATGATAAATTAGAGTGAATCAGTGATTCTCAATCTTCCTAATGCTGCAACCCTTTAATACAGGTCCTCATGTTGTGGTGACCCCCAGCCATAAAGTTATTTTGCTGCTACTTCATAGCTGTAATTTTGTTACTGTTAGGAATTGTAATGTGGATATCTGATATGTGACCCCAAAGGGATTGTGATCCACAGGTTAAGAATCGCTGGAGTAAGGGATACTGAAGCAGGTCCACCCCATCCCAGAGCACTGTCCGTGGTACTTGTGTAACAGACAGACAGCTCCTGAGCTACACGTCAATGTACCAGCTTCTCTCTCTCTCTCCTTCAGCTCAGCTGTCTTGTTTGCCTCACCTCTTCCAAGCCGTCATTGACCGAGGCTACCTCCGGAGATTAGGCTACTCCTCCTGGGACATCCACTTAAATGATAAGATGTGCCGCCCCCAAGTCACTGGGCGTTACCTCATCTTCAATATTCCTTATGGCCACTGTGGCACCGTGAGGCAGGTAAGAGGCTGACAGGGAGGTGATGACCTTCTGTGGATGGACCGAGAAGAGAGGCTTAGAGAATGAAACTGCCTGTTAAAACCTGTGTAAGACAGAGGAAGAGCTTCGTTTCTGAAGCAGCTCACTGATTTGTCTGAAATGTCCCACCATTTGGAGAACTTCAGACACACACTTGTCCTGAGATGGTGTCAACTCAACAAAGGTTGAGTGCAGTGACATGGATAGTGTGTTGAGTGTGATGGATAGATGAATGATTAATGGGCTGATAATATTCTCCCAGTTCCAAGGCCAGCATTTGTCATAACATGCTTCTTGACTGAACGTGAGGGCATATCTCCCATGAGCAAGTTATGGTGCTGGGGATGAGGGAGGACAGGTTGTCTGCCTGTCTGCTATGTCTCTAACTAAGCAGCTAGTCGTAGTCCACACTAGAGAAAGCAAACATCTAGGATATTCAGGAGTCACTAAATACATGTGTCTATTTAATTCTCTGCAACCGCCTTCGTATCTCATGAAACAATGGTACGGAAATTAAGGACACTTGTGTATACATGAAGGAACTGTTCTGCCATGACACCCTTCTCAGTGTAGTTGGTAGTGACACAATTCAAACATGACCCTGACACTGTGTTCCTGCTTCCCTGTTTGTCCATATGCAAAAGGCTCACCTGACACGTTGGAGGTCACATTCATTCAAACCAACCACGTGATGCAGCTAACCTAAGCCCTCGAGTGCCACACTTCCATTTTGTCTGCTGTTTGGTTATATAGATTGTGGCCATTTTTATCCTTTTTGCTCTGAATATTGCACTTCTTAACTGAGAGATTTCTGCCCCTGGAGCCAAGCCAGCAGGTCCCTCTGTCTAGGAGGAAGGTGGCCCCTGAAAGAGAGTCTCTGGATCTGAGTCACACATGCTTCAGAAACGTCCCTGGCCAGGCTGTGCCTCTGCGCATCCACACAGGGCATTTGAAGGAGTGCAGGCGGTAGCTCCTGCCCATCATGCTGTCCATCCCACTTCTGACCTGTATGTTCTGCTGGAAGTGACGTGCAGTGGATAGAAGCAAGAAGCATGGCTAGTGGCCAAGGCTGACAGCGGCAGGCCTGCAGCTCACCTGCAGCCAAACCTAGCTTGGGGTCAAGTAATGGGGACTATAGGGGTCCAGCCCCCAATAGTCTCTTTTCCAGGGTCCGGGGAAGAACCTATCAGCCAGCTGGGAATCTATTCTTAAGGTCGGCGAATCAATCTACGCACACAAAGTTCTTTGGTCCATTCGCTTTAATTCTCCACATCGTCTCTTGCTTTACAGTTATATATCCCAAAAAAATCACAATCCTCCCCTCCACCCAGGACACCCAGCCTGAAATTCCTCAGGCAGTGATTGTCCACTATCAGGATCAAATGGAGGGGTGATAAGAATCACAAAGAGGGGCAATAGTTGTTAATTACTATTTGCAACCCAAAGGGGAAGTGACTAATGAATCAACCAAAGGCTAAATTCGGGTAATATCTAAGAAGAGGAATCTTATGTGCACAACTATAATCTTAAATGTGTTTGGTTAAAAATGTTAAAAATCTAAATATTCCTAGAAGTGGTTAGGCAAGGAGTTAGAGGTCTAAAGTTAGTAAGACTGTAAGAAGGAAGGGTCTGAGCTAAATTGTATAAAGCTATTACTTAATGTCCACCTGACCTAGGCAGTGTCCCCTTGTGGAATTTACCTTAAGTCAGGAGACTTGTATGTGGGCTGTTATCACTGTTAGTTCTTGAAAGTTGGGCACCCACCTGGGCGGTGTCTCCTTGTGGAATTTAAGTCAGGAGACTTGCACGTGGGCTGTTAACATTGTTATCTAGGAAGTTGGGCGCCCACCTGGGCGGTGTTTCCTGCAATCCTTGAAAGTGGCTAAGGGAGATATCTGATTCCAGAGAAAGCCTTTCCTGAGGCTGTTCTCCAAATACCTGGAATGTGTGTGTCCAGAGAGTGATCAGTCCACACTGTTAGCCCTTCTTAGGGAAAAGTCAATTGGGAAAACTATGAAGGCACACATGATTTTCATAACAGAATACAGTTGATATATAACAAGCCAAGTAACACCAAAAGCTCCTTGGAATTTGGCTTCCTGTGGAGGAATTCCCTGATTCCTCCAGGTAGTGACTTTGCCATAACCAGCTTAGCTCTTATGATATATTCCTGTGGCCCGCAGCAGTCAAGGGCAGAGAAGATACAAGATCCAAGTTGGATATGGTCAGAGGGGTGGGATGCCAGTGGGAATTGAATATGTGGAGGAATTCAAAAGAGAGGGAGCTCCAGATAGACACCATGGACCTGCCACCCAGCTCAAAGCTCTACAGATTAGCTGTTATAGGAGGGAAGGAGTGGTCCTCACTCAAGGGACACCCCCAGACACACACACACACACACACACACACACACACACACACACACACACACACACACCCCTTCCTGATGTTACCGCAGTGGTCCAGCCAGGGACTCCAGCTCTCAAGTATGTCATGAAGCTGGTACCTGGCACATATTGGAAGGCAAGAACTCTACTGTAGAAAAAGGGAAGGTATCAAGGCACCAGATACACTACCTGACAATTCTCTCATCTTCACAGGAGCATCAAGGCTCTCTCAGCTACTCTAACTCCATCAGAGGCAGAACGCAAGGCCACCCTGGCCGAGTCATTGTGAGGCACAAGGTGCCCCAGGTGAAGTTCACCTGCAAAGTGGATGGCCAGTCTGCAGTTGAAATTGTGCATGGAAGTGACACACAGAAGGATGATGTCAGCTATGATGTGTCGATTTCATTTCTCCAGTCACCTGTATCTCAGGATATGGGGGTTGGAGCTCCTGCTTATACCCATCAGAGGGAAGAGGTCTTCCTCCAGGCCACCCTCCATAGCCACGATCCCAATCTGAGGCTCATTGTGGATACCTGTGTGGCTTCTCCTGACTCCAGTGATTTCACAACTGTCAAGTACGATTTGATCCAGGAAGGGTAAGGAACATGGAACCTCTCCTCCCTAGTTGATATTAAATGTGTTTGCTGTTTCTCTGGGGAACCTGGAGTTTCTGAACCTGGAATCCTAAGTCAGAAGGATGTAGGGTGTCTCTACCAAGCCTCTGTTCACAGTGGGAAATACAGCAGCCTAGACAACCTCCCTTGACGCCTCAAAGACCCCATTCAGTACTTTGCTGCCCCAAACCACTCTTTCTTGCCTAATCCTCCCTTCCTTTCTAGTTTCCCTCTCCTAGGACAGACATTCAGCACTTTGGCTCATACCCATAGGTCAATGTGTTTTCCCAAACTAAGCTCTTAGTTAAACTAGCCAGATGTCTTCTAGCTTGTTTGGTTCACCAAGTGACTTGCCAAGTGAGAACCTTGGCACGTTGTTTGCCTCTGTGACTCCTTCATTTCTTATCATGTGCTATTGCATTGCTTTCTCTGGGAAACATACACAAATGTCTATTTGCTCCAGATAGCATGAAGGACAACCCCTCCCCCAAAATAATTTCATCCAAGTCCAGCTTGGTGAACCGGTAAGTTCTCTGGGCTTATTTGCAGAAGCATAAGTGAGGAGCTGCATAGGTGACCCCAAGTGTGCCACCCCAGCATGGATGACATATCCCGGTGAATGCTGCTGGACAGATGGAGCCCCCTTCAGGAGCCCCTCCTACATACTCTAGTGCTCCTGAGATCACATGCGGCTGGGGTTGGGTAGGAGGGAGTGGCTGGGATCAGCTCAGGAGCTAACAACCTTTCCACTAACAATTCCTTCCCTGTATGAAGGAATCTTAATGGCCTGGCGTGGGGGGTCTCCTGAATATGGCTAATCCTAGCTGCTCTGCTTTCGAGTTGGCAGTGGTCATGCCTGGAGGACAAGGGTAACTGGCAACTAGTTAAGAAATTCATTATTTACTCAGTGACAGTTTTAGTATGTAAGAGCCACAGCAGTCTTAAGCCCATGGGGAACAGTGAGGTACCTGATACCAAAGATCAACAGAGGAGCAAGACAGCACCTGCCACAGGTTTCTGTGAGCTGTGGCATGAGATGCATAGACTGGAGGAGCTCTAGAGGGAGAAGTTGCTTCCCTTCTGACCCTCCTTATGATCACATTATTAAGGTGAGAAGTTGAGCTAGGTGTCAATCTCACAGCTAGCATGCTGTTCTTCTTGCTTTAGGCTTAATTTGCTCCCTTTTCTCTAGCCTTTAAAACTTAGATCGATCAGACGTCTTTACAAATTATAGGCATTTTAATACTATAAATCCCCCCAAACATTGCCTTAGCTGCATCCCACAAGTATTGATAAGTTGGGTATTGTATTATTTACTTTTCTATTGCTGTAACAAACATCATGACCAAGGTAACTTATAAAAGAAAGTGTTTAGTTTGGCTTATGGTTTTAGAGGGTTAGGGTCCATGATGGCCAACCGAAGGGATATGGCAGGAAAAGGGGAGAGCTCACATCTTGATTCAAAAGTAGGAGTCAGAAAGAGGACGTTGGGAGTGGCACTAGTTTCTTGAAACCTCAAAGCCCAACCCCAGTGACACATATCCTTCAACAAAGCTTCCCAAACAGTTCCTCCAACCAGAGACCAAGTATTCAAAAATGACCCTCTATGAATTATTCTCATCCAACCACCACACATATCATTTTCACCTCATTCAACAGTCTTAAATTTCTCTTAGGACATTTTGATACAACAGTTAGCTGAAAGTATACTGTTTAGTTTTGAGTGTTTGGGAATTTTCCAGAAAGATGGCTGCCATTAATTTCAAGTTTAATCCCAGTGCTACCTGAGAACATATTTCTATCTTTTAATGACTATTAAAGCATTTCTTATGGCCTAGAATGTGGTCTGTCCTAATAATGTTCTTCCTGGACTTGAGAAGAATCTGTATTCTGTTATTGTTGGATAAACTGTTTAATTGCTGTCAACAAGATCTGGTTGATTAATAGTGTTCCTTATGTCATTTGCACCCTTACCGACTTTCTGCCCACTGGCCCGATCAATCGATAGAGGGATATTGAAGCATCCGATTATCATAGTGGGTTTGTCCATATCTTACTGCAGTATTCTTTGCCTCCCACGTTTTAATGCTCTGCTTGATGGTGCATTACATGAATGATTATTATATTTGGATAAACATTTTTCCTTCCTTCAATTATCTTGGTTAAGGGTCTCTTCTTAGAGAGGTGACCCTTTCTTTTATTGTAAAACATCCATCTTGATCCTGACAATTCTGCTCTCTCTGAACCGCTGCTGGACTATTCTCCATTCCATTTCAATGTATTAGTGTCTTTATATTTAAAGTGACTATTTTGTAAAGAACATATTGTCTGATGTTTTGTGTATTCCTTGTAATATATTCTCTGTCTTTATATTGATGTAAATATGAACCATTCGTATTTAACATTCTTATCCAAGCAGTTAGATTAGAATTTACCATTCATTCATTACATTTGTCTTTTGTCTTTCCCTGCCCTGTGCTGACCCCTTTTCTGACTTCTGTGATTCTTTTCAACTGCATATTTTACATAATTACATTTTATCTCCTCTTGATGTACCACTTATATCACTCTATGGTTTACAATATACTTTCTTTGGGTAGTGTTGGGAATTGAACTCAGGACATTGGGAGTGCTAGGTAGCCAAACATTCATCCAATGATCTGCATTACCAGTCCTATAATACACTTTTTAAATAATCTAAGTGCATTTTTAAATATAGCATCTACCTTATAACCTTCCCTTTAGACAAACTAGGATAGACTTAGCAAGCAAAGGTTGCAGCTAAAACCTTGACCTGTTTTCACTGTATTTGACAATCCCCTTCTGTTTATGACCAGGTATAGGATTTCCATTAACAATGCTGTTAAAACTGCAGTAGTAATCGTAGTATAGTAGTACTAGTTGTAGCTTCATAAAAGGGAGGGTAGTGGGAAGAGCTCCACTTGGGATTCAGAGCCTTAGAACCAAGCCTGGTTATGTGGGTTGGAGAAAACTCATAGCATGGATTAGTTAACTTTTTAGGCCTGGGTTTTTCTCCCATCAGGTGCATCAGAGACAAATCCTACTCCAACCTCCATGCCCCTGGGAAGAACGTGGCCCAGTTCAAGTTCAACGCCTTCAGCTTCCTCAAAAGCTACGATGTGGTCTACCTGCAGTGTAAGGTTGCCGTTTGCCGAATCGGGGACCACTCTCCCCGATGCTCACAAAGCTGTACAAAACGAGGAAGGAGAGGCACAGGCTCTGCAGAGGTCAGGGAAGAACAAACTGAGTATTTCCGAACAGTGGGGCCGCTGAAGATCCACAGAGCAGATAATCAGAGCAAGGCCCTGGTGTGATCACTCTGACTCTCATATGAGTGTGTCAGAAAACTGGAAGCAAGGTCTGTTTCTTACCAGGAAGCAATGTTTAGTCACTCAGAAGCCAGACATTGACCACACCATCTACACTACCCATTCAGATGGGTGGAAGAACCCAAGAGATTGCTTCTCTGGGGCTTGTTACTAAGTAATCTCTGAGCACTAACTTCTAACGCAGTTGCCCTGTTTGTAGGCAAGAAAAAGAAAAAAAAAAGAATGCTGATTTTGTTATTCACTCTCAAGAACTTGATCACTGTCTTAAAATGTACAAAATATTAGAAAAAACAGGGTTGTCTCTTTTGACACCATGGGCAATTAGAGATTGTTTATAAATGTCTACTTACTATTTGGGTGCTGATAGGTGGGTGGACCTCTTTCTGTTCTTCTGGAAATGTGAGAATTCATTTCTAGATCTTGCCAGTAATCTTGTAAAAAAATAATAATAAAGCGTTTTCTGGGAAACCACTGTTCATTTTCTTTAAACTCCTTTAATCAGAACAGCTGAATGGCACAAGTCATCGGTGACAACTTTCAGAAAGTTTCTTCGCTCAGTTGTTTTGTTTTGAAGGGGGCAAATCAGAGCCTAGCTTCTGAGGGTCTGGCTTTCAGAATCATCAGAAGCCAGAGGCCTCTGTGTGAACTCCACTTTAGCTTCTGGGGGTCTAGATTTCAGCTTGCAAATGGGAGAATAGAATCATAAGAAGCCAGGGGCTTCTCTCTGAGCTCCACGTGTGCACACAGTCATGTTCTCAAAACATCTAGGAAACCTGAAAATTACCCAGGAAAGCTGCAGAGCAAACAGGAACTGGTCTGTAATGTTCTGTTCCTGAAGCAGAGGACTGCCCTCACCTTGATCTCCCTGTTTCCTGGAAGGAGAGGCAGGCGGTGCTGTACTCAGAACCTTCAAAGTGGTCACTTGGTTTTGCTGTACCTTTTGAGACAAGGTCTCACTGCCTAGCCCGGGTTGTCTTTGAACATGCAATCCTGCTCAGCACATTCTCTTTAAGATTTGAACAGAGTGCAAATGGTTTTGTTCTTTCCACTGTCCAGAAACATTCAGTAGAAATATTTAAAATGAGTCCTCGTCTTTGTCCAAGAAATTGTTTCAGGCTCTGCTGATAAAGAGCATGTAAGAAAGAAGATTACAGTAGTCCTACCTTCTGAAGGCGGGGAGGCAGAGTCTAGTGGGACCTGGGGGCTAACTCTGAGGGACTGAGGTAGAAATTCGACTAACAACTCACATTACCTTAGGGACCATTTCATTTTGATTACAAAAATGTCCTTTCCCAGTTATCATCCTGATGAGACTGAGGACCCTTGCCTCCATCCTCTACCAGGACAGGATGATTTCAGAGAAGGCAGAATGGAGTTTGAGGTGCTCATCACCTGTAGGAGTTAGTGTTAGGATGTGCCTCATCCGCACTCATCAGAGCTGACCAGGTGGGGAGCCTGGACTCCACTCCCACTTCTGTTTAGAAAGGAACTGGAATCCTTTCATTTTAGGCAGGCCCAATGGAGAGCCAGGGTTGAGGTGACCACTCAGGGGAGCAGAGAACACCAGGTAGGCTAGACCAACCCTGCCCCTCTGTTTGGCATATGCCTGGTATTCCATGCCCATCCCTTTGCTTTTAGCCTACTGAAATGCTTGGTTAAGTACGCCTCCTGAATAAAGCTTAGAAGCAGATTTTGCTTTGGAAGACATTCTGAAAGCCATGTTTTAGAAAGTTAGTAGGTAGGTGCCCAGAGGTGACATCAAATGCCCCTCAAATAGAGGTACACATTCACTAGGCTTCTGGGAGTACTGCTGGTGAGGGGCTCAGCTCCACTGTTCCCCGGGAATTTCCATAAGGACAGCTGCCCTGTCCAAGTTCACAGCTCCATTTGAGCAGCCCTCATCCAAAGATGACTCTTCACCAGTGGGGAATGAATGGAGCACGGATGCCCCTAGTTGCTAGGAAATTCTCTCCTTCATTGACCATATCCCCAGATGATACTAACACTAACTCCTATCAACCCCTCTGTTCAGTTGTAGAGACAGAGGGTGAAGGTAATCTGGACAGTACATCTGAACAGGAAAGAGGTAAGGACCTTTCCTAGCCCACCAACTCCAGGACGTGGACCTTTGATCCCTTTACTATAGTAACCATGACTCTACTCTCTATTGAGTCACGATACGTGATAATTTTCTTAGAATGGCATATTTGTGCCTGGAGTGTCTCTGAATATCTACCACGATGGCCAACACAGAACATGTAATCAATTCCTGATAACAAAATGGGTGACAGGCAGCAGCCAGACCAGACAGTTGTGCTGTCATAGGAAGTTAATGTGAGGCTGGAGAGGGGCCGCCACAGTTTCAGAGCACTTGCTGCTCTTGCAGAGGACCCAAGTTCAGCTCCCAGCACCCACATGGCAGCTCACAACTGTCTGGCTCCAGTTCCAGGAGATCCAATACCCTCTTCGCCTCCCCAGGCACCAGCACATGTGTGGTACACATTCATATATGCAGATAAAATATGCACACATGTGAAATAAAAATAAATCTTTTTAAAAACTTCAATATGATCTGCCTATGACTAGTGAAACTTTCAGGTGTTTTTATGTTATATTAAAAAGGAGTTTGTGGTAGTGAGATTTAGGTTATATGGATGGACAGAGAGGGGAGTCATGACATGAATATTTGGGAAGCCTTTGAAAGATCTGCACTAAGATGTTAAGTAAATGAGGACTATCTGCTTTGATTTAGGGCAGGAAAAAGTCAGCAGGTCTGGAAGGACTGGGGTGGTGTCTTTCATATCCGTTGTATGTCGGTGGATTCCCTATAATACATGGTGCACACGACACATATTTATAGAAGAAAAACATAACAAAAACCAAAAAGAAGCAAATGCCTTTGGCATTCTGGGATGCAGCTACCTGTTGAGATCTACCTGGAATGTGAAAGTATGTGTTTGTTTGCTGGCAAGATGGGGTTGCTTTACTTGTGTGTGTGTGTAACGTATTAGCTCTGGTATTTGCAGGTATAAAGTAGTTCATTTTAGGGCCTTCAATAACATCTGCTCAAACCCACAGGAAAGAGAAGAGGGATGTTTTTATCTTATAACTCAGAAAGCAGTCTGAAGTCTCACCATCAGGTTCTTCCCACCAAAGCTCCCTTGTGAGCTGCACAGGGTGAGGTACTCAGACTGCCCGCCAGCAGTGGACTGAGGAGCCCACACTCCTTCCCTTCAGTTTCAAATGATCACCTTTATCATCCAAAGGGTACCGTATCTGCATTAGTCTTTAACTTTTATAGATGACAAGCTTTATTTAGCATCTAAAAAAGAAACTGAGTTGGATGTAGTGCCTCACACCTTTAGTCCCAGCCCTGGGGATACAGAGACAGGGTCTCTGTAAATTCAAGGCCAGCCTGGTCTACATAGCAAGTTCCAGGCCAGTCAGAGTTCCATAGTGAGACCTTTTCCAAAAAAAGGTGACCAGACATAATGTTTATTCATTTCAGCCATCCCATAACGAAACACACTATCACCATGATATGAACATAAAAGTATTGTGTTGCCTTTTCAGGCCTTCCTGGTTTATTCCTAACCCTTGTTTAGGCATGAGGAGCAGCTTCATCCAGCATCCACGAGAAGGCAAGGGGCCTTCTTAGGGTCGAGAGCTAGTAGACCTGCAACTTCTGGTATCTGTGATCCATCCGTCGATTTACAAAATGCTTCACTGTGGCTGCGGCCACAACCATCACATTGAGAGCAAGAACCATGAAGGAAAAGAGGTGTAGATGGCTGAGAGGTTGGTTTGGAGTTTCTGCTGCGTGTGTTTGAGGCAGAAATCCTGGAATCAGAAATAGTTTTCGTATTAGTATTACCAAATTTTGGCAGTATTTATAATTTCATGTTATGCCCTATGGTATGCATGAATTAATAATATGTAATTTCAACTTAAGAGAGGGGGACAATTCTCAAACAATCTGAATTCATTATGTTTATGTTTTATCCTAGGCCGTTTAACTCTGGGCTGTCTTTTGAGTCTTTCCTATGCAGCCTATCAGGTTTCATCATGCCCAGAAGTAAGTAGGTTGTCCTGTGTTAATATTGTCTATGGTGAAAAGATAACCTTTTTTCCCAAATAGGCTCTGGTGTGGGCACTGGTTAACTTTGTTCCTCATTGAGAAGTTAAAATAGATTATTTCTAATTTGGTTATCTGCTTAGACATCTGTAACTGGGACATTAACAGAAAGTTGTTTTTAGAGATGCAGATAGTACCCATGAACTCTTAAAGGCCACACTAATGGCATAGTACCAGTGTACGATGGATTATAGATGCATATATGATACACGTGATGGAAGTATTCATCTTGTGTATGTAGTCACTTGTTTGCTAAAATTTCTACTTTAAATCTCTAAACTGCACATCTCAGGAACAACAGATTTAAGCCACATTTTACGAGCCACAAGGTAAACTTAGATCATGAACAGCATATTCTTGCCTGAGTTTCCACTTGCACTTCGGTCCCTCTTCAGACGAATTGGTCCTATGACAGAGTCAGTCTTCCACTTGTATGAAGAAACATCTCGTTTCCTTCTTGAGACACAGCCTTGATTGCAGCGAGATGTTTCATCGCTGGTATCACAGATCAAAATCTTACACTTCAGATACACAGAGCTCAGATGCCTCAAGAATTTAAAAGCATTAAACTGGAATCTTCCGTAGTGTCCAAGTAAGGGATACACCTGACAAGTCTCATCTTGACTACATCTGGAACACAATTTAGGGACAGTTAGAAGGTACATGGCAGCTTTTCCATGTGAAAGTGAGATGATACAAGCTTTGAGGTATTCAATGTGTGAGCCCAGGAACCTCTCTAGAAAGACATCAGTGGTTCAGAGTGTTGTGAGCTTGAGAGGCGGGACTGGTTCTGGGAAAGGTAATAAGGTCCCGCTCTGAAATTCCTGGCCCTGTGAGCTACCAGAACATCAGCACCTATATGGGGCTCAAACACCTCTCCTAAAGTGCTCAGTATTGATGCGCAAGTACAGCTGATTGCCCATCAACTTTTAGAGGAAAAAGGAGCATCTCTTTTAAAAGATCACGTGCCTTTTCTTTTAAAAAAATGTTACATCTATTTTCTTGAGAACGTCATGTTTGAAGGATGGCACACATTTAAGAACCTTCCATGTCCTTGCAAAAAACAGCCAAAATATACAAAAAGCAAAACCACAAATAGGCCCCGCTAGACAAAACATAAGTAGGTTATTTTCCCCCACCAACAAATATTTTATATTCATA